CACAGTGACTGGGTATTACTAGCCAATAAGAAACTCTAAGAATAGTTTGACGGTATTGAAAAACCATCCCGTGGCTATTTCCAAATGGGGTATACGGCCAAAGCCTAGTATGAATATGCCTCTTTAAAAACCACACACACTGGCACTCACTCAGTAACCTTTCTCTCTCTTTCTCTCGCCTCAGGGGCCTTCATTCCAGCAGTTCCAGTCCAACCAGTAGTCCTGCGTTACCCCAACAAAATGGTAAACGCACAACTAAACTCTCCTTTCTTCCCTCCTCTCCTCCAAACCATCCTCTCTCCCTTCCTACTTCCCTTCACTGCTTTCCTTTACATACCTATCCTTCCTTTCCTTCTCTCCCTCCCTCCGTTTACAGTTTCTCTCTTCTCACGGTGTGAGTCCGTCTGTGTCCATGTTGAGTGGCTTCATGCTCCTGTGGAGTGATATTTAATCTCCCCTCTCCCTCTCGCTGTCTTGTGCTCTCTCTCTCTCTCCCTCCCTCCCTCAGGTTTCATGTCCTTATCTCCACAGCCCCTGCACGCCCTCATTAATTATAAACCTGTGACTACCTGCTCTAACTTGTACTAGAAAGCCATGTGCAGTAGAGAGACACTCTCCGGCTGCATCTCAGTAGTCTAGTGGCTTCCTTTCCTCATCTCCTTTCCTGCATCTCAATAGTCTACAGTGGCTTCCTTTCCTCGTCTCCTTTCCTGCATCTCAATAGTCTAGTGGCTTCCTCTCCTCGTCTCCTCCTTTCCTTTACCTGCAATAGAACAAAATAACTGAAAAAGTAAAAGCAAGTCTCAAATAGACGATCCGCAATGTTGCTTTCACCTGTCCATTGTTTTCAGACCAGTGCAGACAAAGGAGAGGGGAGAGGAAGCCACTGTAGAGTATTGAGATGCAGCCCCTGTGTAGGCCTCAGTCCTGCAGTGTGTAACTCATTTAGGCCATGAACACACTGGGATTTTGTGTCCGATGGAGCCAATGCTTTAAAAAATATATATATTTTTAGTAATATTTTTAGGGGGTAGATCAGCTTTATATTGCAGATAGATTGTAACTTCCATCAATGTAATTGTCTGCATCACTAGTGTGGTGAAAGGAGTCAGGCGCAGGAGGGTAATCACCAAATACAGAGTTTATTCCTTCGTTGACACATAAATGCGCTCCAATAGCGATCAACGAAACAGGCACAGGGGAAACAAACATCCCTGGCAATTACACTGTAACGGAATCCAATAATACATAGGCACAGGGGGAAAATCTACCCTGGCAACACAATGTTATGAGTATCTCCACCGAGCTACATTACTCTCACAATTAACAATCACCCACAATAACAAGGGGACAGAGGGAACACTTTATATACGGACTAATTAGGGGATTAGAACCAGGTGTGTGTGATTGACAAGACAATTGTGATGATGATTGGGGCGGCAGTGGTTAGTACTCCGGTGACGACGAACGCCGAAGCCTGCCCAAACAAGGAGGGGAGGCAGCCTCGGCCGAAGTCGTGACAGTACCCCGACGGTCGTGACAGGATGGCGACGGTGGAAATTCTGCAACAGGGAAGGATCGAGGATATCCCTCACCGGGACCCAGCACCGTTCCTCCGGACCGTACCCCTCCCACTCCATGAGGTACTGAAGGCCCACCACCCGACGCCTTGAATCCAGGATGGCACGGACAGAGTACGCCGGGGCCCCCTCGATGTCCAGAGGATGTGGAGGAACCTCCCGCACCTCAGACTCCTGGAGCGGACCTTTGAACGGCCCCACAAACCGCGGGCTCAGCTTCCGGCAGGGCAGGCGGAGGGGCAGATTCTGGGTCGAGAGCCAGACCTGATCCCCCGGTACGAAGACCGGGGTCTCACTGCGGTGATGGTCAGCGTTGGCCTTCTGACCATGCACGGCGCGCTGGAGGTGAACGTAGGCAACGTCCCACGTCTCCACCGCAGGCGCCTCTGTGCCAGAACCGGTTGGTAACCTAAAACACATTGAAATGGTATTCGGTTAGTAGAGGAGTGGCGGAGAGAGTTCTGGGCATATTCTGCCCATGGCAAGAACACCGACCACTCCCCCGGCCGGTCCTGGCAGTAGGACCGCAGGAACCTACCCACATCCTGATTTAATCGTTCCACCTGCCCATTTGACTAGGGGTGAAACCCAGAGGTCAGGCTGACCGAGACCCCCAGACGTTCCATGAACGCCTTCCAAACCTTGGACGTGAACTGGGGACCTCGGTCGGACACTATAACCTCTGGCACCCCGTAGTGCCGGAAGACGTGAGACGTGGGGAGACCGGGCAGAGGAAGGAGGCGGCAGGACTTGGAGAAGTGGTCCACAACGACCAGGATGGTGGTGTTACCTTGGGAGAGGGAAAGATCAGTCAGAAAATCAATGCTAAGGTGAGACCATGGTTGTTGTGGAACTGGTAACGGTTGTAGCTAACCCGCTGGGAGGTGCCTAGGTGCCTTACTCTGGGCGCACACCGAGCAGGAGGAGACGTACACCCTCACGTCCTTAGCCAAGGTAGGCCACCAGTACTTTCCGCTCAAGCAGCGCACTGTACGACCGATACCTGGGTGACCAGAGGAGGGTGACGTGTGTGCCCAGAAGATCAGACGATCACGGATAAGAGCAGGCACGTACCGCAGCCCAGCTGGACACTGCAGTGGAGATGGATCTGTACGTAATGCCCGCTCTATATCCGCGTCCATCGCCCATACTACCGGCGCCACAATGCAGCAAACCGGGTGAAGAATAGGGCCCACCTGACCTGGCGAGGATTCAGCCTCCTCGCTGCCCAGATGTACTCCATGTTACGGTGGTCCGTCCAGACGAGGAAAGGGTGTTTTTGCCCCTTTCGAGCCAATGCCTCCACACAGTCAAAGCTCGGACAACAGCCAACAGCTCCCGATCACCAATGCCGTAGTTCTGCTCCGCCGGGCTGAGTTTCTTCAAGAAGAAGGCACAGGGGTGGTGCTTGGGTGGCGTGCCCGAGCGTTGGGACAGCCCACCCTTCAACAGGGATGTGATGGGAGCTGCGACCTTGCCAAAGCCCCGGATAAACCTTCGGTAGTAGTTGGCAAAGCCAAGGAATCGCTGCACCTCCTTAAACGTGGTTGGAGTCGGCCAATTACTTACGGCTGAAATGCGATCTCCCTCCATCTCCACGCCTGAGGTGGAGATGGAAGGAGGAAGGAGACGGCTTGCTGGAAAAACATACACTTCTCTGCCTTGGCTTAAAGGTCATTTTCCAACAGTCTGGCCAGCACTTTGCGAACCAGGGACACATGCTCGGCGCGAGTAGCGGAATACACCAGGATGTCATCGATGTAGACCACTACACCGCGACCAAGCATGTCCCGAAACACCTTGTTCACAAAGGACTGGAAGACGGATGGAGCATTCATCAAACCGTAGGGCATCACCAGGTATTCATAATGCCCCGTGGTTGTGCTGAATGCCGTCTTCCCCTCATCCCCCTCCAGAATACGCACCAGGTTGTACGCACTCCTGAGATCTAGCTTTGTGAAGAAGCGCGCCCCATGCATTGACTCGATCACTGAAGGAATGAGGGGAAGTGGATAACTAAATCTAATCGTCTCCTTGTTCACTGATCGATAATCAATGCACGGGCGCAGACCGCCGTCTTTCTTCTTCACAAAGAAGAAACTCGAGGAGGCGGGTGAAGTGAAGTGGCCCAGGGACTCGGAGACGTATGTATGCCAAGGGATACCTAATACCACAGGGAAAGCAGGAGATTCAATAATCGAAAAAATAACCTCCTCACAATGAGTCTCCTGGGTGATCATGGTGACCGGAATAGTGACTTCCGTAACAAACCCGGACCCTAATCAAATCAAATCAAATCAAATCAAATTTTATTGGTCACATGCGCCGAATACAACAGGTGCAGACATTACAGTGAAATGCTTACTTACAGCCCTTAACCAACAGTGCATTTATTTTAAACAAAAAAAGTAAGAATAAAACAACAACAAAAAAAGTGTTGAGAAAAAAAGAGCAGAAGTAAAATAAAGTGACAGTAGGGAGGCTATATATACAGTAAAATAAAGTGACAGTAGGGAGGCTATATATACAGGGGGGTACCGTTGCAGAGTCAGTGTGCGGGGGCACCGGCTAGTTGAGGTAGTTGAGGTAATATGTACATGTGGGTAGAGTTAAAGTGACTATGCATAAATACTTAACAGAGTAGCAGCAGCGTAAAAAGGATGGGGTGGGGGGGGGCAGTGCAAATAGTCCGGGTAGCCATGATTAGCTGTTCAGGAGTCTTATGGCTTGGGGGTAGTGGTCGACTATCTGGTGCTCTGATGGGGAGTGGAATGGAGAGGGGAACCAATGAAATGCCTTGATGGCGTGCGAATACCCTGTCCATAAAGTTCCCAGCTGCGCCTGAATCGCCTAGCGCCTTACACTGGGGAACTACCATGTGATCGGGAAAGTGGATAGGTAGGGTACAGGCGGCAGGCAGTGAACAAGTGTGGGTGTTCGATACCTGGGGTGATGCGTGAGTGCCCTGCCTGCCGCCTCCCGGCCCAAAAGAACGTTGACTACGACGTGTGGTGTACTGTCCCTTCGTGCCACCAGAGTGGCACTGTCGCTGTCCTCCTCCGCTCTCTCGGCCGGCGGTTCCACCCAGCTCCATCGACTCGGGATCCGAGTTGTCCGGGGTGGAAACGGGCAGACCCCTACCAGGACGTCCTCTGGCTGCCAGCAGGTTGTCCAAACGAATGGCCATGTCCACCAGTTTATCGAAGGACAACATGGTATCCCGGCAGGCTAGCTCCCGTCGGACGTCCTCCCGCGGATGGCACCGGAAATGGTCGATCAGGGCCCGCTCGTTCCACCCGGACCCCGTTGCCAGCGTCCTAAACTCCAACGCGAAGTCCTGCGCGGTCCTCGTCCCCTGCCTCAGGTGGACCAGCCGCTCACCCGCCTCTCGACCCTCGGGCGGGTGATCGAAGACCGCCCGAAAGAGGCGAGCGAACTCCCTGTAGTCCTCCCAACGTGGCTCCTCCCGCGTTCCACACCGCGTTGGCCCACTCCAGGGCTTTCCCACAGAGGCAGGAAACGAGGACGGACACCTTCTCCCGCTCCGATTGCGCCAGTCTGATGCTGGCGAAGTAAAGCTCCAATTGGAGGAGGAATCCCTGGCACAGCGCCGCCGTCCCATCAAACGCCCGTGGTCGGGATATCTGGATCCCTCCGGGTACTGGGGTGTAGATGGCTGGATCCGGTTGGCCAGCTGGTCTCGACAGATCGGGTCCTCTCCTCTCCAGGCGTTGTTGGCACGACCTGAAGAACCCGATCCATCGCTTCCCCCAAGCTGGCCAGCATCGTGGAATGCTCCTGGACCCGTGCCACGACTCCAGGCATGCGCTCTTCTCCCGCTGACTCCATAGCGGGTGGGTGATGACCTGGCATCAGATGACCTGGCTTCCACAATCCCCGACCTCAACCAAATTGAGATGGTTTGGGATGAGTCGGACGGCAGAGTGAAGTAAAAGCAGCCAACAAGTGCTCAGCATCTGTGGGAACTCCTTCAAGACAGTTGGAAAAGCATTCCAGGTGAAGCTGGGTGAGAGAATGCCAAGTGTGTGCAAAGCTGTCATCAAGGCAAAGGGTGGCTATTTGAAGAATCTCAAATCTCAAATATATTTTTAATTGTTTAACACTTTTTTGGTTACTACATGATTCCATGTGTTATTTAATAGTTTTGATGTCTTCACTATTATTCTACAATGTAGAAAATAGTAAAAATAAAGAAAAACCCTTGAATGAGTAGGTGTTCTAAAACTTTTGACCGGTAGTGTGTGTATATATATATATATATATATATATATATATATACATATCTTTAAAAAATATATATTTTCCTTTATTACTTTCCATCCCCACCACCCCTCCCCTAATTGGTGTAAACTAGTGAACAACAATGCTTAGGCCTCGATTTCCAGCTTATACATACTATATACATTTTTGTGGACACAGTCAATTTTACAATGGATCTATTTTGTTTGGTTTTATTCCTGAACTTCCTCTACCCTCAACCTCTCCGATCATTTTCATGATGTCCATCCGGTTTGCTTCTATATGCCATATCTTTCAAACTGTGCTCTTTCACAAAAGTTCTTAACCTATAACCTATATACTTATTATGGACACAGTATGTTTTACATTAGTTATCGTGTTATTAGTCCCAACCTTCAGCTCCATTCAACCCCTCCCAAGCCAATGCTTTTTAAATGGGAGTCATCGGTTGTCGAATGAATGACAGCGGAGATAATTGTCCAACAAAAAAAGCACAAATGGTCCGTCTTTTGACGGATGCAACTCGTCCGAAAATAGTTGACTTGAGTTGACCTTTTGAAAAAATTGACAATGATGTAAGTCATATACGATTTGATCCCTGTTCATGCATCTCAGTAAGCAGAGGAGATGCAGCCTCTGTAGGCCTCAGTCCTGCTGTGTGTAACTAATCTCCTCATCCTCTCCCGACAGGATACCATCACATGGACATGGCAAGGCCCTGGAGCGTGAGTATCTCTTCCTCGTTTTTCCTCTCTTTCTATCTCTATTTATCTTTCTCTCTCTCTCTCTCTCTCTCTCTCTCTCTCTCTCTCTCTCTCTCTCTGAGACACACACACACTCACCTTCCCTGCTGCTCTCTCTATCGCCCCCTGGCTGTTTTTTGTGGAGAGGTCTGGCAATATGTTTTAGATTAGAAGGGGATGTTGTGTTTTTAGGCCTGTGGTTAATCTTCACAATATCCCACTGCACAACTTCCCTCTCTTTCTGTTCTTTCATCTAAATTCCCCTCCCTCTCTCTCTATTCTCTCATCACTGCATCCGTCTTTCCCTCTAACCTCCTTTTTCCTTTCTGAATGAACTGATTACTCTCTCTCTCGCCACTCAGGTTTGAGATACTGTGGCTGACACTGTGCCAGTTTCACAACCCCATAGAGATTGAGGTAAGGGTTCTTTTTTAATTAAAGGTGGACTCTGCAATACGACGGCATCATTAGTCAGTGGGGCATCTTCCTGCTTACAGACATCGACAAAAGAATGTGAGGAAATGGAGAAACGGAAGATGGATGGGGGATATCACTTTTTTTTTTTCTCCCTTCAGTACCTACCTCTCTACACTCCTTCAGAGGAAGAGAAGAACAACCCTGCTCTGTTCGCCAACAATGTCAGACGCATCATGGCCAAGTTAGTACTGTGTATGGCCTCCCAGGTTACATCAAGCTTTTACATTGAGTTTACATCTGTCTATCTGTGTTTCTTGTGCTTCTCGAAATGCCCGCCACATATACAGTATATCTGACATGTCAGGGGCGGGTCCTGGCCGCGCTCTCTGTGCTCTGATAGGGCCCTGGAGCTGCCCATCACAGACCTGTCGTTTGATGACTGCCAGCTGAGCCTAGCAAAGGGCCCGCTGCGTGTCCCTAGCAACAGCAGCCTACTGCAGTTCAATAGACTAGCGCGAAGGCTTGGGTGAGTTGGAGTTTACTTTACTATTGTTCGTTCAGCATTATTACAGGTCCTTAAAAATACTGAATTGTTTTGCTGTTTATAACAAAACATTGATGTTGAATAAATAAGAATATTTCAAAATTCTATAAATGTTTATTCCAATGTCTTACAATCAATTTACGTTTAAGTGTCTGAATGGGTAGGTAGGGTATGAGCGATCTCCTGTACCTCGTTGTGTGACATTTAAGGATGTCATATCGGGGACTGATGGTTATACTGGGAAAATAATACTGGGTTTACTGGGAAATACTAAGACTAATACTAGTGGGTTTACTGGTCGAACTGGGAAATACTACTGGGTTTACTGATCATACAGGGAAATACTACTGGGCTGACTGATAATACTGGGAAATATTACTGAAATACTACTGGGTTTTCTGATAATACTGGGAAATACTACTGAAATACTACTGGGTTTACTGATAATACTGGAAAATAGTACTAAGGAAACAGGCAGATCTGTGTCAAATGGATATGTTGAATACTTTTAGATACTAGAAAGTACAGTATTTCATTGAGATGTACTTGATTTAGCCATTAAACCAGTGGTTTTCAAACTTTTTCAGCAGGGACCCCATTTGTTTGCTGGCAGAAATGTTGCAGACCCCACGCTAAATCTAATGACAACCTTCAAATCAGTCAATTTAGATTTTCACATCAACAAATAACCTTAAATTCATTACATTTTCATCTCTCCTATCAAAACTAAGAGAAATACATTTACTCAATACAATTTTATTTTTCTAATTATCTTTCTCAATAACATTTGTATATTATTCCATAAAATAATCTGCACCCTTGGCCTGACTGCAGTTCGGTATCATAACTGACTTCAGTGGGCAAATGCTCACCTTCGGTGGCCACTGGCACGCTGGAGAAGTGTGCTCTTCACGGATGAATCTCGGTTTCAACTGTACCGGGCAGATGGCGCCCACAGATGGCGTCGTGTGGGCGAGCGGTTTGCTGATGTCAACGTTGTGAACGGAGTGCCCCATGGTGGGGTTATGGTATGGGCAGGCATAAGCTACAGACAACGAACACAATTGTATTTTATCGATGGCAATTTGAATGCACAGAGATACCATGACGAGATCTTGAGGCCCATTTTCGTGCCATTCATCCGCCGCCATCACCTCATGTTTCAGCATGATAATGCATGGCCCCATGTCGCAAGGATCTGTACACAATTCCTGGAAGCTGAAAATGTCCCAGTTCTTCCATGGCCTGCATACTCACCAGACATGTCACCCATTGAGCATGTTTGGGATGCTCTGGATCGACGTGTTTGAGAGTGTTCCAGTTCCCGCCAATAAAGCAACTTCACACAGCCATTGAAGAGGAGTGGGGCAACATTCACAGGCCACAATCAACAGCCTGATCAACTCTATGTGAAGGAGATGTCACACTGCATGAGGCAAATGGTGGTCACACCAGTTACTGACTGGTTTTCTGATCCATGCCCCTATCTGTGTATCTGTATTCCCAGTCGTGAAATCCATAGATCAGGGCCTAATGAATTTTTCAATTGATTGATTTCCTTATATAAACTGTAACTCAGTAAAATCTTTGCAATTGTTGCATGTTGCGTTTATATTTTTGTTCTGTATGTGTGTGTGTATATATATATATATATATACACACACACAAATAAAATTTGCGACCCCACTGCAATTCCCCCGTCGTGACCCCAACTTTGAATACCACTTCATTAAATGGACTAAACCAAGCTTCTAGCCACAACCCTGGACAGTAGTGGGAAATGTAGTTCTTAACCATGTGTTTTCTATGTGCAGGCTGAGAGCAGGGACTACAGATACAGTGTTACAGCAGCAGGCTAGCAGAGCCAGGAACGTTTGGGGATACAGACTGGGATTAGAGGACTTTGCTCAGTACCTCAACCTATCTGTAACGGACATGCTCACAGAGTTACACAGCCTATTCAACCAGGTAGGTATCCAACACACACTGCGCATAACTCACATACCGGCAGTATCCTACACACACATTAACACACACTGCTTTTATTCATGAAATCAAATCAATCAATCAATTTAGTAGAAATAAATAACCATCAGTGTTCTTCTCTTTCTCTCTATTCCGCTTTCTCTCGTCTGTTCTCTCTCCCTCTTTCTTTCTGAAGCATGGAGATGGCCAGATAGATGTCAGGGAGTATGTGATAGCCCTGTCTGTGGCGTGTCAACCCTCTAAAGCCATGGACACCCTCAGGCTGGCCTTTGGAGTGAGTGACGGGCAATGAAGCAACATAACAGTTCCTATGAAGCACTATAAGAGCCCTATGTCTGCTATTATTAGGCACTATAATAGCCTCATGCCTGTTACTGTGAAACATTATAAAATACCTATGTCTGCTCTATAAAGTGTTATAACTGTCCTATGTCCAGATGTACGAGGCGAAGGAGGACGGGGCGATCGTGGAAAAGGAGCTGGCGTCTATTATGAGAACGGCGTTGGGAGTAGCGGAGGTTGACGTCACAGAGTTGTTCTCAGCAATCGACACACTTGAAGCGGGGAAGATCACACACGGTGAAATCACACACTAACACCCTTGCCTTTCTTGTGCTCACACTTGTCTTTTCTTACTAGCACTGACATTGCTGATAGTTGCTTTATTGAGGAAAAAGTTTTACTTACTATGATTGTGATATGTGGTTGTGTCACCTAGCTACTTTAAGTTGAATGCACAAAATGTAAGTCACTCTGGTTAAGAGCGTCTGCTAAATGACTAAAATGTAATGTAATCCAACTAACGGGTTCACGGTCAACCCTGCCATTACAATCTCTCTCTGTTTGACCTTCCCTCTCTCTATATCCGTTTGTAGATGACTTCTGTCGGTTCGTGGTGCAGCACCCAGACTTTGCTCAGGAGTACCTCCTCTCCTCCAGGGAAACCCCCTCTATCCCCCACACCGTCCCCCTGACCAATGGGTTCAGTGTGGACCATTATGACACAGAGGAGCAGACCTGCAGCCTCCCTGGACAGAAGAGGAAAGAAGACTGAGAGACACTCTCAAATGGATCCATCTACTGCCTATCACAGAGAGAAAGGAGGAAGGAATGGAGGGAGGATGGAAAAGATGGAGGGATAGGAGGGCGACTGAGAGGCCCTGGATCTCTATAAAACAAATCTATATTCTACAGTTACTATATTCTACAGCCACTGTCACTGTGGCCTGTATGTTCTACCAGAGAGAAGGAGTGAGGGATAGGATATATCGGGATGAGGAGGGGTGGATAGAGTTTCTTACTTCTCTCCTATCAGACGGATAGAGGAGATTGAGACTGTGAAAGGGAGAGATGGAGGTGGAGAAGGGTTGGGTATGTTGAAGGAGAGTACAGGGGGATGAGGTATATGGAGAGATGGAAAGAGAGATTTGGTTAGTGAGAGGAAATGAGGGAGGGTGGAGACAATCCGTTCCTCCGGACACCATCTCACACCAATACTCCGTCTTTGGTTTTGTCTGCTAGTGTTTTCAAGGACTTTGTATGCTTTCTAACTTTCCAACGTGCGTTAAAGGAACTGGACACCTGAAGTTTTTAGTTCATCAAACACTTTGGCTATTTATTTTCAAAAGGGTTTTACTTTTTTCTTATGTATAGGTATTTATTTGTTATTTGTATTTATCAAACTATGTCTGCTATTATGACAACTATAATGCACACTCCAGTAAGATTTATACACATTTAAAAAATCAAGATCTGTTTTATCAGGTGATTAAGCACCAAACTGAGCTCCGCTTAATCACTGCCTTTCATAACGAGACTGACTGAGATTAATTGGATCGAGCTGAAACAGACTAACATCCAGACTCAAACTATTCTTCAACTAAGCATCTCACTGCCTCGTAGACCATAGCAACTCACAACAAGACATTAAACTTTTAAAATGGATGAATACGGGACCAAACTTCAACTTTTTAAACCAGAGGACTCTTGAGCATTCACATTGAGCTCCTTGTGGCCTTTTAAATTGTAAAAAAATTAAAATAATAATATGGTTTTAATGTTGCCTGAGCTTAAGTGAATCGTCTAACAGCTTAAGTATACTTTTTTACATAAGCATAAACACTGGGGTCTTCAGATTAACATTTGTTTGTTGTTTTCTCTTTTCTTATTGGATGAACAGAGAACCAGAGTTGGGTTCCATCTCAAATGGCACCCTATTCCCTGCACATTTGGCTTTGGTCGAAAGTAGTGCACTACATAGAGCATAGGGTGCAATTGGGATATACCCTCAGTTAAAATATTCAGATAAGATGTTTCCCTATTTTTGCCTCTCATATCTCTCTGGAAGGAAGTTGCCCTTAGGCAAAGCTCTAGGATCAGCACACCCTGTTGAAGTTCTAGGATTAAACATTAGGCAGCGGCAATCAGTTCTGACTTTATGATAAGCGATCAATCTCTTTTGGCTTTTTGTACTGTTTTTGTTTTGGGAATTATCTGCAGTTTGGCTTTGAATCGACGCATTTTGTATGTTGTACATTTGTGGTATATAAATCTTGGAATGTTTTTGAGTATTCATTTAGTAAGAACGTGGATTGTAAATTATGAATACCTATGCAGTGATCCCTGTCTTTAAGGTTGAGAATTAAATCATGACATTTCTACAACTGCGGTGTTCTTTATTTCCACTAGTAGGAGCTGTGCTCCTGAAATAGATATTCAGCTGGTTTGATGGTGACTATTCTACGTCTATGGCAAGGATTATTTTTATTTTATTTATCTCGGTAGCCTATGGTGGCTTTATCTCCTCGCCAACTTCCGTACATCTGCACTAACACGAGAACACAGGAAAGGTGAAAGCAATGTCTGGGATTTGTGCTCAACTGTCTAGTTCTTTACGATCAGTGCATATGGTCTCATGTTCCCTCTCCTCTCACTCCCTCTTTACACAAGCTGAACATTGCGCCCATGGACACCATCCTGGCGTCAGCTAAAAATAGACCGGATTAAACTCAAACTGAGATGAGAAAAAGGTGAAGAAGAAGAGCGGGATTAATGGAGGGAACACTGCTCCAAATCTAATTCCCAAGGGCCAAAGAGTGGGAACGTTAAGAGGGAGAGCATACATTAAAGTACTCAAGTACATTATATACACTGATGTTAAACTGCATCTGTAAATTGTTCATTGGTACATCTTGTTTTCAAGTCCACAGTTATTGCTGTACTCTCACTCTCAAATCAATTCAAAGGGCTTTATTGGCATGGGAAACATATGTTTACGCACACTGCACAGAGACTCACACCAAAACAAACAGGCATTTAAAATGGACACGCATTTTATGCGTCATATGGGTCCTTGCACGACTTAGTGTCGCACTTTTTTTAGCAACCATTCAACGGAATATGAATTGTAAATATTTGAAGAATAGACAAAGTAGCTAATTGCTCATGTAACGCCATTGCAATTACACCGACAGTGTACCGTTGGATGCAGAGAAAGTAACGGAATTGCCTTGCTTTGACATTGAACGAAGACAAAGAAGTTCTTGAGATTAACGTTAGCTGGCGTTAACTGGCTTCCTGATTGAATACATGTGGATTAGCTAGCTGACTAGCAAACTAACAACAACCCCGATTCAAGTGAGTTTACCCAAAACAGGTACAGTACTATTAACGATTTATCTACCAATCGAGGGGTGTAATTATTAAGCCGATTCTGTTGCAAAACGTTTTGCTACAGAAACGGTTTACTCCAAACAGAAAAAGCAAACGACAGTTTCTATTGGACAATTCCAGGTAGGTCCCTCCTTTCTGCTGCGTTGTGTTTGTTCTGTTTGCTTCCGTTTGGTTCTTAAACGGTTAACGGTTTCTGTAATGAATACACCCCAGTTGTCTTCATGGCTGAACATTTTCTGGAGAAAGAACATTTGCTGACTGTATTTCTCTGTGCGCTTAGCAGAGAACCATGGAGGAGTCAGCAAGCACCATAGAGGTCACAGTGAAGACCCTGGACTCCCAGAGCAGGAGCTACACTGTCCGGGGAGAGGTAAACTGTGACTTTTGTTGTTGTTGTCCACTTCTGTTTTAGCCTGCAATCCAACGGAACATATCAGTTTGGATTCGAGGCTACTTATTTGTAGCCTCTATGTTGTACACTTATGAGTGGGACAGCCCTGTACTAGTGATGCACTGAGCCTGTTATTTCTCCCTCAGTTGACAGTGAAGGAGTTCAAAGAACACATAGCTGCCTCAGTGGAGATCCCAGTGGACAAGCAGAGACTAATCTACCAGGGCAGAGTGCTGCAGGATGAGAGGACACTGAACGAATACAGTGAGTAAAAAAGCCAGCAACTATTCTATTCAAAGGACACAGTAAGTAATATACTACATACATAGTCTCTGCACTGTTGTAAAACAGCAAAACAGTTGAGATTGCTGGGAATCTCACAAACTTTGCCTTTAAAATGATTAATGGTATAATAATATGCCATTTAGCAGACGCTTTTATCCAAAGCGACTTACAGTCATGTGCGCATACATTTTTACGTATGGGTGGTCCCGGGGATCGAACCCACTACCCTGGCATTACAAGCGCCATGCTCTACCAATTGAGCTACAGAGGACCACATGTTGGTGTTGTAAATGAGAGCGCCTTACTCCAGTATCCTCTGACCCTCTCTCTTCCCCTCATTCGTCCACTGTCCTTCTCTCTCCTCCACTCTCATTCTCTCCACTCTCCTCTCTCCTTTTCTCTCCTCATCTGTCCTCCTCTCTTCTCCTCTCTCCTCCACTCTCATTCTCTCCTCCTCTCTCATCCACTATCCTTCTCGCTCCCTTCACTGTCCTTCTTTCAGATGTGGCTGGTAAGGTGATCCACTTGGTGGAGCGTGCTCCTCCTCAGACCTCCCAATCTGGTGGCGGGGGAGGAGGAGTGTCCTCAGGAGGAACAGAGGGAGGTGCCAACACCTCCTCCTCCCAGGGAGGACCCCAGGACCGCAACGGGAACAGCTACGTCATGCTGGGAAGCTTCAACCTGCCCGTCAACATCATGGACCCCCAGCAGATACAGGTGAGACAAGGTTGTGTGTTGGTGTGCACTGTGCTGCTGTTTCATAGAGTATTTATTAACAGGACCCTGAACAGCTTCTCCCCATCAGCCATAAGACTGCTAAATAGTTAGTTAAATAGTTAACTCATCACATACGCTGCTGTTACTATTTATTATCTATCCTGTTGCTTAGTCACTTTATCCCTACCTATATGTACAGTGCATTCGGAAAGTATTCAGACCCCTTGACTTTTTCCACATTTTGTTATGTTACAGCCTTATTCTAAAATGGATTTAAAAAAAAACATTTTCCTCATCAATATACACACAATATCCCATAATGGCAAAGCAAAAACAGGTTTTTAGATTTTTTTTGCAAATGTACTACAAATAAAAAACAAATACCTTATTTACATAAGTATTCAGACCCTTTGCTATGAGACTCAAAGTTGAGCTCAGGTGCATCCTGTTTCCATTGATCATCCTTGAGATGTTTCTACAACTTGATTGGAGTCCACCTGTGGTAAATTCAATTGATTGGACATCATTTGGAAAGGCACACACCTGTCTACATAAGGTCCCACAGTTGACAGTGCATGTCAGAGCAAAAATCAAGCCATGAGGTCAAACAAATTGTCCGTAGCGCTACGAGACAGGATTGTGTCAAGGCACAGATCTGGGGAAGGGTACGAAAACATTTCTGCAGCATTGAAGGTCCCCAAGAACGCAGTGGCCTGCATCATTCTTAAATGGAAGAAGTTTGGAACCACCAAGACTCATCCTAGAGCCGGCCGCCCGGCCGAACTGAGCAATCGGGGGAGAAGGACCTTGGTCAGGGAGGTGACCAAGAACCCGATGGTCACTCTGATAGAGCTCCAGAGATCCTCTGTGGAGATGGGAGAACCTTCCAGAAGGACAACCATCTCTGCAGCACTCCACCAATCAGGAATTTATGGTAGTGTGGCCAGACGGAAGCCACTCCTCAGTAAAAGGCACATAACAGCCCGCTTGGAGATCGCCAAAAGGCACCTAAAGACTCTCAGACCATGGGAAACAAGATTGAACTCTTTGGCCTGAATGCCAAGCTTCACGTCTGGAGGAAACCTGGCACCATCCCTACGGTGAAGCATGTTGGTGGCAGCATCATGCTGTGGGGATGTTTGTCAGCAGCAGGGACTGGGAGACTAGTCAGAATCGAGGGAAAGATGAACGGAGCAAAGTACAGAGAGATCCTTGATGAAAACCTGCTCCAGAGCACTCAGGACCTCAGACTGGGGCAAAGGTTCACCTTCCAACAGGACAACGACCCTAAGCACACAGCCAAGACAATGCAGGAGTGGCTTCAGGACAAGTCTCTGAATGATCTTGAGTGGCCCAGCCAGAGCCTGGACTTGAACCCGATCGAACATTTCTGGAGAGACCTGAAAATAGCTGTGCAGCGACGCTCCCCATCCAACCTGACAGAGCTTGAGAGGATCTGCAGAGAAGAATGGGAGAAATTCCCCAAATACAGATGTGCCACACTTGTAGCATCTTACCCAAGAAGACTTGAGGCTGTAATTGCTGCCAAAGGTGCTTCAACAAAGTACTGAGTAAAGGGTCTGAATACTTATGTAAATGTGATATTAATTTTTTCTTTTCTTTTTTTAAGTTTGCAAAAATGTATAAAAACCAGTTTTTGCTTTGTCATTATGGGGTATTGCGTGTAGATTCAAAACAATGTAATTTAATTTTAGAATAAGGCTGTAACGTAACAAAATGTGGAAGAAGTCAAGGTGTCTGAATACTTTCCGAATGCACTGTATCTACCTCAATTACCTCGTACCCCTGCACATCGACTCTGTATTGGTACCCCGTGTATATAGCCAAGTTATCCTTAGTCATTGTGTATTTATTCCTTGTGTTATTATTATTTATATATTTTTACTCTCTGTATTGTTGGGAAAGGCCTGTAAGTAAGCATTTCACTGACAGTCTACACCTGTTGTTTATGAAGCGTTTGACAAATACAATTTTAGAAAATGTTAGTTTTTCAGAATAAATCTAATATCGAGCACCTAAATAATGTATTTAATTAAAATGTTTTAAAGGATACCAAATGTGTTGAGTGTCTAGATGAATTGAGTGTATTATCAATGTATCAACAGTGTAGTAATACAAGTGTAATAACTGAATTCCTTGGCAGATGCAAGTACAGCAGATGATGGCAGGAGTGGGAGAAGCAGGAAGGAATACCAGAGTCAGCACCAGCACTGGAGTAAGTCTTTTTTTATTATTGTCATATGATATAGATTATTAATATTACTAGTAGGGTATGTTTATGATCCGTCTTGTTTCTAGAGCAACGGCTCAGTGGATGTGCATATCAACGTTGACCAATCAGTGCAGAGCGAGCCCAGGATGAGGCTGCAATTGGCTGAGAACTTGCTAAGAGATACCCAATCTCTGATCCACAGACTGGAGGTACAGTTACAACTTGCATACTATGCTATGTTATGTTATGCTATTATGATATGCTATACAGAAATCTATTTTCAGTGCCGAGTTGACCTTTTAGACAGCATGTTTGTGTTTATGTTTGTGTTTGCAGGGTCAGCCCAGTGACGTGCCATCTCAAGCCGAGCCGGAGACGTCTCAGTCCACCTCCTCCTCCTCCTCTTCCTCCTCATCCTCCTCTTCCTCTTCCTCTACAGCTGCCACTGAAGGAGCAGCACAGCCTATGGACACCTCCCCCCCTGCTCCACCACCTCCTCCTCCCACATCCTCCACCCAGACAGAGGGACTACCCCACTCCGGGCCCAAGTAAGTGCTCAGGAGGGAACAGCGTAGCAAAGCATTACAATTCTTTTGGGGAAAATCAAGTTCAAGTAGAATCAAAACGCTTACTCCTGTTTCGTGCCTACTGAACAAACACCTCTCTGTCTCTTTCCCTCTTCCACTCCCTCCCCAGCCACCCCAGCCCAGCAGAGCTGGTGGAGGTGTTGTCAGAGGTGAGGAGGGTGGAGGAGAGGCTTCGTCCCTTCATAGAGAGAACTCACTCCATCCTGGGGGCTGCCACTTCAGCAGACTACAACAACAACGTAAGCACTACAACTCAATTCCATTCCATTGCACAGCAACTAGCTATCCGCACCCCGTGCAACACATCATCACACTGTTTTTGACTTCAACCTTAAACTCCTGTCATCAAGGCAAAGGGTGGCTATTTAAAGAATCTCAAATATAAAATATATTTTGATTTGTTTAACACTTTTTTGGGTACTACATGATGTGTTATTTCATAGTTTTGATGTTTTCACTATTATTCTACAATGTAGAAAATAGTAAAAATGAAGGAAAACCCTTGAATGAGTGGGTGTGTCCAAACTTTTGACAGGTACTGTATACTTCCATTCATTTTTTCAACTGGTACCGGGGGATCTTCAGACGAGTCTTGTGAGGCCTGTGGGCGTCCTAGTATAAATATTACTGTGTAGCCCAAACTGTTCGGACGCTACAGACAGAAGTTGGCAGATCGGCTGTACCGACTTCCGACGAGTCCCAAGAAGCTTGTGTGGGCCGTAGAGCAAAATGGAGAACACCATCGTGTTCGTGAGAGTCTCATCTTTCCATAGTCTTTAGGCCAAACCGTTCGGATGCTACAGGCGATTTTGTGAGAAGACCAATTTTTGGGATGTCTCATGGTCTGACAAACACCACTCTAGCTCTGTCACCTTTCACCGCAGATGCGGGAGTGTTACATAGGCGGATGCGGTGGATTGAGACGCATTCAATGCAAAAAAAACAGATATCTCTCTAGCTTAAACTGACAGATTTTGATGGGGATGTTTTTATTATGCTAATTAGATTTCCGCGGGGGCGCAGACATCGACCTTAGGCGGTTAACTTTAATGGTGTCCATGAGAAGAAAAGTTCCATCATAAACTGCGCCGCAGAGTATAGTGAGTATTTTTGAATAGATCAGTCACAGTGCAGTTTTGCATGAGGAAAATGGAGCCCCAAACAGACTTGAATAAACCGCATGTGAATCAATCACCACATTGTTCTTCTGTCGTCACAGACCCAGGAGAGAGAGGAGGACCAGCATGTTCTCAACCTGGTCGGGGAGTCTCTCCGTCTCCTTGGCAACACCCTGGTTGCCCTTAGCGATCTGCGTTGTAACCTGGCCACTCCTCCCCCCCGTCACGTCCACGTGGTTCGGCCCATGTCCCACTACGGCTCCCCCGTCCTGCTGCAGGGTGGTATGCCCCACCACATCCCCATACCGGTAGGTCACTGTGTGGAGAGTTTCTTCCACTTATACTCTCAGCAGTTTTTGTATTTCAGTACCAGGGCCTAATACTAACTAAACCTCTTACTTTGTACCAGCATTTAGCTGTTGGTCCGGTGCAAATTTAAGGCCCAGTTTGGTACATGCACACCGTTTTCTAGGGACATTATTAACTTGACTTATGTCTTCAGATAAACCTTGGAAACCTGGGGACCACAGTGACTATGACGTCCAATGGGAGGCAGGCAGCCGAGGGCCGAGCCCAACCCTCTCAGGCTCCTGGCCCATCAGAGAGCCAGGCCCCACCTCCACAGCCCAACGCAGCCAATCAGCAGCCAGGTCAGGGCCAGGGGGCTCCGCATGTGATCAGAATCACCCACCAGACCATGGAGCCTGTGGTAATGATGCAGATGAACTTGGACGGTGAGGGAGGGGACACATTTTTATTTTCTCTCACTCTTGGCTCATCTCTTGGAGTTGTCATGCCCTAACAGTGTCTCTCATGCATACCAAATGATCAATACATTAGGTAATCAATCCAAACCGAGAGAGACCGTAGCCATTGTTTATCTCCTATAGGAAACCTTATAGGTGTGTTAGAGCAAGGCTTGCATACCCAGTATGTACAGTGGGGAGAACAAGTATTTGATACACTGCCGATTTTGCAGGTTTTCCTACTTACAAAGCATGTAGAGGTCTGTAATTCTTATCATAGGTACACTTCAACTGTGAGAGACGGAATCTAAAACAAAAATCCAGAAAATCACATTGTATGATTTTTAAGTAATTAATTTGCATTTTATTGCATGACATAAGTATTTGATCACCTACCAACCAGTAAGAATTCCGGCTCTCACAGACCTGTTAGTTTTTCTTTAAGAAGCCCTCCTGTTCTCCACTCATTACCTGTATTAACTGCACCTGTTTGAACTCGTTACCTGTATAAAAGACACCTGTCCACACACTCAATCAAACAGACTCCAACCTCTCCACAATGGCCAAGACCAGAGAGCTGTGTAAGGACATCAGGGATACAATTGTAGACCTGCACAAGGCTGGGATGGGCTACAGGACAATAGGCAAGCTTGGTGAGAAGGCAACAACTGTTGGCGCAATTATTAGAAAATGGAAGAAGTTCAAGATGACGGTCAATCACCCTCGGTCTGGGGCTCCATGCAAGATCTCACCTCGTGGGGCATCAATGATCATGAGGAAGGTGAGGGATCAGCCCAGAACTACACGGCAGGACCTGGTCAATGACCTGAAAAGAGCTAGGACCACAGTTTCAAAGAAAACCATTAGTAACAGACTACGCCGTCATAGATTAAAATCCTGCAGCGCACGCAAGGTCCCCCTGCTCAAGCCAGCGCATGTCCAGGCCCGTCTGAAGTTTGCCAATGACCATCTGGATGATCCAGAGGAGGAATGGGAGAAGGTCATGTGGTCTGATGAGACAAAAATAGAGCTTTTTGGTCTAAACTCCACTCGCCGTGTTTGGAGGAAGAAGAAGGATGAGTACAACCCCAAGAACACCATCCCAACCGTGAAGCATGGAGGTGGAAACATCATTCTTTGGGGATGCTTTTCTGCAAAGGGGACAGGACGACTGCACCGTATTGAGGGGAGGATGGATGGGGCCATGTATCGCGAGATCTTGGCCAACAACCTCCTTCCCTCAGTAAGAGCATTGAAGATGGGTCGTGGCTGGGTCTTCCAGCATGACAACGACCCGAAACACACAGCCAGGGCAACTAAGGAGTGGCTCCGTAAGAAGCATCTCAAGGTCCTGGAGTGGCCTAGCCAGTCTCCAGACCTGAACCCAATAGAAAAGCTGGCCATGCTTTCCATCTGGCTACCACTAACCCGGCCACCAACTCTGCACCCTCTGCTGCAACTTGCCCATGCCCCCCCCACGCTTCTCCTTCACACAAATTCAGACAGCTGATGTTTTTGAAAGCGCTGCAAAATCTGGACCCCTACAAATCAGCTGGGCTAGAACAATCTGGACCCTTTCTTTCTAAAACTATGCCGCCGAATTGTCGCAACCTATTACTAGTCCTGTTCACCTCTCTTTCATAACGTCTGAGATCCCAGAATTGGAAAGCTGCCGCGGGCATCCCCCTCTCAAAGGGGGTTGACACTCTAGATCCAAACTGCTACAGATCGTGTACGACTTCCGACGAGTCCAAGAAGCTTTGTGGGCCGTAGAGCAAAATGGAGAACACCATCGTGTTCGTGAGAGTCTCATCTTTCCATATGTCTTAGGCCAACCGTTCGGATGTACAGCGATTTTGTGAGAAGACCAATTTTTGGGATGTCTCATGGTCTGACAAACACACTCTAGCTCTGTCACCTTTCACCGCAGATGCGGGAGTGTTACATAGGCGGATGCGGTGGATTGAGACGCATTCAATGCAAAAAAAACAGATATCTCTCTAGCTTAAACTGACAGATTTTGATGGGGAGTTTTTATTATGCTAATTAGATTTCCGCGGGGGCGCAGACATCGACCTTAGGCGGTTAACTTTAATGGTGTCCATGAAGAAGAAAGTTCCATCATAAACTGCCGCCGCAGAGTATAGTGAGTATTTTTGAATAGATCAGTCACAGTGCAGTTTTGCATGAGGAAAATGGAGCCCCAAACAGACTTGAATAAACCGCATGTGAATCAATCACCACATTGTTCTTCTGTCGTCACAGACCCAGGAGAGAGAGGAGGACCAGCATGTTCTCAACCTGGTCGGGGGAGTCTCTCCGTCTCCTTGGCAACACCCTGGTTGCCCTTAGCGATCTGCGTTGTAACCTGGCCACTCCTCCCCCCCGTCACGTCCACGTGGTTCGGCCCATGTCCCACTACGGCTCCCCCGTCCTGCTGCAGGGTGGTATGCCCCCACCACATCCCCATACCGGTAGGTCACTGTGTGGAGAGTTTCTTCCACTTATACTCTCAGCAGTTTTTGTATTTCAGTACCAGGGCCTAATACTAACTAAACCTCTTACTTTGTACCAGCATTTAGCTGTTGGTCCGGTGCAAATTTAAGGCCCAGTTTGGTACATGCACACCGTTTTCTAGGGACATTATTAACTTGACTTATGTCTTCAGATAAACCTTGGAAACCTGGGGACCACAGTGACTATGACGTCCAATGGGAGGCAGGCAGCCGAGGGCCGAGCCCAACCCTCTCAGGCTCCTGGCCCATCAGAGAGCCAGGCCCCACCTCCACAGCCCAACGCAGCCAATCAGCAGCCAGGTCAGGGCCAGGGGGCTCCGCATGTGATCAGAATCACCCACCAGACCATGGAGCCTGTGGTAATGATGCAGATGAACTTGGACGGTGAGGGAGGGGACACATTTTTATTTTCTCTCAGTCTTGGCTCATCTCTTGGAGTTGTCATGCCCTAACAGTGTCTCTCATGCATACCAAATGATCAATACATTAGGTAATCAATCCAAACCGAGAGAGACCGTAGTCATTGTTTATCTCCTATAGGAAACCTTATAGGTGTGTTAGAGCAAGGCTTGCATACCCAGTATGTACAGTGGGGAGAACAAGTATTTGATACACTGCCGATTTTGCAGGTTTTCCTACTTACAAAGCATGTAGAGGTCTGTAATTTTTATCATAGGTACACTTCAACTGTGAGAGACGGAATCTAAAACAAAAATCCAGAAAATCACATTGTATGATTTTTAAGTAATTAATTTGCATTTTATTGCATGACATAAGTATTTGATCACCTACCAACCAGTAAGAATTCCGGCTCTCACAGACCTGTTAGTTTTTCTTTAAGAAGCCCTCCTGTTCTCCACTCATTACCTGTATTAACTGCACCTGTTTGAACTCGTTACCTGTATAAAAGACACCTGTCCACACACTCAATCAAACAGACTCCAACCTCTCCACAATGGCCAAGACCAGAGAGCTGTGTAAGGACATCAGGGATACAATTGTAGACCTGCACAAGGCTGGGATGGGCTACAGGACAATAGGCAAGCTTGGTGAGAAGGCAACAACTGTTGGCGCAATTATTAGAAAATGGAAGAAGTTCAAGATGACGGTCAATCACCCTCGGTCTGGGGCTCCATGCAAGATCTCACCTCGTGGGGCATCAATGATCATGAGGAAGGTGAGGGATCAGCCCAGAACTACACGGCAGGACCTGGTCAATGACCTGAAAAGAGCTAGGACCACAGTTTCAAAGAAAACCATTAGTAACAGACTACGCCGTCATAGATTAAAATCCTGCAGCGCACGCAAGGTCCCCCTGCTCAAGCCAGCGCATGTCCAGGCCCGTCTGAAGTTTGCCAATGACCATCTGGATGATCCAGAGGAGGAATGGGAGAAGGTCATGTGGTCTGATGAGACAAAAATATAGCTTTTTGGTCTAAACTCCACTCGCCGTGTTTGGAGGAAGAAGAAGGATGAGTACAACCCCAAGAACACCATCCCAACCGTGAAGCATGGAGGTGGAAACATCATTCTTTGGGGATGCTTTTCTGCAAAGGGGACAGGACGACTGCACCGTATTGAGGGGAGGATGGATGGGGCCATGTATCGCGAGATCTTGGCCAACAACCTCCTTCCCTCAGTAAGAGCATTGAAGATGGGTCGTGGCTGGGTCTTCCAGCATGACAACGACCCGAAACACACAGCCAGGGCAACTAAGGAGTGGCTCCGTAAGAAGCATCTCAAGGTCCTGGAGTGGCCTAGCCAGTCTCCAGACCTGAACCCAATAGAACATCTTTGGAGGGAGCTGATAGTCCGTATTGCCCAGCGACAGCCCCGAAACCTGAAGGATCTGGAGAAGGTCTGTATGGAGGAGTGGGCCAAAATCCCTGCTGCAGTGTGTGCAAACCTGGTCAAGACCTACAGGAAACGTATGATCTCTGTAATTGCAAACAAAGGTTTCTGTACCAAATATTAAGTTCTGCTTTTCTGATGTATCAAATACTTATGTCATGCAATAAAATGCAAATTAATTACTTAAAAATCATACAAAGTGATTTTATGGATTTTTGTTTTAGATTCCGTCTCTCACAGTTGAAGTGTACCTATGATAAAAATTACAGACCTCTACATGCTTTGCAAGTAGGAAAACCTGCAAAATCGGCATTGTATCAAATACTTGTTCTCCCCACTGTATATTCAGAGTTGTAAGCTAATGTCTTCTCCCTGGTTGTCTCTCCATTAGATTCTGGCAGCGGCCCTCAGGTCCAAGGACAACAGATCCCCATGGGTACTGGACAGCCTGGTGAGTGCTTTTGACCCCTACATCACACTATGTTCACTATGTTCACTTGGACCTCCCGAGTGGCGCAGTGGTCTAAGGCACTGCGCCACTAGAGATCCTGGTTCGAATCCATAGCCGGCCACGACCGGGAGACCCATGGGGCGGCGCACAATTGGCCCAGCGTCGTCCAGGGTAGGGGAGGGAATGGCCGGCAGGGATGTAGCTCAGTTGGTAGAGCATGGCGTTTGCAACGCCAGGGTTGTGGGTTCTATTCGCTCTGGATAAGAGCGTCTGCTAAATGACTAAAATGTAAAATGTAATGGTGTATATACACCAGACAGCCTTAAATGACCCCTATACCACAGTCTGTCAACCACCAGTCCCTGGGATGTTGCTGACCGTTTTATCAAGTATTTATTTCTGTGCTCTCTCAATCTGAAGGTGCTACTCCAGTCCACATCCCAGGCCTTCCTCCAGAGTTCATGCAGGCCATCGTCCACCAGCTCTCTCAGCAGGCGGCTGCCATGGCAACCGCCGCCTCCACCGGTCATCCCGGGCAACCAGGAGTGGGTGTCCCCGGGGCCACCCCCAGCTCTGAACCCTCTGCCCCGCCTCACCCTCACAGCCCATTGCCCCCTGGGGCCAGGGTGGCGATCACGCGCCCCTCCTTCTCCCCCCACATCCCCCAGCCTGTGGGCACCAGGGGCACCACAATCAACCTCAGGGCTTCAGTGCCCCCTGCTGGCGGACAACAGAACCTACAGGTGAGGCGAGGACTGTTGCTGTTGTACGTCGGCAAGGGTGGCCAATCCTCCTGGAGAGCTACTGGGTGTGCAGACTTAAGTTCCAGCCCTGCTCCTACACAGTAATTCAACTGATCAACTGATCTCTTCTTCCATTTCTTCTCTTCTTCCAGGGCACACCTCTGGCTCCCTCTCCCCTAACTCAGATGATCAGTGGTCTGGTTGGACAGCTCCTGATGCCTGGACAACAGATGCCTGGACAGCAGGGTGAGTGATTGATTGGTTGATTGACTGATTAGTTGATTGGTTGATTATTGTATTTGGTGAATGGTGGGTTTTATTTTGTAGCGTTCAGTGTCATCACTGTGATATTTTACGTGGTATATTCAGTTTTCAAATTCTTTCTATAGATTTGCCATGTTTCTTTCAAAACACACATTTCTGGTTTTTGAAAATGAACAATGAATCACAAGTCTTTTTTTTCCTAGGTCCTCCAGGTGACCAGGCATCCACCAGCTCCTCCTCTGCCTCCCACTCCTTCTCTTTCTCCACCTCCTCCTCTTCATCCTCTTCTGCCTCCTTCTCCTCCTCCAACCCCGTCCCTCCCCACCCCTCCTGTGGGGCGACCACCTCTGGCCAGACCACCACCCACACCACCAACACCACCTCCGTGGGCCAGCCACCGGAGGGGGTTGCCGAGGCCAACCTAGCCCAGCTCCTGGGCTCCCTGCTGGGTGGAGCAGGCGTGCCAGGAGCCCCTGGTTCTGCAGCTAACCCACACATCACTGTGACTGTACCTGGAGTCCCAGGGTTCTTCCAAGGCATGTCAGAATTCAACCAGGTGAGAGATTAAGTTATTGAACCCTATTGGTAACTTCTTGAGAACTCTTAAAATCAGTTTGACTGAAAAGTAACTATTAGGTAATATAATCATGTAATTACACTGTTAGTACGCTGTAATAAAAGTTAAAGTAGTCGTAATTAGAAGTTGAAGTAGTCGTGATTTGTAGAAGTTGAAGTAGTCGTAATTAGCAGAAGTTGAAGTGGTCGTAATTTGTAGAAGTTGAAGTGGTCGTAATTAGCAGAAGTAAACTCCAGACAACTAGATGACTACAACAGTGTTACTCAATAGTTCCTCTCCCATTTCTAGGCTAACCAACCCATCTTCTCCCGACCCTCACCCGCACCCGGCCAGGAGCCTCCCCCTGGCCAAGGCACCCCTGCCCCCCCTCCCCAGGCGGCCCCTGGGGGTGAACGGGACCCCTCCCTGAGCCCGGACCTGTTTACAGGTATTGTCCAGGGGGTCCTCTCCACCATGATGGGTTCTCTGGGGGCTCCGCAGGGTAACGGGGAGAGCATCGCTCAGTTCATCCAGAGACTGTCTCAGACCACCAACCTTTTCACACCTGGATCTGGGGACGCTGTCGGTGAGTTAGTGACTAAAGTAAAAACCTTCTAACACTTAACTTTTGTACTGTTGTCTTTCGCTCATACACATACTAGTCCTTTCTTACTAGCACAGAAAAGATAGCGGCTATTTCGACTGTTTTATTTGTAATGATTGGGATATATGGTAGTCTTACCTACTTAAGTTGAATACTTTTATTGTAAGTGTCTCTGGTCAAAAGAGGCTGCCAAATGACTGGAATATACATGTAAAAAATCCAAACATTTATCAATCTACACCTGACCTGATGGTGTGCCTTGCCATCTGTGATGGCGTTCTTGAAAAAGTGAAATACGTTTTTGCTGAACATCTTCTTTGACCTGCAGGGTTCTTTGGGGACCTGTTGTCTATGGTGTGTCAGAGTTTCTCCATGGTGGACATGGTGTTGTTACTCCATGGTAACGCCCAGCCTCTCAGCCGGATCCAGCCCCAGCTGACTGACTTCTTCAACCAGCACTACCTGCAGGGCCGAGAGCCTACTGACGCCAATATCAATGTGAGTAACTCTGCTCTACTGCCACCTGCTGTTTTGTTGAGAATCACAACATGAAATTGGCACAGCATTCTCTGCATTCGCATTTAACTTTATTAAGACCAATGTTTGTGGCATCACCTCAAAGGGTGTGTGTTCTTTATTTTATCACTCTGCTTGAAGTTTAGAAACTGAATCTACCTTGTCTTGTTGTCTTTGCAGGCAGCATCTGAAGACCTCATCAATGGTCTGGAGGAGTACATAGCAGAGAGCTTTGTAAGTCTCTCTCTCTCTGACTCTCTCTCTCTCTCTCTCTCGACTCTTAAATATGTTGATAATGTTGTAATAATACTGTACCCTGTCTCTCTCTCAGGCCACAGTGACAGTGAGAGAGGGAGTGGACATCATTCAGACCAACATCTCTTTCCTTAGACAGCAGTTCACCCGCATGGCCACGCACATCCTACGCTGCACAGGTAAAACACTCAAACCCCTTAGGTAAAATACAGCTTTGCTATACTAGGTCCCACGCATTGGTACCAAACTGGTTCACTGGAATACTGACAATCCTACTCTATTACCTAACAGCAACATGACTGTACATCTGTTGCTCCTCTCTACCTCTCTGCAGACCACACGTTTGGCCCCCGCCTGCTGCTGCTCTGCACCCAGGGTCTGTTTGAGTGTCTGGCTCTCAACCTGTACTGTCTCCGAGGGGAACAGAGAGCTCTCACCCAAGTCATCAACCACCGCATCGTTAGTACACTCCTCTACACTACTCTATTATTTGATTGACTTTAGTGTTTCCCAACCCGGTCCTCAGGACCTATAGCCATTCCACATATTTTCCTATTTTAGTACAAGCTAGTTGCTAAACTAGTCAATGAATCAGTTGAATCCCATTGTATCTGGTAGGTTAGGTTGTGGGTTGAGTCGTGTCTGCATGGTGGGTAAGGTATAGATCTATAGATGTTTCTCTCTCCTCTCTCTATGTCCACAGACGAGGATGTCAGCAGAGGTCAACCCCAGCCTGGTCAACTGGCTGACCAGTATGATGACCATGAGACTCCATGTCATTCTGGAGCACAACCCAGTCACTGAGGACCACATCCAGCACTATGTCATCCACACACAGAGAGCAGAGCCTGAGGCACAGGCTGGACAGCAGACAGACACACAGAACATGGAGGTGAGTGATTGTGTGTGGGCGTACATAGGTTAGTCTTTCCAGGTGTTGTTATCTGAGGGTTATAAGGACACTATGCTTGGGCACACCTAGAAAAATATCTGGTAATTCCATGAAATCAGCGAGGAACACAAAGTTCAGACAGCTTTGAGGACATGTTTATCTTCATGTCTTCATACAGTACAGCTAACCTTAGTTAACCTTCTTCTCCTCTCTCTCCCTATCACTAGATGGATGAAGGTCTGTCCCCGGCCCCAGCCACCACAGCAGGGGAGGCCATGGTTTCATCAGGGGACAGACAGGAAGTTGGAGCGTCCCCCGGGGTGACCACCCCCTCGCGGAGAGCATCGTCAGGGGAGACTGGAAGAGCCGCTGCCATGGCAGCAGGAAGAAGGGAGGAGTCTGTAGGAGACGTGGAGCCCTGGGCAGCTACAGTACCCCCTGTAAGGCCTATGCTTTACTGTTTAGGGAAGCGTTTCCCAAACTCGGTTCTGGGGACCCCAAGGGGGGCACATTTTGGTTTTTGCCCTAGCCCTACACAGCTGATTTCAAATAATCACCTCACCATCAACCTTAGATTTTTTTAAGTTTGTGAATGGCTGGTTTAGGGGTTAAGTGCCTTGCTCAAGGCACAGTGTCAAGAGAGGGCATCTAGGATACCTAGAATCCCACCAGATTTGTTCTCAGTCAGACACAGTATTTGAACTTGTAACTTTACGGTTACAGGCCCACCTCTTTAACCTCTAAGCTATGTGTTTGTATTCATCAGGAGTGGGTGCCCATCATCAGACACGACATGCTGTCTCAGAGGAAGATGAAGACTCAGCCCCCTCTGTCTGACGCATACCTCCACGGGATGCCTGCCAAGAGGAGGAAGGTGAGCTGTGTGGGGGGGGGGGGCTTCATTACTATCACTGTGCTTAAGTAAGACTGCCCATGGAACATTCTTGAAGCAAATGCCTGAACTTTCATGGTTATTCTGACAATATCTCTAAAGCAAGTGAGAGTGAAACATTTCGAAACATCAAATAAAAATGAGTATTTCTCATTTAGTCAAGTTGAGGTAATACCTCTCTGTTTCAAAACATTTTCTCCCATTTCATGCCATCTGAGCACACCTCTGGTTAGTGTTGACCTGTTGTTATCCCCCTCACCCAGACCCACCAGGGTGAGGGCCCCCACCTGTCCCTGTCTGAGGCAGTGAGCCGGGCTGCCCGGGCTGCAGGAGTCATACCTGTCACTAGCCCAGACAGCCTCCACGGGGAGCTAGAGGAGCCAGCGCTGCAGGAGGCCTACCAAGAACAGGTAAACTACGGCCAGTGTTGCTATCTGGAGGGTGCAACGTCATCCCTAATCTAATCACACATACATTAGTAATAACCTCAAGGTAAGGGAGGAAGAGAGGAAGCATTTAAAAAGTAAATAAACAGAGCCCAAACATCTATTTCTGGCTCATGTTCACTCTGAAACAGCAGGGTGAACGAGACTTGGAAGTGTGGCAACGTGAGACTAACCAGGCCCTAACCTTGACTCATGTGTTTGTCTCAGGTGAGGAGTGACATCAAGGAGAGAGTAAGGGATGACCAAGACTTCAGCTCCCAGCGTTTCCCCAACATACACCGCGCCTTCTCTCTAGATGACTCTTAAATCTCATTGGTCCTCAGGCCTGTCAAAAACCCCATCTAGACAATCAGTTTTCTCCATGGATGACTCCTAAACTGATTGGTCACCACACCTGTCAATAACCACATCTAGCAAATCACTCACAACCATGATGTATCCTGGGGTTTGTTCATCATCATGCAGCTCTGACATCACGTCAGGAATCACGTCCGCTCGATTCGTGACATTTCTATCTTCAACATTATGTAATGCGCCCCAGACTCCATTCTGCAACATTCCCTGCAGGTCTCTCATATCCAATGAAGGACAAAGAGCAAAGAAAATACAAGAGACATGACTTGCTTAGACCCTGCTTTCTCACTGACCTGCCACGGAAAATGCCACTCACTGAAAACCGAGAAGAGCTTTACAACCTGTCTGTCATCTATCAATGGAAAATGTCAGTCAGTGTGGTATCTTCCCCAAACCAATTATTTCTCATTCCAACAAACTCATTCCTAACTGGTTGTCATCTGTATGTCCTGTTGTCCTTATGAGGCTTTAAGTTGTAAATTAGCACAAATTGTACATTGTATTAAGAACGTGATGTAATAATATTGTAGTGATAATGCAACAGCTATTTCTTGTTAAGTTAATAAAGTAACGAAACCTTTCCATAGTCTCTTTTATTTATTTTTTGCGTTTAGGTGAAAGAAGCACTAGCCTGTTTAAACCAGACTGAACTGTGCTTACAAGTAAAACAATGGTGAGCGTAGCATTCAGTCTGGTGTAACAAGGCTATATGATTACCTATTTACTTTCAAAATAGAGAGGATGTTAGAGGTTTTGATGTTAGGGGTGATTATCATGTCATTAGTGACATTTTGTGTCTAGCTGTTTTAAGTGTGTTAATACAGAGCTCAATAGCTCAATGGTTGTTTAGCCATAATTATGTTAAGTTGTAATAACTGCCATAATCAAGACCATGATAAAGATAAACCTTTCTAGGTGACCACTGTTAGCATTTCTAGAACCGGACTGTTGTAAAAAGTTGAATGCTCTGTAACTTGTGAACATTGAAATAAACATTGTCTGAATGTAGAAATGCTATCAGAAATTCCTCTTGAGAAACCACACACACTTCTGCACTGTAGGGCTACATTTGTGAAATACAGGATTTATGTTTTATTTTTTAAACAATTGATTGACTGACTGACCATTCGGATCTTTCTGAAATGCTTAAAAATCTTGCTGACATTGAAATAAGATTGAATTGTCGGACAATAGTGTCTGGTGGTGATAAGGTGCTAATGTTTGGTAGGATGATATAGGACTCAGTCAAGGACAGCAGCAGATACACATTCATAATCACTAGATTGTTTTATTCACACATACAGACATAGCCAGGTTTCACACCAGATGTGGGGTTATTATTGCAAATAAGTGAGTAAAATCCTAAAGTAGCGACACACGGCACTAGACAAGAATGATTAATTCAGTCATGTTTTCCATTGATTTTTTTTCCTGAAACCATATATAGTCCTTGAAAGGGATAAAACCTTATATGAAAGAGGTCGTAACACCTTTACAAGTGTTCCAGTATCATTCATAACTAATTTATTCAACATCATGAGGTGTTATGAATGCCATATGTATGCCACCTTCAAGTAAATGTTGAGTATTAACGGTAGTGCTAGATCTAACACATGGTACGCTGTCACCTAGTTTGAGAAAGCACATGTAATGTAGTTTCAAACACACACGTTGTTGAGTGAAATATACTGTAGCAATGATACAGAGGAAGTTTGAGTCGCATTCTGATGACACGTACAGATACTCAATATTCTACAATAATTAATTTTTTGCTACTAATAATAACCATTAAATTAGAAGTAAACTGTCATTCCAATCAAGAGTATTGTTCAGGTGCAACTTGTTTTCCATCAGAAAATAACAAAGCCAAACTGTCAGTCCCAAACCGGCAAGTTCATATTTTTAGCAACCTGAATCCAGAGTCCTATATATGTCACGCAACTGTGTTGCAGTCTCAGTGTCAGGGACATGAACCCTGGTTGGGTTGAGGTCAGGTCAAACATTTACTGCAGGTCGGGCAGTCTGCAGCTGTCTCCTTTCCTCTCCCTCACAGCCAGTTAGCCATCCAACATGGAAGGACCATAGCAGTTTTCAACCAGGGTAGGATGGGGTTGTGATTGAAAGTTCCATCTCAACAATGAGGACATGAGATTTAATGCTCTTTAAAATAAGAGTTTTATGAGATTGACATGTACACTTCAAAATAAAAGTATTTGAGTGAAGTTCATACAGGGACAGACATCATCATGCATTCATATTAGCATCCATGTGGCATAAAGCAACCTATTCAATGACTTTCCACTGGTACACTGAGATCAGAGGGTCTGTTAGAAAAAGGCCCACATTGAATCATGGTGGGAGGCCATAGATAATAGCCGGGCCAACTGGCTATATAGAATGGGGTCTAGTCTCTCCATATAAGACTCCTGGCCTCAATACGGGGTTCGGTGGGTTGCTTGGGCTGTGTGCCAACTGTTACACCAACAAAGCATTCATCAGTGACAACTGTATTCAAAGGAAACCAGTGACAGATGTGTGCCCAGTTCCCAGGTCACTCGACTGCCCCATAGGCTGAGGGCACATTAAACACAAAATGACTGATTGATTTCAATAATGACTCATCCATTTAACTTTAACTTAAATGTTAATCAGGCATCAAATATTTTTCAACAATGCTTTTTTTTGTTGTTGTTGCATTTAACAGTCTTGTCCAATAATGTATGCCATTTAGCAGACACTTGTACGAGTAGCAGGCTATGTAGTGTGAGCGTATAGGCCCAGAGAGCGGTTCAACATCACACAAGTGCTATGCAATCGTTTGTTTGTGTGTTAACAAGGAACCAACTCAAGGTACCGACTCGACTTATTGGATAAACTGAAGTCCTGGATTGCATATTAACTGGATTGCATATTAAATAAAGTAGTAGCTGCTATTCTATTGCTGTGGGAGTCCAGAGAGAGAATGGTTTTGGACAGTTGTGGAGGAGAAAAACGTTGTACGGGTGAACAGGGTTAAACTTGTTTCTTTCCTTAACAACACTGATTGCATGTTTCTCCCTCTTGCTCCATTACTCCTCTCATGGTACACACATGCTTGTTCCTCCAGACCCTCCTTTCTCTCCGTTTCTCTCAGTCTCTGTCTTGTCGGAGGGAGGAGAGCAGGGGGGGCAGGAGGTTGAGGGCCGGCCGGTGCTCCTGGACCCCCAGGGCCACGAGGGCTCCCGCTAACAGAGTGGTCACCCCGGGCAGGATGGGCGGCTGGGCCTTCATCACCTGGAGGAAGACGGGAAAACAATACTCAGCAAGTTTGAGGTGATCAGTTTAGGCAAAGCACAGAATCTGAGGGTATTTCTTAGTTATTTGTAGGCATTTCTATTTCAGAGTCAGAGGAGACAGAACACCACAGGGTCACTTACTTTTTCCACTTTGTGACAATGTATGAGTCCATCATGGCCAAGGTAGAAGGTAGAGAATGCATCATATGACCTGTTGAAAGACCGTGTTCATTAGAGTATGAATGATCATAGAGAATTAATTAACAGTGAAGAGAAACACTGACCAGAAACACTATCCGTTCCACACAATACCAAATCAAATCAATACATTTCTATCTGAACATTGTGTAAAATTAAACAGATCCCAGTCAGGTTTCTGTACCTGTAGAGGTCAGTTTTGTCCTTGCGGTAGAATCTCAGCAGCAGAGAGACGAAGGGCAGTCCTCTTACCCTCCATCTGGCCTTGATGGTCCTGTCCTCTGGGTGCTTGGTCAGCTTCAGTACCTCTAACCGGGCCTCAGCATAGTAACAGAGACACAGCAGCCTCCACAGAGACAGGCTCAGCTGGTACAGAACTCTGCCCCTAGAGGACAGATGGACACAGTATAGCTGTATTATAATATAGACCTACTATGGGGGTGTATACGCGTGAAGTTACATATGTATACATTTCAGGGTTCGGGTCAATTCCATTTCATTTCAGGTAAGAAACTGCTATTAAGTAGACAAAGTAGCATTTACCTGGTCTTGGCATTTAGAATACAGTTGACGAACTCGATATCATTTGTGTACATGGTGTAGTCATGACTCTTCACAAAGAAACTAGGAAGCTGCAAATCAAACAAGTGATCATCAATACTATTAACTAAATAGCACTCTACAGTGCATTCGGAAAGTATTCAGACCCCTTGACTTTTTCCACATTTTGTAACGTTACAGCCTTATTCTAAAATGGATTTAAAAAAAGAAAAAACCCTCACTAATCTAAACACAATTCTCCATAATGACAAAGCAAAAACATGTTTTTAGTTTTTTTGCTAAATTCAGACCCTTTACTCAGTACTTTGTTGAAACACCTTTGGCAGCGATTACAGCCTCGAGTCTTCTTGGGTATGACGCTACAAGCTTGGCACACCTGTATTTGGGGAGTTTCTCCCATTCTTCTCTGCAGATCCTCTCAAGCTCTGTCCGGTTGGATGGGGAGCATCGCTGCACAGCTATCTTTAGATCTCTCCAGAGATGTTCGATCGGGTTCAAGTCCGGGCTTTGGCTGGGCCACTCAAGGACATTCAGAGACTTGTCCGGAAGCCACTCCTGCGTTGTCTTGGCTGTGTGCTTAGGGTCGTTGTCCTGTTGGAAGGTGAACCTTCGCCCCAGTCTGAGGTCCTGAGTGCTCTGGAGCAGGTTTTCATCAAGGATCTCTTTGTACTTTGCTCCGTTCATCTTTGCCTCGATCCTGACAGGTCTCCCAGTCCCTGCCGCTGCCGCTGAAAAACATCCCTACAGCATGATGCTGACACCACCATGCTTCACCGTAGGGATGGTGCCAGGTTTCCTCCAGACGTGACGCTTGGCATTCAGGCCAAAGAGTTCAATTTTGGTTTCATCAGACCAGAGAATCTTGTTTCTCATGGTCGGAGTTCTTTAGGTGCCTTTTGGCAAACTCCAAGCGGGCTGTCATGTGCCTTTTACTGAGGAGTGGCTTCCGTCTGGCAACTCAACCATAAAGGCCTGATTGGTGGAGTGCTGCATAGATTGTTGTCCTTCTGGAAGGTTCTCCCATCTCCACAGAATAACTCTGGAGCTCTGTAAGAGTGACCATCGGGTTCTTGGTCATCTCACTGACCAAGGCCCTTCTCTCCCGATTGCTCAGTTTGGCCAGGCGGCCAGCTCTAGGAAGAGTCTTGGTGGTTCCAAGCTTCTTCCATTTAAGTATGATGGAGGCCACTGTGTTCTTCGGGACCTTCAAGGCTGCAGACATTTTTGGGTACCCTTCCCAAGATCTGTGCCTCGACACAATCCTGTCTCGGAGCTCTACGTACAATTCCTTCGACCTCATGGCTTGGTTTTTTCTCTGACATACACTGTCAACTGTGAGACCTTATATAGACAGGTGTGTTCCTTTCCAAATCATGTCCAATGAATTGAATATACCACAGGTGGACTCCAATCAAGTTGTAGAAACATCTCAAGGATGATCAATGGAAACAGGATGCAGCTGAGCTCAATTTCGAGTCTCATAGCAAAGGGTCTGAAAACTTATTTAAATAAGGTATTTATATTTTTTATACATTTGTCATTATGGGGTATTGTGTATAGATTGATGAGTATTTAAATTTATTGAATCAATTTTAGAATAAGGCTGTAATGTAACAAAATGTGGAAAAAGTCAAGGGGTCTGAATACTCACCAAATGCACTGTATGCCATCAAACAGCCATCCCCTAACAAACCAACCCCTCTTCTCCTCTCTTACCTCAATCCTCAGCTTTTCATACATCAATGCCAGTTTCTCCTCGTTCTCCTCTCTCTGTGACCCTCCTGCACGGTCTCTCTCTCTGTGTAGCTACTATACAGAGAGGTGTGGAGCAACAGTGACAACTCATTCTCTAGTCCAATCATATGGCCAGATTTGTTCCCGTAACCAGGCAACGGCTCCATCCCTGGACAGTGGAAGCAGTAGAATCTAGATCCATACATAAATGGAGCGGGACATCCTTCCATCTCAAAAAGGCTCCGGAATGATCCTTTCTCCCTCTTTTCTGTTTCCGTCTCTCCCTCGTTCATCATCATCTTGGAACCTCTTGCCTGAACCTTAGTCGTCCCAATGCTGATGTCATCCTCTCGGCTCCCGTCCACCGTGGTTAGGGGGAAGAGGAACTCCACGGGCCTACTGAGTCCTCCCGGAGCCAGAAGCTCACCTAGTTTAATCTGCCCAAATAGAGGCACCTCCACCAGGGTGTGCTGGCCATCACACTCCACAGGGACGGGCCGCACCAGCACACACAGGCTGACAGTCTCTTCCCAGTCCTCGTCCAGGTCCGGGGGCCTCTGGCTGTGGGGTTGGCCCTGGCTGGCATGGTGGAAGGGGTGTGACAGGGCCAGCTGCTTGATGTTCTGGTACCTCAGACTGTTGGGGGGAACCAGGGCCCACGACACGCTGCTGAGCGACCGGATCTGTCCACTCCACTGCACATCCAGCGCCTGCAAATTCACATAGGACAAGTAAAGATTTTCGATAAGGTGCTCTTAATATAGCCTGGTCCCAGATCTGTAACAGATCTGGATCCAGCCTTGCTCTTATCCAAATATTTAATGAATGTAAACCTGTCTGTCAAGACAATACCTGAGCAAGACTCCAGCACTGTTGCTTGACTAGTTGCCTGCTGCCATGGCTCCTCACACACCCCACCCACAAGGCGATGCCCCCTCTACAAGTAGCCATTCACAAACAGGGGGTATATGTAACTCCAATCACCAGGGGCAGGGGCATGTAGGGGACACCCCAGACAGTCACCACACCACCATTCCACAGCAACCCCAAGGAAGGACCAGCTCTTTATCTTCTCGTTACCCTATCAATCCCAATAAAACATCTAGATGAAGAGAAGGGGTTAGGGTGGGCAGTTGAGGGTGAACAGTCATTTTTAGACCATCATCTCAATGATATGTCCATATGATCATATGGCCTGTTGTGTGCATGTGTAGGCTACTCAAGGAACAGTTGTGAGTTCATGCGTAGAATGCTAGACTGTAAATCAAGACCTATATACTACCATCATTCCCTGCCATGCCAGACAGGCATACATAGGGTACGCATGACACATACATGTATGCCTATACCATGACGAAGGACAGATAGATCTGGCATCCATGAAATTTCACAGACAGTATTTGTAAAAGTGAAAACAAAACCCCCAAGTTCTAATGAGATAATATTCCATATGGAAGAGAACTTCAATGAGGTGGGAATGATTCAAGACATTTTCAAATGTCCACTTCAGATTCAGTTTTTGACTATTCAACTTTTAGCTGAATGAACATAACATCGACACAACAAACACGGTCTTCCGAGTGCTAGGAGCAACAGACTTGATGCATGTCTGTCCTCTTTAACTTTGAAGTTTGACCCTACTTGAAAGCTATTTTGGAGCGCGAAAAAGCTATGTCAGTAGCATATGACAGTAAGTGGTGTAAACAGCAAACCACAAGATCATAATTGCTACTCAGAAGTCTTTCCAATAAGACACTGTCATTTGCTTCATTTGAACTCGACAACCACCCATAATTAGGAGCGAATTTCGTTTTGTTTCTTCTACAACTCTAGAACCGTGACCTTAATACATTACATAGATATACCGTGAACGGCCTCCGCAGTGTACTGTTAACCGGATCAATATTTGTTGACTTCTTGTCATAAGGTTAGACAACCGATATTCACTAATGATTGTAGAGGCAGAATACACTGCAAGCACAGCTCCTTCTCGTAGTTTCAATGATATACAATACTATGACTTTATTAACATGAGCTCGAGCTGATTTACAACAGTTGGTAACCCAATGGGATTGGTTGGTTTGATTGACACAATCTTGCAGACACGACCAGAAACAAATGAACCATGCTTCAACTTTGAAGTTGGTATGTATGGAAATACATTAATTGATTAATGACTATAGTGACCCCTCAATCTAGTTAGAAAACGCAAGCTAACGTTAGCTCGCTTCCTAGTTAGTTAGTTGATAAGCGAGCAGTTAGATCACCATGGTTAACACACTCCTTAGATTAGCACAACATTGGGTTAGCTAACGTTAGCAGCATGCATACCTGCTGTGTCAGAAGCGAATTGGATCGAAACTGCTATTAGTCAGTTTAGCAATGACCAGATAGTAAGACAATAATCCTCCAAGTCAGGTGTTTTACTTTGATATCCCACGTAATATTTCGAAATTGGAAGTTATCAAACGTTACACAAATGTCATTCCATGTACTAATGTCCTTGTCCTGCAGCAGCAACACGCCTCACGCCAGCGTAGGAACGTTTCTAGAAGAAAGAAAACACCCAACACGTCATACACCTGCGTAGCGCTGATTGGTGGAGAATGCATATATCCTTAGATGCAGAATGAATAAATCGATATTAATCGTTATCAACAAATGTTATATAACCATAGGCAATATTTTATATATATATATATATATATATATATATATAATAGTAATACATCGAAGTCTGCTGTAAAAAAAATGTGTAGGTATTTTTCTTGACTACTTTTTCAATGAAACTTTTCCAGCCATATAGTGAGAAAATATATAATTCTGTAAGACCTATCCTATGCATGCAAAAAACGTATTATGCATGCAAAAAAACGTATTATTTTAAAATTAAAAGCTTTTTTGCTCGCAAGAGACTGCAATTCTGTAACAGACCTACCGGTGGCGCTGTGAAATATTGCTTCACTCATTATTCACATGTCAACCGGCGACTGAAACTCAGTGGTGCTGTCGCTACATCATCGAGTGGAAAAATCTCAGGCCGCATGTGTGGTGATAAAATAAATACTTGTTCTTCTCTGACAGCCACTCTTACCACCGGTTTAAGTTATTTTTTTAAGACAAAGTCGTTGGTTTTCTGTTAATATCCGTAGAAATAGCCGAAAATGCCAAAGAAAGCGAAAGAAGACGCAGAATGGGAAGGAGAAGAGGGAGCAGCACCACCACCAGCGGCGGCAGGTAGCTAATTGCTGCTAGCAACTTAGCTAACGGTTACAGCTGAATCCTTTCCAGCCGTTGCAATAGACTGTTCGCTAAGAGAAAAAAAGTTGTTAGCTAGCTAATGTGCCTCAGTGAGTGATCTTTGATAAACAAGTAACGGTCATGGCTGTCATACGATATGGTGTATTTTGACAGCATAGTGTGACATTAGTGATGGTTAACTAGCTGGCTGGAAGCTACGTTAGTTAGCTAACTAGCTTTCTATCAATGTTGTGAAAATGATGCAATGCCATATTAATGCCTTGGAATTGTGTCAGACAAATGATTAATTGTTCTCTCTACTTGACAGTCAAGTAGAGACACCTCAACATTTAAAATAGTGAAAGGGGTCGTTTGTGGAAGAATAATCAACTCGGGGTCATAACTACATTTACATTTTAGTCATTTAGCAGACGCTCTTATCCAGAGCGACTTACAGTTAGTGAGTGCATACATTTTTCATACTGTCCCCCCGTGGGAAACGAACCCACAAGCAAGTGCCATGCTCTACCAACTGAGCTACAGGGGACCTAGTTATTAATTTCTCATTGAAGTCATGAAGGCTAGCTAGTTAGTTAGCTAGCTAGGTCATAGCTAGTATGCATTGTTAGAAGAACTGCTGTGTTGCCAAAAGTCATTCTGGAAATGCTCCACCCCTATGCTCCCCTTTTAACATGCGTTGCCTCCCCTCTGGCTCATTTGGCCACTCTTTTTGTCACTCAGTGCATCCATATGTTGATGACCAACTTGCTCATCTTTATACCTACATTTTTATCTCCCCTCTCTTCAGAAAAATCAGTAAAGAAAGGAAAGAAGGATAAGAAGGGGAAGAAGAGTGTGAGTAGTTATACCTCTTGTCGATATTTTGAGTTAATTGAATGTGGCGTGAAATAAAATGTAATCCTAAATGTGAACATTTAATAAAATGTGTCAACATTGCTCTCACACAGTTCTTTGATGAGCTGGCCACAGATAACAAAACTGAGAAGGAGGATGAACCAGTGCTGAAGGAGACTCAAGGAAAGCAGGTAATTATATTCCTTAACTACTACAGAGATATTATATAGGCCATTTTCAGGTGGATTACTACTTTTTGCAATACTGTATCAATAACACAACGTCCTGTGATATATTGACATGAATAAATCCACCTATTCCATAATTATTATGTTTTTTTCCCCCTTCCCACCCAATTTGCTCTCTTGAAAGACAGCAGACGAGCTTGAAGAGGTTGGGGAGGTTGGTTATATGTAGCCACTACTAGCCAGAATGGTAGCTAGCTTGCAGTGTTGAATCTACAATACATAGATAACCATTATATATAAATATAAATACTCAGTGCATTCAGAAAGTATTCAGACCCCTTGACTCTTTCCACATTTTCTTACATTACAGCCTTATTCTAAAATTGATTAAATTGTTTTTTCCCCCTCATCAAACTACACACAATGTCCAATAATGACAAAGCAAAAACTGTTTTTTAGACATTTTTGCAAATAGATTAAAAATAAAAACACATCTATTTACATAATTATTCAGACCCTTTACTCAGTACTTTGTTGAAGCACCTTTGGAAGGGATTACAGCCTTGATTCTTCTTGGGTATGACACTACAAGCTTGGCACACCTGTATTTGGGGAGTTTTTCCCCATCCTGTCAAGCTCTGTCAGGTTGGATGGGGAGCATCGCTGCACAGCTATTTTCAGGTCTCTCCAGAGATGTTTGATCAGGTTCAAGTCTGGGCCACTCAAGGACATTCAGAGACTTGTCCCGAAGCCACTCCTTTGTTGTATTGGCTGTGTGCTTAGGGTCGTTGTCCTGTTGGAAGGTTAACCTTCGCCCTAGTCTGAGGTCCTGAGCGCTCCGGAGAAGGTTTTCATCAAGGATCTCTCTGTACTTTGCTCCGTTCATCTTTCCCTCGATGCTGGCTAGTCTTTCCCTGCCGCTGAATAACATCCCCACAGCATGATGCTGACACCACCATGCTTCACCGTAGGGATGGTGCCAGGTGTCCTCCAGACGTGATGCTTGGCATTCAGGCCAGAGTTCAATCTTGGTTTCATCAGAACAGAGAATCTTGTTTCTCATGGTCTGATAGTCCTTTAGGTGCCTTTTGGCAAACTCCAAGCGGGCTGTCGTGCCTTTTACTGAGTAGTGGCTTCCGTCTGGCCACTCTACCATAAAGGACTGATTAGTGGAGTGCTGCAGAGAGATGGTTGTCATTCTGGAAGGTTCTCCCATCTCCACAGAGGAACTCTGGAGCTCTGTCAGAGTGACCATCGGGTTCTTGGTCACCTCCCTGACCAAGGCCCTTCTCCCCCGATTGCTCAGTTTGGCCGGGTGGCCAGCTCTAGGAAGAGTCTTGGTGGTTCCAAACTTCTTCCATTTAAGAATGATGGAGGCCACTGTGTTCTTGGGGACCTTCAATGCTGCAGAAATGTTTTGAAACCCTTCCCAAGATCTTGGCCTCGACACAATCCTGTGTCTGAGCTCTACGGACAATTCCTTCGACCTCATGGCTTGGTTTTTGCTCTGACATACACTGTCAACTGTGGGACCTTATATAGACAGGTGTGTGCCTTTCCAAATGATGTCCAATCAATTGAATTTACCACAAGTGGACTCCAATCAAGTTGTAGAAACATCTCAAGGAGGATCAATGGATACAGGATGCACCTGAGCTCAATTTCGAGTCTCATAGCAATGGGTCTGAATACTTATGTAAATAAGGTATTTCTGTTTTTTATTCTAAACACCTGTTTTTGCTTTGTCATTATGGGATATTGTGTGTAGATTGATGAGGGAAAACATTTATTTAATCAATTTTAGAATAAGGCTGTAAAGTAACAAATTGTGGAAAAAGTGAAGGGGTCTGAATACTTTCCGAATGCACTGTATATATGGCTCCCGAGTGGCGCAGCAGTCTAAGCCACTGCATCTCTGTGCTTCAGGCGTCACTACAGACCCCTGGTTCGATTCCAGGCTGTATCACAACCGGCCGTGATTGGGAGTCCCATAGGGCGGTGCACAATTGGCCCAGCGTCGTGCGGGTTTGGCCGGTGTAGGGCGTCATTGTAAATAAGAATTTGTTCTTAACTGACTTGCCTAGTCAAATAAAGGTGAAATAAATAAATATGAAAAATATATACACTACCGTTCAAAAGTTTGGGGTCACTTAGAAATGTCCTTGTTTTCGAAAGAAAAGCTTCTTTTTTTTGTCCATTTAAAATAACATCGAATTGATCAGAAATACAGTGTAGACATTGTTAATGTTGTAAATGGCTATTGTAGCTGGAAACGGCTGATTTTTTTTTTGGAATATCTACATAGGCGTACAGAGGCCCATTATCGGCAACCACCAGTCCTTTGTTCCAATGCCACGTTGTGTTTACTAATCCAAGTTGATCATTTAAAAAGGCTAATTGATCATTAGAAAACCCTTTTGCAATTATGTTAGCACAGCTGAAAACTGTTTTGCTGATTAAAGAAGCATTAAAACTGGCCTTCTTGAGACTAGTTGAGTATCTGGAGCATCAGCAATTATGGGTTCGATTACAGGCTCAAAATGGCCAGAAACAAATAACTTTCTTCTGAAACTCGTCAGTCTATTATTGTTCTGAGAAATTAAGACTATTCCATGCGAGAAATTGCCAAGAAACTGAAGATCTCGTACAACACTGTGTACTACTCCCTTCACAGAACAGCACAAACTGGCTCTAACCAGAATAGAAAGAGGAGTGGGAGGCCCCGGTGCACAACTGAGCAAGAGGACAACTACATTAGTGTCTAGTTTGAGAAACAGACGCCTCACAGGTCCTCAACTGGCAGTTTCATTAAATAGTACCCGCAAAACACCAGTCTCAACGTCAACAGTGAAGAGGCGACTCTGGGATGCTGACCTTCTAGGTAGAGTTGCAAAGAAAAAGCCATATATCAGAATGGCCAATAAAAATAAAATATTAAAATGGGCAAAAGAACACAGACACTGGACAGAGGAAGATTGGAAAAAAGTGTTATGGACAGACAAATCGAAGTTTGAGGTGTTCGGATCACAAAGAAGAACATTTGTGAGACGCAGAACGAATGAAAAGATGCTGGAGGAGTGCTTGATGCCATCTGTCAAGCATGGTGGAGGCAATGTGATTGTCTGGGGGTGCTTTGGGGGTAGTAAAGTGGGAGATTTGTACAGGGTAAAAGGGATCTTGAAGAAGGAAGGCTATCACTCCATTTTGCAACGCCATGCCATACCCTGTCGACGGTGCTTGATTGGAGCCAATTTCCTCCTACAACAGGACAATGACCCAAAGCACAGCTCCAAACTATGCAATAACTATTTAGGGAAGAAGCAGTCAGCTGGTATTCTGTCTATAATGGAGTGGCCAGCACAGTCACCGGATCTCAACCATATTGAGCTGTTGTGGGAGCAGCTTGACCGTATGGTACAGTGGGGAGAACAAGTTTTTGATACACTGCAGATTTTGCAGGTTTTCCTACTTACATAGCATGTAGAGGTCTGTAATTTCTATCATAGGTACACTTCAACTGTGAGAGACGGAATCTAAAACAAAAATCCAGAAAATCACATTGTATGATTTTTAAGTAATTAATTTGCATTTTATTGCATGACATAAGTATTTGATCACCTACCAACCAGTAAGAATTCCGGCTCTCACAGACCTGTTAGTTTTTCATTTAAGAAGCCCTCCTGTTCTCCACTCATTACCTGTATTAACTGCACCTGTTTGAACTCGTTACCTGTATAAAAGACACCTGTCCATACACTCAATCAAACAGACTCCAACCTCTCCACAATGGCCAAGACCAGAGAGCTGTGTAAGGACATCAGGGATACAATTGTAGACCTACACAAGGCTGAGATGGGCTACAGGACAATAGGCAAGCAGCTTGGTGAGAAGGCAACAACTGTTGGCGCAATTATTAGAAAATGGAAGAAGTTCAAGATGACGGTGAATCACCCTTGGTCTGGGGCTCCATGCAAGATCTCACCTCGTGGGGCAACAATGATCATGAGGAAGGTGAGGGATCAGCCCAGAACTACACGGAAGGACCTGGTCAATGACCTGAAGAGAGCTGGGACCACAGTCTCAAAGAAAACCATTAGTAACACATTACGCCGTCATGGATTAAAATCCTGCAGTGCACGCAAGGTCTCCCTGCTCAAGCCAGTGCATGTCCAGGCCCGTCTGAAGTTTGCCAATGACCATCTGGATGATCCAGAGGAGGAATGGGAGAAGGTCATGTGGTCTGATGAGACAAAAATAGAGCTTTTTGGTCTAAACTCCACTCGCCGTGTTTGGAGGAAGAAGAAGGATGAGTACAACCCCAAGAACACCATCCCAACCGTGAAGCATGGAGGTGGAAACATCATTCTTTGGGGATGCTTTTCTGCAAAGGGGACAGGACGACTGCACTGTATTGAGGGGAGGATGGATGGGGCCATGTATCGCAGATCTTGGCCAACAACCTGCTTCCCTCAGTAAGAGCATTGAAGATGGGTCGTGGCTGGGTCTTCCAGCATGACAACGACCCGAAACACACAGCCAGGGCAACTAAGGAGTGGCTCCGTAAGAAGCATCTCAAGGTCCTGGAGTGGCCTAGCCAGTCTCCAGACCTGAACTCAATAGAAAATCATTGGAGGGAGCTGAAAGTCCGTATTGCCCAGCGACAGCCCCGAAACCTGAAGGATCTGGAGAAGGTCTGTATGGAGGAGTGGGCCAAAATCCCTGCTGCAGTGTGTGCAAACCTGGACCTACAGGAAACGTATGATCTCTGTAATTGCAAACAAAGGTTTCTGTACCAAATATTACTTATGTCATGCAATAAAATGCAAATTAATTACTTAAAAATCATACAATGTGATTTTCTGGTATTTTGTTTTAGATTCCGTCTCTCATAGTTGAAGTGTACCTATGATAGAAATTACAGACCTCTACATGCTATGTAAGTAGGAAAACCTGCAAAATCGGCAGTGTATCAAATACTTGTTCTCCCCACTGTACGTAAGAAGTGCCCATCAAGCCAATCCAACTTGTGGGAGGTGCTTCAGCAAGCATGGGGTGAAATCTCTTCAGATTACCTCAACAAATTGACAACTAGAATGCCAAAGGTCTGCAAGGCTGTAATTGCTGAAAATGGAGGATTCTTTGACGAAAGCAAAGTTTGAAGGACGCAAATATTACTTCAATTAAAAATCATTATTTCTAACTTTGTCAATGACTACATTTCCTATGCATTTTGCTATATTTCCTATTCAAACTCATTTCATGGATGTTTTCATGGAAAACAAGGAAATGTCTAAGTGACCCCAAACTTTTGAACGGTAGTGTGTATATAGAATTGTGATATGTATCATGATGTCCCTTCCTGCTAATACCTAGCCCTAGTATTTATCATGTAAACCGTAATGCCTGTCCAATATAATCTATTTTGCTCTCAGCCTCAGAAGAAAAAGAAAGACCGGCGGAAAGGTAGAGGTGGAGAGGGAGACGATGATGACGAGGATATGATGGAGAAACTGAAGAAGCTGTCAGTGCAAGCCAGCGAGGAAGAGGAAGAGGAGGGTAAGTTGACTGCTTAGTCTGTCAAACAAATGTCTACATTTCAAGCCGGAAATGTTCAGTGTTGATATTCTAGCTAGCCTTTCATCAACTTCGCTCGCTCTCTTTCTCTCTCATCCCAGTTGTGGCCTCCGGAAAAGGCAAGGGAAATAAGGTAAGCATGTTGTGCATACAACAGTCTTGATCACTACATCGACAGTCTTAACAGTCTTGGTCCCTCTGTTCTATTACATTTTGGGGGTAGAATACAATATAATCCACTTTTAAATTGTATTTGTTGTCTCAGGGTGGGAACATCTTTGCAGCTCTCAGTCAGGGAGACAGTGAGGATGATGATGGTGATGATGATGATGAGAGACTGATGAAGAAGGTGCGTGGGGTCTGTTTCTTGTGTTTGTGTCGTGTTCTTCTGAATGTTGATTCTATTGATACTAACCTCATTTTTTAGAGGTCCAGGGAGCTTTTAGAATGTGTTTGTGTTGGTGTTTACTAATTCATCCACCCATTCATCCCACCCTTCCTTCTACTGTTCCTTCCTGTTCCTTTTCTACTGTCTTCTCTTTTGGATTTCATCACACATTCACAATAATAGCTACACATGTTCACATCCATATTCTTAGTGATTCCTACATAGGGCTGTGGCGGTCATGACATTTTGTCAGCTGGTGATTGTCTTACAAATAACTGCCGGTCTCATGACCATTAATTAACATAAACACGTTTAGCATCTCCTGGCTTCCACGCATAGCCTACAAGCCACTGATGAAAACCGTTGGAACATCTACATTAAAAAAAAGTTTAATAAATCGATTTAATATAGCCCACACCATCACAATAATCCATTGTTTATTTTAGACAGGTCTAAAGAAACATAATATGAAGAAAATGTAGCCTATTTCAGAAGAACAGAATAGCATACCCTGAGTTGTCCTTATGGTAGGCCCTGATCTAGCCATGCCATATGGCTGTGGGCTACACCTAGTTCATTTAGACAAGATTTGCTTAGAATTCTATGGCATTATATTATAGAATGAAGAATACAATTGAACATAGTTTTAAGAAAGTAGAAAGGGAGTGCGCACATGCGACTATTCTGTGTTGAGCAGTTAACAAAGAAACATATATTCTTAATTATTGTTATTATTCAACTTTAGTTCTGATACAAACGTTAGGCTATATGTCTTGATTTTTTATACATTCTAAGGCTGCATGATGCGACTAATGATGATTTGAAAAAAGTTACATGAAAGGCATGAGCTCTGCTCTGTTTCTTGCACAGGCTGCACACACTTCATCAGTCTCTCATTCACAATTTGACAAGCACTTGATAATATGCCTACGAGTTGAATTATTTTTTATTTAGAATGCCCCACAAAGAAAACGGTTACGTGCTGTTACGTTTTTAATATGCAAGCATAGGCAGCGCATCCATAAGGCTAGGGGAAGCTTTTCCTAAAGTAAATTTAATTAAATTGCCAAAATTATATAGCCTAATTAGCCTACTCCTGTTTCTACAGAAATATATAAAACAAATCAAAATAGGCTACTAAAGCATGATTTGGCCACAGAGGATAATTAGCTTTAAAAAAAAAAGTGGATTGTTTTAAATCGCATTGCCTACAGTCGGAAGGAAAGGCAGCGCATGTAATTTGGGCAGATTATTGTTGAGTTGCGACTGTCTGTGAAAAGTAGAGAGGCCAAGCCAGGCATATCGCAATATTTCAAAATACTATCGCAGGAAAACCGTTTGGGAAGCAAATGATTATTGCTGTAAAGAGAAGACAATGAAAATACTAATCTGTCTTTTAGTTATCAAAATTCTCAATTTAATTGAGCGAACAACAGTATAGCCTATCTTATTGGCACCAGCGGAGAGCATCGGCAATATCCCTGGTGATTGTGCACTGCGCATATTCACCATTTATCATTGTTGGGTTAGTGCTAATAATATTTGTTGATTTATTTTGACAATTTCCTTCTCCAGTTTAGATGGACGTCATATTCTATTTGTGTCTCCCCTTCTCATAGGCCTATTATATGGACGTTGTTTTTATTGATCTGTTTGTCAGTGTCAGCAGAGTAGGCTACCCTGTAATTTGTCGTATTAAAAAATATGTTGCTAATATCTCCAGTCATATAAAGTGTAGTAGAATTGCATGAAATGTGTTTATAAAAGGCCACATGCAAAGAAATAATAAACGTATCTGATATAGCCTAGGCCTACACTACGCACTCAGCCATGCATTGAACGGTCTTCTTTTGCGAACAGTGATTGAGTTACACTACCGTTTAAAAGTTTGGGGTCACTTAGAAATGTCCTTGTTTTCCATGAAAACATACATGAAATGAGTTTGAATAGGAAATATAGCAAAATGCATAGGAAATGTAGTCATTGACAAGGTTAGAAATAATGTTTTTTAATATAAATAATAATTGTGTCCTTCAAACTTTGAGACTGGTGTTTTGCGGGTACTATTTAATGAAGCTGCCAGTTGAGGACCTGTGAGGCGTCTGTTTCTCAAACTAGACACTCTAATGTATTTGTCCTCTTGGTCAGTTGTGCACCGGGGCCTCCCACTCCCCGTTCTATTCTGGTTAGAACCAGTTTGTGCTGTTCTGTGAAGGGAGGAGTACACAGCGTTGTACAAGATCTTCAGTTTCTTGGCAATTTCTCGCATGGAATAGCCTTCATTTCTCAGAACAAGAATAGACTGACGAGGATTTTCAGAAGAAAGTTATTTGTTTCTGGCCCTTTTGAGCCTGTAATCGAACCCACAATTGCTGATGCTCCAGATACTCAACTAGTCTCAAGAAGGCCAGTTTTATTGCTTCTTTAATCAGCACAACAGTTTTCAGCTGTGCTAACATAATTGCAAAAGGGTTTTCTAATGATCAATTACATTTTTACATTTTACATTTTTAGTCATTTAGCAGATGCTCTTATCCAGAGCGACTTAGTTAGTGAGTGCATACATTTTCATACTGGCCCCCCATGGGAAACGAACCCACAACCCTGGCGTTGCAAGCTCCATGCTCTACCAACTGAGCTACAGGGGACTATAGCCTTTTAAAATGATAAACTTGGATTAGCAAACACAACGTGCCATTGAAACACAGGTCTGATGGTTGCTGATAATGGGCCTCTGTACGCCTATGTAGATTTTCCATAAAATATCAGCCGTTTCCAGCTACAATAGCCATTTACAACATTAACAATGTCTACACTGTATTTCTGATCAATTTTATGTTATTTTAATGGACTTTTTCCAAAAGAAGGACATTTCTATGTGACCCCAAACTTTTGAACGGTAGTATATATTATGACTATCCAATCTACTCATCACATTATGAATAGTACGCTATCTTACATAAGTTTGCAAATGCGATGATGCATGGAATGCTTTATTATAAAGGTGCATTTTTATGGTAGAAATGAGCTTCCCCAAACTTAACTCGCACGCCGCATACGTTTGCCAGGTTGTAAAACGGATTAATGTGCTTAATTCTAAGAATTGAGCAATAAATATAGGAGTACGAGAAAGCTGGGATCCTCTTTTAAATAGTGGCCAGTAAAAACTCTGTTTTCACATGCGATTGCGCAATGGCAGGGCTTATAAAAGCACATGTTTCACTAGGCTCTGTAGGCTATGTGCTCTCTAACCATGTTCCAGGTGTCCTAGGCCTATAGGCTACGTTTGGAGTTATTTGGCCACTTTAGTCGTGATACAAACTTTATCAAAACAGATAGGCCTATGGGCTAGGCTACATGATGTGTGTGACTATTATTTGAAAGTCACAAAAAAAAGGCGTGCTGTTTCTTGCCTTACTGCACATGCTGGGCATCATTCACAAATGATAATGTCACCCATCAGACTATTTTTAGTTTAATCTTGTCTTCATATATACTAAATAATATGTGTGAAATTAGTTTTGATATAGAATGTACCATTATCATGCACCTGTCAGAACAGGGGCAGGGCAAAAATAAATAAATAGAGAAATAAATATAGTAGGGCTAGCCTATAGGAAGCTGATGGGATCCTCTTTTTAATAGAGGCCATCAAAACTCTGTTTGCTCACGCAATTGCATAGCCTATAGCCTATAGAAATGTTGCGCAACATGAGCTCATGGGCCATCATGAAGTGTTTGATTTGATTTTCGATTTGATTTGCATTGATGTCGGCGTGATTAGAGGGACAATAGATCGCTCAGTGCCAGGCCATTAGCGACTGGCAGTTAGCAAGTTTAGTAGGCTAATAATGACATTTGCAGCATCAGAGCGCAGTTTTTGGAGAAACCTAGTTACGGTGACTAAATGGTCACATGGAATTTGACTGCGGTCATGACTCGTGACCGCCGGTGTGATGGTAATACGGTCACCGTAACAGCCCTATTCCTACATAATTTCCTTTCATTGCATTTCATCTACATGTGTCGGACAAATTAGCATTGGCCAGAAGTGTTGGGGCTTGCAAGGCACTTAGAATCTAATGATTTGAATCAAGCATGTTCTTTTTCTTCATAATGACGTTGTGCTCTGGTGTAAGGACATCTCTAATATTAAGGAACTGGTGTATCTGTGTGTTTGTCCGTGCGTCTTTAATACTTTAATACAGGAGGTTGAGAAGGTGTATAAGGGCAAGAAAAAAGATAAGCCAAAACCGAAAGCCAAGGTGGGTGATGGAATGTATTTCTTCTCCGACTATACACTATTTTCTTTACCCCCCCCCCCCCCCCTTACCCCCCATCAAACAGGGTTGATACCGGAAAGCAGCACATTTTTAAATTGTTCACTAACACATTCCCATCTCAATCTATTCCCTTTTTATTTCACTCTACACTTTATTTCACTACTTTTCTCTTTCTCATACACCTCATATCTGCAGATCTAACCCACTGAAATACTCAACACAATACAACTGTGTGTCTGATCTCACTTGTTCCCAGACGTGGATCCTCACTCTCCTTTTTCCTACATATCCAGGCTCCCTCCGATGATGAGGAAGAGAAGAAAGACGAGGATGAGAAGAAAGCTGTGAAAAATAACAAGAAACCAGAGGCTAAACCAGCACCCAAGGTCAGGCTTTTGATAGGCTTGGTGAAATTTTCACAATATTGCTTATGCCGATCCAATAATTTCAGATCTACTGGAGTATCTAGGGAGTAGAGAGTAGAGCCTAGGGGTTGCTTGATTTGGGATTCAGCATTATGTTGAGAACTAAATGAGAAAAACTCACTTTTACTCTTCCTTTGTAGGCAACTGAGGATGAAGCAGAGGACGAGAAGCCTCAGCCGAAGAAAGGCAAGAAGGAACAGCCCAAGGTGAGTGAAGAGCTCTGGCGGTAACGACACAAACTTTGTATAAAACAGTTTTCCTTCTGGAATGTAGGGATGGCATTCTATAGGAAATATCATGGGTTAGCGACATACAGTGCCTTCAGAAAGTATTCATACCCCTTGACTTATTCCATATTTTGTTGTTTTACAGCGTAAATTCAAAATGGATTACATTTTACTTTTAAATCTCACCCATCTATACACACTACCCCATAATGACAAAGTGAGAACATGTTTTTAGACATTTTTGCTAATTTATTGAAAATGAAATGCAGATTTTACATAAGTATTCACACCCCTGAGTCAATACTTTGTAGAAGCACCTTTGGCAGCGATTACAGCTGTGAGTCTTTCTGGGTAAGTCTCTAAGAGCTTTCCACACCTGGATTTTGCAACATTTGCCCAATATTCTTCTGAAAATTCTTCAAGCTCTGTCAAATTGGTTCTTGATCATTGCTAGACAACGATTTTCAGGTTTGCCATAGGTTTTTAAGTAGATTTAAGTCAAAACTGTAACTTGGCCACTCAGGAACATTCATTGTCTTATTGGTAAGCAATTCCAGTGTGGATTTGGCCTTGTGTTTCAGGTTATTGTCCTGCCGAAAGGTGAATTTGTCTCCCAGTGTCTGGTGGAAAGCAGACTGAACCAGATTTTCCTCTAGGATTTTGCCTGTACCTTAGCTCCATTCCCTTTCTTTTTTATCCTGAAAAACTCCCCAGTCCTTGCCGATGACAAGCATACCCATAACATGATGCAGCCACCAGTATGCTTGAAAATATGGAGAGTGGTACTCAGTAATGTGTTGTATTGGATTTGCCCCAAACATAACACTTTGTGTTCAGGACAAAAAGTGAATTGCTTTGCCACATTTTTTGCTGTATTACTTTAGTGCCTTGTTGCAAACAGGATGCATGTTTTGGAATATTTCTATTCTGTACAGGCTTCCTTCTTTTCACTCTGTCAATTAGGTTAGTATTGTGGAATAGCTACGATGTTGTTGATCCATCCTCAGTTTTCTCCTGTCACAGCCATTAAACTCTAACTTTTTTAGAGTCACCATTGGCCTCATGGTGAAATCCCTGAGCGGTTTCCTTCCTCTCCGGCAACTTAGTTAGGAAGGACGCCTGTATCTTTGTAGTGACTGGGTGTATTGATACATCATCCAAAGTGTAATAAATAACTTCACCATGTTCAAAGGGATATTCAATGTCTGTTTTGTTTTTTACCCATCTACCAATAGGTGCCCTTCTTTGCGAGGCATTGGAAAACCTCCCTGGTCTTTGTGGTTGAATCTGTGTTTGAAATTCACTGCTCGACTGAGGGACCTTACAGATAATTGTATGTGTGGGTTACAAAGATGGGGTAGTCATTCAGAAATCATATTAAACACTATTATTGCACACAGTGAGTCAATGCAACTTATTATATGACTTGTTAAGCAAACTTTTACTCCTGAACTTATTTAGGCTTTCCATAACAAAAGGGGTTGAATACTTATTGACTCATGACATTTCAGCTTTTAATTTTTTATAAATTTGACATTGTGGTATTGTGTGTAGGCCAGTGACCCAAAATCTCAATTTAATTCATTTTAAATTCAGGCTACTTTCTGAAGGCACTAGAAGTGTGACTAAGTCTCAATATCCACACCTGTAAACTATCTAGGCCAATATAATGCATGGCCACAGTATATGGGTCACAGTAACACTTGATCTCTTGTTAGGGTAGTTTCTGTAAAACCATAATGTTGTGTTACTTGTCCCATTCAGAGGATGAACAAACCTGCTCGCCCCCCGCGCAGCGAAGATGAGGAAGAGGGTGAAGACGACGAAGATGACACAATGAAGGTGTGTGTTTATTGTCTAAACTGAGTCTGCTGTATGGAAGGGTCATACATAGCATGTAGAGCCACCATAGAACGCCTAACTCACTGTCTCTCCCTCTGTCTGCCTCCCTCTCTACTGTCAGTGTGCTGAAGACGTGATAGCAGAGCAGGAGCAGGAGAAAGGTGACGACCCCTTTGCAAACATGAGCAAGAAGGAGAAGAAGAAGAAAAAGAAAATGGTAACCAGTCCATATATATATATATATATATATATATACAAATATTGACCTTTTGAGAGCCTTTGGGCCAAACCAGACACAGAAGAAGCTTTTCATTCATTGGAAGTGTGTGTCTGTGTTTCTAGATTGAGTATGAAAAGCAGGTGGCCAGTGTGCGTGCTGCCAACGCCATCGAGGGAGACTTCTCCGTGTCCCAGGCTGAGTTGTCTTCCAGACAGGCCATGCTGGAGAACGCATCAGATATCAAGGTGACCTGACCATCTCGACTCTTCTAGTGTTTCTTTATTATGAAGAATGTAGTGAAAACTTCATAGAACATAGTTATTTTACTGAAGGAAAACCTGATAGCACAAAAAAAAACATTTACACATACCTGAAGTACACTATATATACAAAAGTATGTGGACACCCCTTCAAATTAGTGGATTTGGCTATTTCAACCACACGTGTGCAGACAGGTGTATAAAATCGAGCACACCGCCATGCAATCTCCACAGACAAACATTGGCAGTAGAGTGGCCTTACTGAAGAGTTCAGTGAATTTCAATGTGGCACCGTCATAGGATGCCACCTTTCCAAGAAGTCAGTTCGTCAAATTTCAGCCCTGCTAGAGCTGCCCCAGTCAACTGTAAGTGCTGTTAATGTGAAGTGGAAACGTTTAGGCGCAAAAACAACGGCTCAGCCGCGAAGTGGTAGGCCTCACAAGCTCACAGAACGGGACCTCCGAATGCTGAAGCACGTAGCACGTAAAAATCATCTGTCCTCAGTTGCAACACTCACTACCGAGTTCCAAACTGCCTGTGGAAGCAGAGTCTGCACAATAACTGTTTGTCGGGAGCTTCATGAAATGGGTTTCCATGGCCAAGCAGCCGCACACAAGCCTAAGATCACCGTGCGCAATGACAAGTGTCGGCTGGAGTGGTGTAAAGCCCGCCGCCATTGGACTCTGGAGCAGTGGAAACGCGTTCTCTGGAGGGATGAATCACGCTTCACCATCTGGCAGTCCGAAGGAGTAATCTGGGTTTGGCGGATGCCAGGAGAAAGCTACCTGCCCCAATGCATAGTGCCAAATGTAAAGTTTGGTGGAGGAGGAATAATGGTCTGGGGCTGCCTTTCATGTTTTGAGCTAGGCCCCTTAGTTCCAGTGAAGGGAAATCTTAATGCTACAGCATACAATGACATTCTAGACGATTCTGTGCTTCCAACTTTGTGGCAACAGTTTGGGGAAGTTCTTGTTTCAGCATGACAATGCCCCCGTGCACAAAGTGAGGTCCATACAGAAATAGTTTGTCGAGCCCTGACCTCAACCCCATCGAACACCTTTGGGATGAATTTGAATGCCGACTGCGAGCCAGGCCTAATCACCCAACATCAGTGCCCAACCTCACTAATGCTCTTGTGGCTGAATGGAAGCAAGTCCCCGCAGCAATGTTCCAACATCTAGCGGAATGCCCATGATTTTGGAATGAGATGTTTGACAAGCAGGTGTCCACATACTTTTGGTCATGTAGAGTAACATCTTATCTCACATAAGAAGAATGGTTGTTGGGATTCATCAAATGGCTGATGAATGTCTATGTAACTGAAACATTCCATTTTATTTATTAAATGTTTATTTGTAAGCACACTGTGAGTATGAGGAGGTAGTCCCTTCAACCATTCCTTACTGAATGTCAAGTTGGAAGCCCTAAAGTTCTATCAGAGTTCACCTGTAGTGGTTTTAATGTGCTGCTCTTTGTCTCCAGCTGGAGAGGTTCAGTATATCAGCTCACGGGAAGGAGCTGTTTGTCAATGCAGACCTCCTGGTGGTGGCAGGAAGACGCTACGGTCTGGTTGGACCTAATGGGAAAGGGAAGACCACTCTCCTGAAACATATCGCCAACAGAGCTCTCAGTATCCCTCCTAACATTGACGTGCTGCTCTGTGAGCAAGGTATGTCACCTGTCCTCTGAAGAACCCCCCGCCCCATCATAACCTTCTCTCTCTGTCTCCCTCCCTTATCCTCTATCTATTTGTATTTATCTCCACCCCCTGTCTCTCTCTCCTTCTCCTCTCCTCCCTCCCTCTACTCTCCTCTCTCTCTCTACCCCTCTTCTCCCTTCACTTCACCCCGACCCTCTTTCCCCCCTCTAACACCCTGTTGCGCGCTCCATCTCTCCATAGAGGTAATGGCGGATGACACCCCAGCGGTCCAGGCTGTGTTGAAGGCAGACACCAGGCGTCTGAAGCTCCTAGAGGAGGAGAGACAACTCCAGGCTCTGCTGGAGAAAGGAGAAGACAGCGTGGCTGAGAGACTGGACAAGGTATGGGGAAGCATCATAATTAAACCCTAATACACTCTTAGATCTGCCAGGCGAAATATCCACTTTCTAATTGCTATGATAATCTATTGAACACAGGGCTGGGGTCAAGTTTTCATTCAGACTGTGGTAACTGGAAAAAGAGTGTCATGGTCTCTTAAGCTGCATTCAGATAGAAATGTCATATCTGTCAATAGACTAAACCACTGCATGTGTACATATTGTGTGTCTGTCTCAACCAGGTCTACGAGGAGTTGAGGATCATCGGGGCAGCAGCAGCGGAGGCTAAAGCCCGTCGTATCCTGGCTGGTCTCTCCTTCACCCCAGAGATGCAGAACAGAGCTACCAAGAAGTTCTCTGGAGGCTGGAGGATGAGAGTCTCACTAGCCAGGTAATACCGTTTTTCTCTGAATTCCAGGGACAGGTGTAGGATCTTAATTTGATCACACTCTTGTTGCTGAGAATTTTCCTGCACTGCAGGAAATGCAGATGAGTTTCGTGATTTAAATAAATTAACTGAAAATCCACACTAACACAGTTATATTAACAGTATTGCACTTTTCATGTAACCTACTTTTGGCCAGCTAATAACCTAACCACAGATCAAGCAACCTTATGGACTTAACGTTCAATTCCTGTTGCTGCATAATAAGATCCTATATCTGTAGACCCCCTAGCCTTGCCTAGGCAATTCTATAGATCTGAAAGGATTTGATTTTAGCAATATGGCAATTGCTTCAATTGTTTGTTTTTAGCTACTTCTGCAGGTCAAGTTTTTTTTATTTTTACAAAGTCACTTTTACAGAGAATAAAAATGAACGAAAGTAAAACGTCGATAAAGACAGTGAAAATGAATTCAAAGCTTCTCTCCTACCAGAGCTCTGTTCATGGAGCCCACCCTGCTGATGCTGGATGAGCCCACCAACCATCTTGACCTCAATGCTGTCATCTGGCTCAACAAGTAAGGGCATACCACACGCAGCCTTTTACTTAAATATAATTTAATTCACAGGGCCACACAACACGCAGCTGCTTACTCAATGGGTCTCCTTTCTGCCCTGGATCTGTGAATGATACCACTGCAAGGGCTAATATGTTAATCTCTCCTCCTAGCTACCTTCAGGGCTGGAAGAAGACTCTCCTCATCGTGTCTCACGACCAGAGTTTTTTGGACGATGTGTGTACTGACATCGTTCACCTGGACAACCAGAAACTTTACTACTACAGAGGGAACTACCGTGAGTTTATTAGCAATGGACATTCTTTCTCCTACCCCACAAACTCCAACACATGTATAGTTCTATACACATTTACATTTAGCAGGAGCTCTTATCCAGAGCCACTTGCAGTTAGATCCATGTTCTATAGATTGAAGTTTCTCTCTCTCCGTTTCGCAGTGACGTTTAAGAAGATGTACGTTCAGAAGCAGAAGGAGCTCCAGAAACAGTACGACAAACAGGAGAAGAAGCTCAAAGATCTCAAGGCTGGAGGGAGGTCCACCAAACAGGCCGTGAGTACAGTACAGTTACATGGTTCTACCTGGATCTGTCTGTCGCTCTCTCTGTACTTCTCCCATCATCCACTGTTTTCTGTCTCAGTCTCTCTCTCTATCTCTCTCTCTCTCCCTCCTTCTATCATCCACTGTGTTCTGTCTCTCTCTCTCTCTAGGAGAAGCAGACTAAGGAGGCCCTGACCAGGAAGCAAGCGAAAGGAAAGAAGAAGGGAGGAGTGGAGGAGGAGAGTCAGGAAGCAACAGAGCTGCTCAAACGACCCAAAGAGTACACTGTCAAATTCACCTTCCCCAACCCCCCTTCTCTCTCTCCTCCCATCCTCGGACTGCACAGTGAGTTTTCCCTCTCTTTTCCTCTTCCACTTTTTGTATATCCCTGTTTAACCCTCTGCTCTCTGTATGTCTCAGGTGTGGACTTTGCCTTTGAGGGACACAAACCCCTCTTCAAGAACGTGGACTTTGGTATTGACATGGAGACTAGAAGTAAGTAGAAATTATTTCTGTTTGCAAACCTGGGACATGTTCATTTGGCACAGTTGGACTTTCTGGTCATTAGCCTCCATACTATACCAAACAGCTCTTTTTCCTTGTTCAGTTTGTATAGTTGGACCCAATGGAGTCGGGAAGAGTACCCTACTACTACTTCTCACGGGCAGGTTGAATCCAGTAAGCTTCCCTTCAAACAAAAACAACACAAATATTATCTATATATACAAATGCAAATACAACACCTGTTTCTGCACTGATGGGTGTAACTGTGTCAAACTAAATGTGTTGATTTGCCTTTCAGACCAAGGGGGAGATGAGAAAGAACCATCGGCTGAAGGTGGGCTTCTTCAACCAGCAGTATGCTGACCAGCTGAACATGGAGGAGGCAGCTACAGAGTACCTCCAGAGGAACTTCAACCTGCCCTACCAGGACAGCAGGAAGTGTCTGGGCCGCTTCGGACTGGAGAGCCACGCACACACCATTCAGATCTCCAAGCTATCAGGTTAGGATTAGAAACATGCGCGCACACACATACGCCATCATCCAGTGTGTGTCAATCTGTTCTTCTAAATGTCTTCTCTCTGTTCCTCTCCATCCAGGTGGTCAGAAAGCCCGAGTGGTGTTCGCTGAGCTGGCCTGTCGGCAACCTGACGTTCTCATCCTGGATGAGCCTACTAACAACCTGGACATTGAGTCGATCGACGCTTTATCAGAAGCTATCAATGAGTACAAAGGAGGTATGTACACAGTATAAGAGGCTGTTCGATGTTGAGTGTTTCTTTTGTTAAAATGTAGGATCAGAAAGTAGCCTCAGAAATTGGTGTAGTGATGGCATAAATAAAATGGCAGTCAACAAACAATTTGCATGCTGCTGAAAGTGCCCTTTGGTAGACTCTTCTGACATCAGTGTTTCTCATATATTATGGTAATGTAATATGCACTTTCCTGCTGTTGTCCCTTCATAGCGGTGATCATTGTGAGCCACGATGCCCGGCTGATCACTGAGACAGCCTGTCAGCTGTGGGTGGTGGAGGACCGGTCTGTCAACCAGATAGACGGAGACTTTGAGGACTACAAACGGGAGGTCCTGGAATCACTGGGGGAGACCCTGGTCCACAAGGTCAAGGAGTGACCTACCTACCTACAGCAGAACCAGGGCTGTGTCTCTATTGGCATTCTATAACCTAATATAGTGCATTACTTTTGACCATAGCACTATGGGCCCTGGTCCAATGTACTGCACTATGTAGGGAATAGGTTGCCATTTATAACAGACCCCAGGAGGAAATAGAAATGTAATGCAATATAACCCACCGCTGAAGCTGGCTATGTCATCAGCTCAGTGCTGGGGTGCATCTCCATAGTCTAAAGTGGCTTCCTTTCCTCGATCATTCTGAACTTATTTGAAAACTCAGGATAGGTGAAAGCAACATCATGGCTGAAGTCTGTCTCCCAAATCAGTTTGATTGAAGAAAGGAGGCGTGGAGAGGAAGCCATGTTAGACTATTCAGACATACCCCTGGTGTACTGCAGTATCTTCTCGGCCTATGAGATGCATACATTTTCAGAACTACAAATCGCCCCCTTGTACCCTCTATACACACCCCTGTAGATCTGAAAATATAGGATCCAGGAGCGTCTTGGGCGTAGGGGTAAGGGGGCGATTTGGAATTCAGAATTTGACTGGACAAGTGGGCATGTCTCACCCATGTAACATGGGGCGATGGGACATAAAGAGCAATATGCTGAAGTATTTATACTCCAGAGAGGAAATGGCTATACATTACCACTGGCTCCATACATGTATAAACCGAGCGCTTAACTGGGAATAAACATGTTGATACCTATATGATGAAGTATTTACTACAGATAAAAAAGCAATGAAATAAATGGATCTTACTTTTTTATTTTATTTACAACTTGCTCTTTAAATACAAAACCATGGATGTACCAGTCAAAAGTTTGGACACACCCACTCATTCAAGGGTTTCTTTATTTTTACTATTTTCTACATTGTAGAATAATAGTGAAGACATCAAAACTATGAAATAACACATGGAATTATGTAGTAACCAAAAAAGTATTAAACAAATCAGAATATATTTATATTTGAGATTCTTCAAATAGCCACCCTTTGCACACTCTTGGCATTTTCTCAACCAGCTTCACCTGGAATGCTTTTCCAACTTTTCCAAACTATGAAATAACACATATGGAATCATGCAGTAACCAAAAAAGTGTTAAACAAATCAAAATATATTTTAGATTCTTCAAAGTAGCCACCCTTTGCCTTGATGACAGCTTTGCACACTCTTGGCATTCTCTCAACCAGCTTCATGAGGAATGCTTTTCCAACAGTCTTGAAGGAGTTCCCACATATGCTGAGCACTTGTTGGCTGCTTTTCCTTCACACTGCCGTCCGACTCTTCCCAAACCATCTCAATTGGGTTGAGGTCAGGGGATTGTGGAGGCCAGGTCATCTGATGCAGCACTCCATCACTCTCCTTCTTGGTAAAATAGCCCTTACACAGCCTGGGGGTGTGTTGGGTCATTGTCCTGTTGAAAAACAAATGATAGTCCCACTAAGCCCAAACCAGATAGGATGGCGTATCGCTGCAGAATGTTGTGGTAGCCATGCTGGTTAAGTGTGCCTTGAATTCTAAATAAATCAGTGTCACCAACAAAGCACCATAACACCACCACCTCCATGCTTTACGGTGGGAAATACACAGACGTTGATCATCCGTTCACCCACACCGCGTCTCACAAAGACACAGCGGTTGGAACCAAAAATCTCCAATTTGGACTCCAGACCAAAGGACAAATTTCCACCAGTCTTTTATTTTTTTTTACATTTTAGTCATTTAGCAGACGCTCTTATCCAGAGCAACTTACAGTTAGTGGATACATACATGTGTATATATATATATATATTTTTTTTTCATACTGGCCCCCCGTGGGAAACGAACCCACATCCCTGCCGGCCAAACCCTATTTTTTTTATTTGCTTGTGTTTCTTGGCCCAAGCAAGTCTCTTCTTATTGGTGTCCTTCAGTAGTGGTTTCTTTGCAGCAATTTGGCCATGAAGGCCTGATTCACAGTCTCCTCTGAACAGTTGATATTGAGATGTGTCTGTTACTTGAACTCTGAAGCATTTATTTGGGCTGCAATTTCTGAGGCTGGTAACTCTAATGAACTTATCCTCTGCAGCAGAGGTAACTCTGGGTCTTCCATTCCTGTGGCGGTCCTCATGACAGCCAGTTCATCATAGCGCTTGATTGTTTTTTTGCGACTGCACTTTAAAGAAACTTTCAAAGTTCTTGACATTTTCCGGATTGACTGACCTTCATGCCTTAAAGTAATGATGGACTGTTGTTTCTCTTTGCTTATTTGAGCTGTTATTGCCATAATATGGACTTGGCTATCTTCTGTATACCCCCCCAACTTGTCACAACACAACTGATTGGCTCAAATGCATTGAGAAGGAAAGAAATTCCCAAAATTAACTTTTAAGAAGGCACACCTGTTAATTGAAATGCATTCCAGGTGACTACCTCATGAAGCTGGTTGAGAGAAAGCCAAGCGTGTGCAAAGCTGTCAAAGGCAAAGGGTGGCTATTTGAAGAATCTAAAATATAAAATATATTTTGATTTGTTTAACACTTTTTTGGTTACTCCATGATTCCATATCTGTTATTTCATAGTTGATGTCTTCACTATTATTTTACAATGTAAAAAATAGTAAAAAATAAAGAAAAACCCTTGAATGAGTAGGTGTGTCCAAACTTTTGAATGGTACTGTATAACAGATTATTAGACAGATTTCTCATGGATGGTCCATATAGTAGCATGTACTGTACATGAGCTGATATTGTAGCCTGGGAGGAGAAGGGGCTGGAATTAATATTTGATGTGTTTTAGCAATTGTTTTCGTAAGACAAGAAATATGAAAGGCAATTTAGCTTAAGGTCCAAAAACAAACACTGTCTAACAATCATGCAAAACCAATCAGATTATTTTGACACTAATTTGAGGCGTTATATGAACAAATGTGCTCTACTATGTCCAGAAACACCAAATTAAATCCTCATACTTTCACCATAATTCCTCTGTTACACCCTCATCAATTTCAGATAGACCTTGTAGGTCTATCGCATCTATTTCAAATAGGCCTTATAGGTCTTCTTGACTTTAGCCACTTCAGTCTCGTCTGGCTGTATGGTGTGGTACCACCGGTACCAAGGGTCACCAGAGGTCATGGTGGGGGGAGGAGGGGTTGAGCCCACTGCGTCATGGCAGTTGGAGTAGTCCTCTCCTGAGAAGTCCACATGAGGAACCTGGAAGGGTAGCAGCCCTGGAAAGAATATGGACAATGTACTGTAGATAACTATATTTTCTGTTTTGGTGGCCTTGTTGAAGCACTGTGCTGGTCACAAAAATGCAATTCTCCATTATTACTGTAGTGCTCTAGCATTCTGCTCCTTAGTCACAGAGGCTGAACTTACCATGGTCTCTTGCAGCGCCAATTGCCTGATTGAGTTGCTTTTGCTGTTTCTGACACACTCCTGGATAAAAATGTAGAAGAACATAATATAAAATGTGGCACTTTGGTTACCTGAAACCTTGCAAAAGGTTTTGGTCTTGGACCAGATGTTAACTTTATGCAGAACTGTTTTAATCACTGAAACACCTATTGGCAGCCTCTCAGTTTCTTGTGTGTCAACTGTGTGTTAATTAGTCAATCAAATCAAAGACAACTTATTTCGATGAAACCGGCAAGCATTTAGATAGCACCTGCTGAATTCAGCATGGTTGATTCATTCATAGAATTGTATACATATTAGATAAATTGAATATATCTTACCTGTCCGTGTGGGGTCATACACAATGCCTGTATTTGGACTGATGAACTGTTGCAGTAGCTTCACATTCTGCAGGAAGACAATGGTCCATTGATTTACAAACAACATTTAATAGCCTGTTAAATCAACCGAACAAAACCAATCAAATGTAATTCCATCTAATTTTCCATCTCTCGTGTGTGTGTGTTCCATGAGTGAGAGACCAGACCTGATAGTGGATGATGACGTTGGAGTCTCGACAGATTGGACAGGGGTTCCCACATATCTTGTCTCCTCTCTGATGAAAACAAAACAGAAATAGTGTTGAGGTTGCAGTCACATCTGTTTGTTGGAGAATATAATAATAATATGGCGTTATATAGCCTAATACAGAGCAGACAGCATCATGGTAGACATCCTCTGATCATCTGTGCACTCCCCAAAGCCTAGGCAATAGCTCGGAGAGCTGCCACAAGTCTCGGTCAAGGTTTACAGAACCACCTCTGTTACACCTACAATGCAAGTCTTGCGTGTCTTCTGAGGGGGAATCCCTCCTTTGTGGTTCCTCCTGTAGTCAGACCACACTGGACTGGTTCCATAGAGCTCTATGTACTCTAGAGATAGGAGAGGTAGACGGATACAAAGTCAATGGTCACATATGGCTGCATTAACAGAAATTCATTACACTATTCCTGGACTATTTGAATGGAGATTCTCCATTGAGCATGCTTTTTAGTGCAGGATGCAGAAGTAGACAGTCTGGGTCTGCAGAACCATCCCTTAAAAAAAAAAAAAAGCAGAGTGCGTAGTGTAGATATTCAAGCTCTAATCTCCATACCTTCGCTCTCCAGGTAGTCCCATGGTTTGTCCTTGTAGCGGGCAAGAGCCTCCACTGCCTCAGCGGCATCACTGTGGAACTCAGATGAGGCTGCAGTGCATAGAGAGAGGCTGGACTGCACACCTGGAAACACAGGCTGTGTCCAAAGCCTGACAGGTAACCTCTTTGGAAGATAGAAACAAACACACCCTGTGACTGTCAGTCAAGTCATCATCAAGTATGAAACTTGCAAATCAGTGTACTGTACACAAGACAACGATGCTGATCATTTTGCATAGTCTGGTTCTGTGAAACATATTACTGGGGTTGCATTGGATGATGTACAGTGACTATGCACAGTGCACAAAGTCAGGTATGTTGCTAGCTCTGTAACTTAACTAGCTGGCTAGTGTTTATTAGCCGACGGTAGTTCGGTCACTGTTCATGATCTGACTTTATCTGTGTAACGTATTTGTAGGTGTACAGCAGATGTCCTAGCTTTTGCTTATCTGACGCACTATATAAAATAATTGTGAAATACCTTATTCTGCCGAATATTCTGTAAAAGCAAAGGGCTCACACGGCATAAAATCCTTCCAATGCCTGGTATGGATGCTGCCATTTTGTCTTTCACAACTGAGGGTTGAAAGGTTACAGGTGAAAGGGGGAGTAGTACATTATTTATTTGTGTGCATGGCCAAAGAAACTCATTTTGGACTTCAAGGAAATTATTTTATGAATTTTACCTCATTATTAATTTCGTCATTTTTAATTAAAGGAAAATGTTTTGAAAGTGTCCGCGGGTGTGGCAGGCTGCATGCTCGAGTGCGTCGCAGCCATTTTGTAAAAAATATTACAATCGAATTTATACCGAAATGTGATATTATAACTCAGTACAAGCGCTATATGTTGTGAGTTAACACTGACAGTGGTTCAAATATGTTTAGATAAGCAACAATAGACTTGGGATGTGAAATAAATTCACAAGAGAATGTACAAAACGTGTGCAACGCCATCTTTCTGTCCTTGATGAACAATGAAGGTCGTTCTACAATAGCGCGTGACCAAAAACTCCATTTTGTTACCATGAAAACCCCAGAATGCGCATGCTCGAACACGCTAATGACGTCAAAACCGTCACAGGGTATAAAAACCAAGTCCCTCCCCTTCTAGTTCATTCCTGGATTTGTTCTGAGGTGAGTAACGTCAAAAGAAATGGTACTATTTTGAACAAAAACAACTGCGCAATTATTCATTGACTATAATCCATCATAAGAAACCTCTTCCAAGATTCAGGTTTGTATGAACACAAAGAAAATAAGTGAATGTATCTTAAATGGGTTTTTCGTTTTGTGTGCTCTTTTTCAGGTATTTTGTCTCTGAAGAGTGACCGTCGAGGACTTTGAACATCCTAATTCAAAAATCTATTTTTTTTTCTTCAAGTAATGGACATTTGATTACTATTTTTGCCTCCAGTTTGTTCCAGAAGGAAAAGCTAGCTTTTAGCTGCCACAACCCCGCCCATAAAACCAGTTTTTCCAGCCATAAGATTGTTAACGTTATAAAACATGACGGTTAACGATATAAAACTGATGTAACAAGAGATCTGTTGCTGTAAAGCACAATATAATATAGTTACCCGAGACGCTGAGGAGAGGTATTTATAGTAAGTGTTGATTTTCAAACCAATCTGAACCTAACGTTAAATTCATTAAATTAGAAATTGTTTAGTCGTAGTTAGATTTAGCCTAGAGGTCTGCTATCTGGTCTACGTACGGGGCTAGGTAGTTCTTTGCAACGAAAGCTAACGCGTTAGTTTATGAGCTCACACAGGAAAGTCTGCGGAGTGGAAACGCTCCGTTTCTTTGTGTGTGAGACGGATCAAAGTAAACTATATAACAAATGTTTAAGCTAATCATAAGCAATCTATTCATAAAGATTGCCGTAGGTTTAGGTAGGAAATATTTTTACCTATGAATCTGGATTTTTTATGTTTTTAAAAAAATATGCTGTATTGATAGGGGAGAGATCCTTGGAATTTACACCTACCGCAATCTATACATAAAGATTGCTTAGATTGAGGATTACGGACTACACTGGAAAAATTGGTTATTTGTGGTAGTTGTTTGCTACGCATGACATTGTATCGTCGATATCATTAGAGCAGGAAATACATTTCCCCAGGTGTCCGATATTTATACGGCAATCTGAGGATAAAGATTGCAGGATGGAAATGTTAATTCGAAATATTGTACAAGGCAGACCGGTTTCGTTGGAATTACATCAAAATGGCGGGCTCGTTGTCGTTTTGTCCTTTCAGAACACTCGAGGCAATAATGGCTATAATGTTTTTCTGGAGCGACAGTCAGTAGTTGAGTTCCCTGAATAACGGAACGAGTTTCTTCTTGATGTGTCGGTATCGCATTTGTAGCGGTTGTACTTCACTACCTTCCGTTGTTTTTTGTAACTAGTAAATGATCCTCCGGCGGTGCTAATGTGTTAGTAGGCTAGCTGTGTTGTGGCGGATGTAGCTGGCATACATTGTTCTTTATGTTCTCGAGGCTGTGGCAGCCACGAAGCAGTTAACAAAAGAGGGCAGGGCCTAGATGAATTTTTGGTGGATCACGGGTTAGTCTCCCCCTCCGTCCTAAACCCCCCCCTAGCCAGAACTAGAGTCATTGAACAGGATCGTTATTCTAGGGTAGGGCGTGCAATGCAATGACCGATGCAGAGTTTGTCTTAAAGGGCTGCCGACTGCGTGATATTAGATTATATAACTACCATCTTCTGAATGAAAGGCATATACATATTAATTTCATTATCTACAGTCTGTTCTTTCCCAATGTATTTTCTATTTATGACGGTAGTAATTTATTTTAGGAAGATCTGATTAGTGTAGGATAACAAAGGCTGAGTAGATGTATGTAGTTAACCCCATAGGACAAAATTATTTATTTTATTTAGTAATGATTGTCAACCAGGGATAAGGCCATTTATTATGTAAACAAAAAATCCCTTGCTATAGGCAGGGCTTTGAGCTATTGTAACAGAAGGATTTGTTACATTCTAGCTAAACGATAACGGGTGTTACTCTTCAACTGCATTGCCATATATTTGAGTAAATACACCAAAGCCATTTTATGTGTGTATGAACATTAATTTACTTGACATCTATTCCCCCATTGAGTTGTTCTTTACTAAGCTCATGTCTTACCAATAACTTATTTGGATTGACTTTGTGTGCATGTGTAACAGTTGTGACATTTTCAGGAGTTGTGTGTTATGTCCCGTGTTGTGGAGTTCTGAGACTATATAAAACTTCTACTACAACAGTTAAACGGGTAAGACAACTGATTTCCTCACATGACATTTCAAAATGAAATACTTGGATATTATCCATGTAATACTTGGATACAGTAATTCAAAGTATATGATAATGAACATAATCAAACCACATTATAATGAGCTTTAAAATATTAACATGATAAGCATTCAGTTATGCATTGAACAATGAGGGGGAAAAGCATGCTGATGGCCTAAGTCCCGCCCCTACTGTACGTGTTATTATGATTTACATATAGATTGATAGTTTGAGCAAGGCTAAGCAAAAAATCAAATCATATTTTACAGCAATGGTTTGATATCTTAGTGGAGCTTATATTGCGTTTTATACGTAGATCCATCCCTAGTCACTGGATCCTCAACTGAGGTCGGTCTAGTGTTCCCTTTATATGGCACAGTAATGATGTGGGTAGCACAGGTTAACTTGTTATTTTAACCACCCACTTGTACTTGAGCCAATCTTCTGCTCTGCTTAAGTATACATTTGAAATATGTTAATAGCCAACTTAAATGACTTTAGTTTAGTGAATTTATGACTGATTTTGAGATGTGTGAATTTCTTTTGACCACATTAGTATAGACATGTAGTGTGTGGGGGGGGGGGGCATTGAAGCAAGTGGTAGTCATTGATAATGCTTCAGATGAAATATTCCCTTTATTCTAATGTTAATCATAGGCAATTAACACACTGCTTCCACACTAGTCCTATGAACTTTTAAGGGATGCATGTGTGAGATCAATCACTTATAAAACCAATACAAATAACTTTAATATTACTTTAAAATAATTATTTATACTTACAAAAACAAAACAATTGTTAAATATTTTCCTTTAGATAACTGAAATTAATAGTACTATGTATTTGTCATAGAATAGGCTTTTTCTGTGCTCTGTTCAACCACCTGTACTCCTTGGGTTCCTGTGCCACCTGAGACTACTGGTAATATGACTGCACCCTTCTCTGTCAGTGAAGGAGCTGGTCAGTCATTCCAACCTCCAGTTTAGTGCACTGCAAGCCTGAAACTGAATACCGGTAGGCTTTCAGTTTGAGGGCCTTTTCTGTGTGTGTGTGCCTCAGTGTTTAGCTACCAGTATGTGTGTTATTAGTAGAGGGGGAAGCTACCCAAAGTATTTTTCACCCACACTCAACAAACACGTAGGCTGTAACATCCTCTTCCGTTACCAGGACAGCATCAGTAAAGTATCCAAGTTTCCACAGCTCTCATCGCCTTTGACATTTCTATAAAAACATTTCTAGAAAAGAAAGTAGGGAATTCAATAGGTTCCTCAATGGGATTATGCTTCTGAGAATAGAACAGTACAAGTGTGTTTTTTTACAAGGCTGCTGCTCATCCCAACAACTAACTTCCCCTCCACTGTAGTTTGTAGGCCTACTGGTTGTTTTGCTCATATCCAAGCCTAATCATCTGTTTTTATTTGCACTTACCATGAACCTGTTTAGGTTGTACATATTATTAAGGCAATCGTGAATGGAAGGTTTTGTTGAAACTTGTTTGTAATGTTTTAACTTTCTGTTGAATAAAGCAGTTACTTGAATGTATTGCTGACCCTTGGGGGAAGTCCACATGAACCTATTCTAAACTACAGCCCAACCTGTCATTTTCTAATATAATGTGTTGTTGAACTGACTCCTTGCATATTTCCTCCCTTTCTCTCTCTCATAGTGTTCTATTGAATTACTGACACAGAAAATGAACTAGCAGCATGACCTATAAGCAATATTTGTATTAGGCTGTACCCAGCTGTCTTAGAGGAAGCCTTACAGCAGCTACAGAGAGAACAGAAACCGTAGGCTCCATCTGTCCTCCCTTCCTCTCCCTCCACTATGAGGATAATCCACAGAACTGACAGATCCAGCCCTCAGAGAAATGGAAATGCAAATACTTGAAGAATGAGGCAATACATCAGTCAGTGAGTCATGGTGTTCACTGCAGTATGGAATTTGAAATGCGAAAGCAGTACTGAAGCTGAACAGTAGATTTGGAGGGGGTTAGCTGGGAATGTCACTGCCCCCCTTTACTTGTTTTGACAGATTTCAGTGTGACTGAAGATCTATCAATGTGGGTGATTTGACGTAGGCCCCTGGGCCATTGTGGTGTTGCTCTAGGCTTTGTGGATAGCAGGAAACGGTGCAAACTGCAGTTTGTTTTCAGTCGTGGTTGGTCGTGTGGTAGAGAGGAGTTTGGAAAGGTCTTATGGTTTAGTACCTGTGTTGAATTGTCTGTAAAGCCATTGCTTTGTGCAGGATCTAGAGAAGAACGGATGGTGTCTGTTCCAAGGATCTCTCCCAAAACAGTGTAATCTGACATGCCTTGAAGAACCATGCAGTGCAAACATCACTTTCGCTGCATATTAAAAGCGATAATAACAGTGACTGTTTAGTAGGCACCAGAGTTCTAAGGCGATATCCTGTATGTTAAGTGTGTATGTCTCTTCCTCTCTCAGAGCGGAGATGGCGGTGGGCCCGGTGGACCCCAGAGAGGTCCTGAAGGGAGTAGAGAACCTGCTAGGGAAAGATGGAGAGCTCCGCAGCCTGGAGGGAGTCACCAAAGTCTTCAGGTAATTAACACACTGCCATTAAAAAAAAAATGTATGGCGTGCTTTTGGCCTTATTTTGTTTTTACTGTTTACTGTGTTTTTCATAATTATTTTAACATTATTTTGAGTTGTCTGTGGAGAATGTAATGGTAGCATAGTAAATCTCCTGTCTTTTGTTCTGATTGTCAGCTTCCTTCTTGGTCTTTTCTCCACAGTCTCATGAAGGCCTCTCACAAGATGGTGAGCAGGTGTATGTACCTGAATATCCTACTGCAGACCAAGTCCCACGACATTCTCAACCGGTAAGATCTACTCCCATCTTTTGTTCTTCATTGATCAACCTTATTGGCTGACTTGTTTAGTAACTTCACTATGGAGTTTTCTCTGCCACTGTGCTGCTTCTTGTTCTTTGGTGGGTTGGGGGTCTATGCCAGGTTACTGTAAAGCACTTTGTGACAAACACGTTGTAAAAATTGGCAATTGAAGTGGAATTTGATTGATTGACTGTCTCTTCTCTTCGTCCAGGTTTATCCGAGTGGGAGGATACAAGCTGCTGAACACGTGGCTGACCTACTCCAGGACCAGCACCAACACCCCCCTGTTACAGCTCATCCTGCTGACGCTGCAGAAACTGCCCCTCACTGTAGACCACCTGAAACAGAACAACACTGCCAAGCTGGTCAAGCAGCTCAGCAAGACTGGAGAGACTGAGGGTATGTTTTTATACAACTTTCTTTTCCCTGGTGGTTCCACCCTCTCTAATACACTGAGCTGACTAATAGACCTCTGTGGAAAAATTTGTTAGCATTTTATTTGTATCTCACTTCCTCACAAACCCAAAGCCAAGACAATAGAGTTCCATAGTGGTGGTATCTGTGCAGTAGATGTCAATTGTTGAATGATAGTGATGATGTTGATGTGTAACTAATGGTGTGTCTCTCCCTCTCAGAGCTGAGGAAGCTGGCCGCTGGGCTGGTGGATGGCTGGATGGCTACCATCCGCTCCCAGAGTGTCTCTGCCACCTCTCCTGCAGGTAACTGTTCCTCTCCTCCTTCCCTTTCCTTCATGCTCTCCATTGTTCCTTCTTTTCCCCTCTCTTTCTCTCACATTCACTTTCAACCTCGGACCCTAGTCCTGTGTGTCTCAGTTGGTAGAGCATGGAGCTTGCAATGCCAAGATTGTGTGTTCGACTCCTTCGGAGGACCAGTATGAAAATGTATGCACTCACTACTGTAAGTCATTCTGGATAAGAGCATCTGCTAAATGACTAAAATGTCCTCTTCACTATAATCTCTTTATGTTTACATAACGCCCCGTCACTCTCTTTTTCTCTCAGATAAGAAGCGGAAGAAGGAGGAGGGGAAAGTGCCAGTCCGAGAAGTGAAGGCAGCTGATGTAGGGAAGGCAGCAGAGGAGGAGAAGAAGCGGGAGAAGGCCAAAGCTCACGCTCCCAGCCATGCTAAGATCCGCTCCATAGGTACACTACGCTTCCCTTCACCGCCATCTTGTCAAACTACACTCACACTCTGTCCTCACAGTTTATCACACAAAAGTTTAATTTACAAAATATGATTTTGTGTATAAGGTTATTGTCCTTCAGTAGAAGACAGGCCACAGTAATATGCAAAAATGAAAAAGTCATTATGTTTCTGGCTGTAGAGATGAATCTCCTGCTGTTGCTAAAGTGCTAGATGTAGTACTATGTAATGACCTGACCCTGTCCTGTGTGTGTTGTCTTCCAGGCCTGGAGATGGATGCTCCCACCCCTGTCCCAGTCAAGAAGCCCCCTGTGGCCCTCCAGCTGGGGGACAAGTACAACATCAAACCAGCCCAAGTCCTCAAGAGACCCAGGTAAACAACACAATAACATCCATGTCCAAATTGTGTATATGTGTCGCCCTCCTACGACTTACCAGGCAATAACAGGATAGACATTGCATAACCACAGAATAACGCCACTGCTCAGTGCTGCCCCATTGGGGGTTAATCTCAAGTACTGACCAAACCTGTCTTTGGCAGATGTATTTGCCATTTGTAATGAATATATTGGAATTATTACTCACTCAACCTCTCATAATAAAAACACAACATTTTCTTATCTCCCTCTACCTGTCTGGGTCCTATGGAGTAAAAACTAACTTGTGTTTCTCTTGTCTTTCTCCTCACCAGTTTTGGTCCTCTGGACGCTCCCCCTGTGGAGAAGAAGTACAAACCCCTCAACACCACTCCTAACCAGACCAAGGAGATCAAGGTGAAGATCATCCCCGCACAACGTAAGTCCTCAACAGAAACAAGTATGTACCCATCTTTTTGACCCATTCACTGCATGTAGTAGATTAGATCTAAACCCTCAACAAGTAGATTAGACTACATCTAACCCCTCAAAAAGGAGTAGATATCAGGGTTGAGGTTAATTCCTCTTCACTTCAGGAGTTAAGTGAAATTCCCATTCCAAATGTCCTCAGTACTTCTCTATGAGAAACATTTGGAATTTAAATTTCAGTTTAGTTGCTGAAATGGAAAGGAATTGACCTCCACAACCCTGGTAGATACCAACACACTGTTGTATATGTTCCCGTACACTATATGTATTGGAACGTTTCTTCTTCAAACTTGAAACATTGCAGTAAACTTCAAGGGAGCATACCCAACCGTTTCAGAGCATAAACAAACATTTCTGTTTCTTTCACATGCCATGTGTTGTTTTGTTCCCTACCCATCAGAAATAGTGTGATGTGCATAGAACACACTTTTAAACCCATCTCCCCCTCAACTACCACAGCATTATGTTGACTGTTAGTGATGTCACTAAGAGACCTTCCTTTCTCTCTGCAGCCCTTGAGGGTACAGGCTTCCTGGATGCCCTAAACTCTGCCCCCGTGCCTGGCATCAAGATTAAGAAGAAGAAAGGGAAGGAAGGTAGAGACCCCAAAGCTGTCTCTCCCACGTCAAACAAGGTAAATGCATGACAGACAGACAACTCCTCGATCTCAACCACCTGAATCTATGGGAAGGCTGTGCAAATGGAATTGAGTATTCACCCATCTCTCTCTCTCTCTCTCTCTCTCTCTCTCTCTCTCTCTCTCTCTCTCTACCTCCCTCCTCTCCTCTCAGCCGTGTCCGTTCGAGGGTAAAACCCCCTACCTTTCGCCTCAGGGCGGTGCCAAGCCCTCGTCCCCAGAGACACAGGTGGCCTCCACCACCCCTCCCCACGAGGTCCCAGTAGACCTGGAGCAGCCAGGCACGCCTGTCCCTGCTGACGACCCCGAGGCCATGGACACGGGCAGCGAGAAGCCCAACGCCCTGGCTGAGCCCCGCGGCGACGAGGAGAGTCAGCTGACTAAGAAGGGCAAGAAGAAGAAGAGCGTGCGCTGGGCCGAGGAGGAGCAGCTCAAAGAGTACTTCTACTTCGACCTGGACGAGACCGAGAGAGGTGAGAGAACAAAAACTAACGGTAACTTCATTTTACATTTTTTTGGTCGGTGTTGTGTGTAATTGCACGTCAAACTGTGGTTGTATAGTCAAACTAGGCAGTTGCCAATACAGTAGCTAGCTAACTGTACAATAAAGACATGCTCTACTCTTTACTAAGTTCTGTTAAATGAGTCTTTGGACAGGGATGTGATTTTCCCCTGCTTTTTTGTAATTTATCCTCCAAAATAAAACATTTAAAAATAGACCTATCCCCTAGTCAAAATTCAGCATTTTCTGGCCGTCTATCTTGTCCTGATCACATCTCTGTTGGGTGTCACAGCTAACTCTTCTCATTCTCCACCTCTCCTTCCTGCTCTTCCGGCTATCTCCCTCTCCAGTCAACGTCAACAAGGTCAAAGACTTTGGCGAGGCGGCGAAGCGCGAGATGATGATGGACCGCCACACGTTTGAGATGGCAAGACGCCTGTCCCACGACTCCATGGAGGAGCGGGTCCCCTGGAGCCCCCCGAGGCCCCTGGCCCTCACCGGCCCCCTGGTCAACGCCGGGGCCAACAGCACAGAGAGACTCGCACAGAGGGACCGTGAGACTGGCATCCTGCAGGAGATTTTCCTCACCAAGGAGAGGTACGTATTCACAGAGAGAGAGAGTGTGTGTCTGTGTGAGAGAGAGCAGTATGGTTTAAAATGATATGGATTTCTGTAGCCTAGTGGGTTACCAGGTGCTCAAAGTGCCTCGCATTGTATTGGGGAAACTGACCTCCTGCCTCCTCCTCAGTGTTCCTGACAGCCCCCATGAACCAGAGCCTGAGGCCTACGAACCCATGCCTCCACGCCTCATACCTCTGGACGAGGTGAGATGTACTCTTTTCTGTCAATCACTTTGGTGCAGTTCGAAAGATGTGTTCAACTCCAATGAATGCACAACCAAAGGTTTTGAACATAAAATAAGAAGCATTACAAGTTATTAGTTTTTACTTTTGTTCTAAGAGTTTTGCATCTGAAAAATACGGCAAAGTGATTGAAAAATAACCTATAATACATAACACACCCAATGCTCCAAATATCCTCTATTTGTCCAGTGCACTAACTCCCTCTCCTCTCCAGGACTCAACCATGATGGACGACAGCTACATGGAGCCCATGGACACGTCGTCCCAGCCTGGCTCTGGCGTGGGCCCCGGGGGTGTGGAGGGCTCCAAGCTGCCGCCCGTCCTCGCCAACCTCATGGGCAACCTGGGGGCCAACAACCTGTTGGGCAACCTGGGTAACCTAGGCAACATCGCCCAGGGCACGCCTGGTGCCCCCGCTGCCCCCTCCGTCAATGTACAGGAGCTTCTCACCTCCATCATGGTAAGAGATATAGCTATGAAAACATTTTCAAACATGAACTAATCCTGTTTTTGTAAGATTATGATTGAATGAATTCAAGTATTAATGCGTTGTCTACTGCAACTGTTTTAAAACAGAACTTCTGGAAGTCCTGTAACCAGTGTGTGTATCTGTGATGTTTATTTTATTCTGTCTTCATGATTTGGGTTAACTTCTCTCTCTCTTTCTCGCTCCCTGTCTCTCCTGTAGGGAGCTAGTGGTGGCCAGTCTACTGAGGACCTGATCAAGCAGCCAGACTTCTCTGAAAAGATCAAACAGCTGCTGGGTTCTCTACAGCAGAACCAGGGCCCCCCCACCGGACCCCCACCCGGAGGTACACAGACCCCTTCCCCTCTCTCTTCAGTTCTCACACACACTTATTCAAGCCAACAAACCAAGTATTCTTTCATTTCCTCCTACTCTTAACTGTATATGACTATGTGTGGTAGAATGATTAACCAAGTATCTCTTTCCTCCACAGTGAGCCAGGGCCTGTTGGGCCACGGTCCAGGCATGAACAACATACCCAACATGAACAACCTCAACATGGGCATGCCCATGAACGGAGTGGGGTACCCTCCTGCAGGCAAGCCCCCGGGCCCCGGAGGCCCCCACTACAACCACCCCCCGCCCCCACACAACCACGGACCCCCCGGCTTCAACGCCAACCCCCGCATGATGGGGCCCCCGCCGACCCAGGGCCACGGAGGAGACAACGGCAACTACTGGGGGGACGACTCGATGAGGGGGGGGCCACACCGGGGCGGAGGGGGCCACTTCCACCGCGGGGGCCGAGGGAGAGGAGGGGAACAGGTGGGCTTTAGAGGGAGAGGACGAGGGGGTCCTAGAGGAGGACACAACAACATGGGAGGTGAGTTGAATTGAAAGGGAATGTCCCTTCTAGTAATTATATTTCTATGTTAGAGACATAGGGCCAGTCTGAAACGACACCCTGTATTGCCCATGGCTGTGCCCCACAGTAGTGCAATAACAATAAAGACTAAGTTGATTTGTGTTTGCCATCTTCTAGCCTTGATGCAGTCAGTACAGAAACGTTGGGTTTGTTGTGTACTAATAACTCTGTTATTTTTCCTCTCCTCCTCCCAGACATGTCCAAGAGGCCAGTGTGTCGCCACTTCATGATGAAAGGAAACTGCCGTTACGAGAGCAACTGTGCTTTCTACCACCCCGGCGTCAACGGTCCTCCCCTGCCACCCAACCACCCCGCCCACAACCAGTACAACGACCACGGACCGCAGCACGGGCACTAGACCACCCAACACACCACGGACACCAAGACGTGACAATATCATGTTATCACCACTAGGTGGCAGACCTCTGAATTCATGAGCTGCTAGTTTGGTTTCACCGCTGGGACAGAGGGGGCAGAGCGTCAGATAGCCCACCAGGCTAGAAAGACATAGTGAAAGACAAGCCCAATAGATGGTCAGATGTGAGAGACAGACAAGGCTGTCCTGCTGCCTTAACAATTGCTCTGCTCTGGTCTGGTGATTTCAATGTGATGCTTCTGCGGGTCTGTAAAGAAGCAGTTCCACTACTGTTCTCCTGTGTGACTGGGACTTTGATATGAGGACTCCCCAGTAGCAGAGGAAGATACTGACTGTACAGGGCAGAACCAGACATTTCTCTACTTCTTCCTCTCTCCACACACCAACCTAAGATGTCCGCCAAGAAATTCTCGACTTCCTACAGTCATTTGTTTGCCCTGCTCGCTCAAACTCCCTCGATCAGGGATAGAAGACATTGCTTGTACACAAGGATACACACACACACTCATGCCCTGGCTTTGTAAAGGTACTGCTATAGCTGTGAGATGATCGTTAATATGTTTATATAGATGTTTTATTGTGATCATATTTAACACTGTTGCTTCAGGTTGATGATGTACAGTAACCACACACTATGACCACTGTGACTATTATGGTTGCTGTCTGGCACTCTCCCATATAGCCTATCAGCTAGCCCTGTCTTACGCACTTGTCTCCTACATCTTTATCTGATATTTCAATCAGCTCTGAGCTAACAGGTCAGCAATGATCAAGATAGAAAGTCAATAGAAACATATCCAGGATCTCCCCAGTATTGAGTCAAACTTCTTTAAGCTAAATGATCCTCCCTTTCTTCCATCATTCTCCTCTGTAGTTGTGTAGTGTCATCCCTGCCCTGGGTGTCCCTATTGGACCACGTTCCTCAGACAGACAGGATCTGTAGCCAACCTTCAGCTCCAGAATGAATCTAATCCCCGCCCTCCCTCCTGAATGAATGTTGCACTGTGTTCAACTGTGGTCCCTCAAGTTTTCAAACTGTAGTCAGACGTGGCCAAATGACAATGTTCAGTACACCATTTTAGAACCTATTTACGGCCAAGTGCGATACATGAAAAACATGCCACTTTTTCTACCGTAGGATTTCTACAGAAAACAAGACAATGAATGTGAAGTTGACCAAATAATGAGAATATTGTTTGATATTTGCAAAGTTCCCCATAGGCAAGAGTTATCAGTTAGGAAGCACTTTAAAAAGAAATATGGAGGCCAAATCCAAGTTGTGTTTTCACCAGACAGCCTGACTGACAGGACCTAACTAACGTCTAATGTCCCTCCCTCCCATCACACTGCTTGTGCAATGTTCTACTACTATCTAGCTCTGGCTTTAGAAAGGCCTGCCTCCAACATTTCCCCTCCAGAACAAATGAATTAAACAGTATTGAGAAGAGAACATTTAACAGAACCGCCCCTAGATGAATGGCCTACGCACTGAACGAACGAACGCTGCCTGTAGGCTACGTGTTGTTTTCTACTGGTGGGTATTAGTGGTCAGCCTATCACAGGAGAAGGAACAACAGGGAAAAGTGTTGCTTGATTTGACTGAGCCTTTTTACCATGAAGAGTACATTACAGTGAGTGAGGGTTTTCCTATCTGAAGTTCGGGTCTAATGGAAGCCTCTGTGTGTGATTTATATTTCATCAACTCTATAACATGTACCACCGAGCATATCTTATCTTTCATGTGACAATCATGATGGTCAAATGTCCCCCTGTATGCCCCGTGGCAGAAACACAGTCCCCTTATAAGTTTCTTCACACACACAACTGTATTAGCTTCAGTTGGGTGACGTGTGTTCGGTCAGTGTTAAATGTCCAACGGGGTAAAACTAAGGAATCATTCTCTGGGTCAACTAATTCAAAGTGTTTTCTGTGAAAACAGTGGCCTTCATGTCTCTTGTGGGACTAGAATTATATCATGTTTTTGGTTGGATTTATTGTGTTTTTATTTTGATACGATACTGAGTTGGATCTCTCCAAAATGAGGTCCATGTTTTTTGGTTAGAAATGTATGTGTCTGTGAATGCATACACGCATTCATTCACATATATACATATTATGAGTATTTTGTACATGTATTAATAAATGTCCTAAAATGAATGTATCTGGGTTGATAAGTGTTATTTTGAGGTGTGAATATGAGATGTCCTCCATTTAACGGTTTTGTTTCAAGTTCTTATCTAACAAGTGTTTCATAATGGAATTCTTATCTCAGTTTCTTTGAAGATGACTGCCATTATTTACATTTTAAAATATTTGGAATATCAATGAAAGTTTCAGATAATCAGAAGACTCTTATAAAGGAACATACAAAAGTTTCAGGGGAACTTTAAACATTCTTAAGCGTCATCATGCACATTACACATCCTAATCCACGCTCCTACGTCCTATGACGATGGTAGTGTATGGTAGATCCGTGTTCCCAGGGCGAGGCTAGTGACAGGTGGCCCAGGTGGCAGACAACTCAATGTGTGATCAGGAGTGGCTTTAACCATGCCCTCCACTGCAAATATTGACTTGCGGACAACACAGGAAGGAACAGCGAGAAGGATAGACAGCGCCTTAGGAGCTAAAGACACCTCAGCATTCTGAGAGGGAAGTAAGGGAGAGGGAGGGTTAAGGACACCTCAGCATTCTGAGAGGGGAGAGAGAGGGTTAAGGACACCTCAGCATTCTGAGAGGGAAGTAAGGAAGAGAGAGGGTTAAGGACACCTCAGCATTCTGAGAGGGAAGAAAGGGAGAGAGAGGGTTAAGGACACCTCAGCATTCTGAGAGGGAAGTAAGGAAGAGAGAGGGTTAAGGACACCTCAGCATTCTGAGAGGGAAGTAAGGGAGAGGGAGGGTTAAGGACACCTCAGCATTCTGAGAGGGAAGTAAGTGAAGGTAGGGTTAAGGACACCTCAGCATTCTTAGAGGGAAGTAAGGGAGAGAGTGGGTTAAGGACACCTCATCATTCCGCTGCTCCAACATCCACACTAGAATTCATGTCGGCCTGAGTTTGTCTGCTGTGATAAACTACATAGACCTATCCTTCTGCATTTCACAGATGCTCTTATCCAGATCAATAGCTGCAAGTAAAACCCTCAAAGTAGCCGCTGTTTGAATAACACGTACACTGAGAAAACGAAACATTAAGGACACCTGCTCTTTCCATGACAGACTGACCAGGTGAAAGCTATGATCCCTTATCCACTTCAATCAGTGGACACAAGTATTGGTCTTCACAAAGTTCGCTGCTTCAGTGTTATGAGATATTTTTGTCAGATGTTACTATGGTATACTGAAGTATAATTACAAGCATTCCATAAGTGTCAAAGGCTTTTATTGACAATTACATTAAGTTTATGCAAAGAGTCAATATTTGCAGTGTTGACCCTTCTTTTTCAAGACCTCTCCAATCCGCCCTGGCATGCTGTCAATTAACTTCTGGGCCACATCCTGACTGATGGCAGCCCATTCTTGCATAATCAATGCTTGGAGTTTGTCAGAATTTGTGGGTTTTTGTTTGTCCACCCGCCTCTTGAGGATCAACCACAAGTTCTCAATGGGATTAAGGTCTGGGGAGTATCCTGGCCATGGACCCAAAATGTCGATGTTTTGTTCCCCGAGCCACTTAGTTATCACTTTTGCCTTATGGCAAGGTGCTCCATCATGCTGGAAAAGGCATTGGTCGTCACCAAACTGTTCTTGGATGGTTGGGAGAAGTTGCTCTCGGAGGATGTGTTGGTACCATTCTTTATTCATGGCTGTGTTCTTAGGCAAAATTGAAGCCCACTCCCTTGGCTGAGAAGCAACCCCACACATGAATGATCTCAGGATGCTTTACTGTTGGCATGACACAGGACTGATGGTAGAGCTCACCTTGTCTTCTCCGGACAAGGTGTTTTCTGGATGCCCCAAACAATCGGAAAAGGGGATTCATCAGAGAAAATGACTTTACCCCAGTCCTCAGCAGTCCAATCCCTGTACCTTTTGCAGAATTTCAGTCTGTCCCTGATGTTTTTCCTGGAGAGAAGTGGCTTCTTTGCTGCCCTTCTTGACACCAGGCCATCCTCCAAAAGTCTTCGCCTCACTGTGCGTGCAGATGCACTCACACCTGCCTGCTGCCATTCCTGAGCAAGCTCTGCACTGGTGGTGCCCCGATCCCGCAGCTGAATCAACTTTAGGAAACAGTCCTGGCGCTTGCTGGACTTTCTTGGGCAACCCTGACGCCTTCTTCACAACAATTTAACCTCTCGCCTTGAAGTTCTTGATGATCCGAAAAATTGTTGATTTAGGTGCAATCTTACTAGCAGCAATATCCTTGCCCGTGAAGCCCTTTTTGTGCAAAGCAATGATGACGGCACTTGTTTCCTTGCAGGTAACCATGGTTAACAGAGGAAGAACAATGATTTCAAGCACCACCCTCCTTTTAAAGCTTCCAGTCTGTTATTCTAACTCAATCAGCATGACAGAGTGATCTCCAGCCTTGTCCTCGTCAACACTCTCACCTGTGTTAACGAGAGAATCACTGACATGATGTCAGCTGGTCCTTTTGTGGCAGGGCTGAAATGCAATGGAAATGTTTTTGGGGGGATTAAGTTCATTTTCATGGCAAAGAGGGACTTTGCAATTAATTGCAATTCATCTGATCACTCTTCATGACATTCTGGAGTATATGCAAATTGCCATCATCAAAACTGAGACAGCAGACTTTGTGAAAATTAGTATTTGTCTCATTCTCAAAACTTTTGACCACAAAGCAATGATGACGGCACTTGTTTCCTTGCAGGTAACCATGGTTAACAGAGGAAGAACAATGATTTCAAGCACCACCCTCCTTTTAAAGCTTCCAGTCTGTTATTCTAACTCAATCAGCATAACAGAGTGATCTCCAGCCTTGTCCTCGTCAACACTCTCACCTGTGTTAACGAGACAATCACTGACATGATGTCAGCTGGTCCTTTTGTGGCAGGGCTGAAATGCAGTGGAAATGTTTTTTGGGGATTAAGTTCATTTTCATGGCAAAGAGGGACTTTGCAATTAATTGCAATTCATCTGATCACTCTTCATGACATTCTGGAGTATATGCAAATTGCCATCATCAAAACTGAGACAGCAGACTTTGTGAAAATGAGTATTTGTCTCATTCTCAAAACGTTTGACCATGACTGTAGATGAAGGAGAAGGGACAGGTTAAAGAAGGATTTTTAAGCCTTGAGACAATTGAGACATTGAGGGTGAATGGGCAAAACTAAATATTTAAGTGCCTTTGAAAGGGATATGGTAGTAGGTGCCAGGCGCACTGATTTGTGTCAAGAACTGCAACGCTGCTGGGTTTTTCATGCTCAACAGTTTCCTGTGTGTATCAAGAATGGTCCACCACCCAAAGGGCATCCAGCCAACTTGACACAACTGTGGGAAGCATTGGAGTCAACATAGGCCAGCATCACTGTGGAACGCTTTTGACACCTTGTAGAGTCCATGCCCCGATGAATTGAGTCTGTTCTGATGGCAAAAGGGGGGTGCAACTCAATATTCGGAAGGTATCCTTAATGTTTTGTACACTCTGTGTTTAAGTAAACCAATCATATCCATGTTAAAAAGACTGATACATCCATTCAATCTGAGGTGTAGTGGTAGTTGAAGAGGCCAGTCTGTCTGGATGGAGACTTGAACAAAGCCACCATTGATCCTGGTGCTTAATGTTGGTCTGATCACATTACCTTGGTCTGTGCATGGGGTTGGATGAAGGGGGGATTGTGCCATCAGAACACTGAAAGTGTGAGACAGAGGGGTCAGTAAGGGCACCAGTATAACCACTCTCAATTCATAACCTCTTGTCTAGGCAGTTCCTGGTTCCTTAAACGAACCCAACCATTACTTAAGTAGCCCTTCCTGCAGTCAAATGACCTAGTTGCTTCATGGGTGGAATGTTATGAATATTTTTCATAATTTTATCATTAATAAACATTATTTCCAAAAAGCCGCCGAAAATGTCTGTCAAACGGTTTGTGATATATATAACGTGCAATATTGGGATACAAACTTGAAATTGAACACATTTATTTCTGACATGGTACAGGTGTCTTCTTTTTTGTAAGCCCATAACCATTTGTGTGAGGTGTATACTTTTGTTTCAAAGTAGATTTGAAACACTCTGTGTGACCTTGATTTAGCCCATGACAGTAAAAGGTTAATGAGACCAACAGAGAGAATCAGTGTGGCAGTTTGTTTCTTCACCCACTTTAATCTGTGTGTTCAGGGCCTCAGGCAATACAGCTGGAGAGAGTGAAAGCTGTAAGGGGTAATGGAACTGTAGTTCCTATGGTGTAGAGGCATGAGCCTCAGACTGAACCCCCCCCCCAAAACAAAACAACAACAACAAAACACTTCTCTGGGTAGAGGCAGTACAACGCTCATTTCATAGCACAATGCTGATTTCTAAATGTGTATGACACCGTAAAGACAGAAAATAGGATACAGTGGCTTGCGAAAGTATTCACCCCCCTTGGCATTTTTCCTATTTTGTTGCCTAACAACCTGGAATTAAAATGGGGGTTTGTATCATTTGATCTACACAACATGCCTACCACTTTGAAGATGCAAAATATTTTTTTGTTTGAAACAAACAAGAAATAAGACAATAAACAGAAAACTTGAGCGTGCATAACTATTCACCCCCCCCCAAGGTCAATACTTTGTAGAGCCCCCTTTTGCAGCAATTACAACTGCAAGTCTCTTGGGGTATGTCTCTATAAACTTGGCACATCCAGCCGCTGGGATTTTTGTCCATTCTTCAAGGCAAAACTGCTCCAGCTCCTTCAAATTGGATGGGTTCCGCTGGTGTACAGTAATCTTTAAGTCATACCACAGATTCTCAATTGGATTGAGGTCTGGGCTTTGACTAGGCCATTCCAAGACATTTAAATGTTTCCCCTTAAACCACTCGAGTGTTGCTTTAGCAGTATGCTTAGGATCATTGTTGGGGCGGCAGGTAGCTTAGTGGGTAAGAGCGTTGTGCCAGTAACTGAAAGGTCGCTGGTTCTAATCCCCGAGCCGACTAGGTGAAAAATCTGTCGATGTGCCCTTAAGCAAGGCACTTAACCCTAATTGCTCCTGTAAGTCGCTCTGGATAAGAGCGTCTGCTAGATGACTAAAATGTAAATGTAATTGTCCTGCTGGAAGGTGAACCCCAGTCTCAAATCTCTGGAAGACTGAAACAGGTTTCCCTCAAGAATTTCCCTGTATTTAGTGCCAATGGAAGACCCAGAGTTACCTCTGCTGCAGAGGATAAGTTCATTAGAGTTACCAGCCTCAGAAATTGCAACCCAAGTAAATGCTTCACAGAGTTCAAGTGACGACACATCTGGACTCCAAATTTGTAGATTTTTGGTTCCAACCGCCGTGTCTTTGTGAGACGGGTGTGGGTGAATGGATAATCTCTGCATAATGTAGTTCCCACCGTAAAGCATGGAGAAGGAGGTGTTATGGTGTGGGGGTGCTTTGCTGGTGACACTGTCTGTGATTTATTTAGAATTCAAGGCACACTTAACCAGCATGGCTACCACAGCATTCTGCAGCGATACGCCATCCCATCTGGTTTGGGCTTACTGGGACTATCATTTGTTTTTCAACAGGACAATGACCCAACACACCTCCAGGCTGTGTAAGGGCTATTTTACCAAGAAGGAGAATGATGGAGTGCTGCATCAGATGACCTGGCCTCCACAATCCCCTGACCTCAACCCAATTGAGATGGTTTGGGAAGAGTCGGACGGCAGTGTGAAGGAAAAGCAGCCAACAAGTGCTCAGCATATGTGGGAACTCCTTCAAGACTGTTGGAAAAGCATTCCTCATGAAGCTGGTTGAGAGAATGCCAAGAGTGTGCAAAGCTGTCATCAAGGCAAAGGGTGGCTACTTTGAAGAATCTAAAATATATTTTGATTTGTTTAACACTTTTTTGGTTACTGCATGATTCCATATGTGTTATTTCATAGTTTTGATGTCTTCACTATTATTCTACAATGTAGAAAATAGTAAAAATAAAGAAAAACCCTTGAATGAGTGGGTGTGTCCAAACTTTTGACTGGTACTCTCTCTCCTCTCTCTCTCTCTCTCTCTCTCTCTCTCTCTCTCTCTCTCTCTCTCTCTCTCTCTTCTCGCTCTCTCTCTCCTCTCTCTCTCTCTCGCTCTCGCTCTCTCTCTCTCTCTATATTCTCCCTCCCCCCTCCCCCAATCTATATCAGATCGATGTCTTACTTCTCTCTCCTCTCTCTCTCTCTCTCGATATATATATAGATCGATAGATAGATAGATCGATAGATAGTAGATAGATAGCTAGATAGATAGATAGATAGATAGATAGATAGATAGATAGATAGATAGATAGATAGATAGATAGATAGATAGATAGATAGATAGATAGATAGATATAACAGGTCAATTTTAGATAAAATAGGAACATCATGTTGGTGCACAATGACCATAGCGTCCCTTTACATCACTACAAACAGTTGATACAACATTACACTAAAAGTACAAACACCAAAGGGAAGTTCACACATTTGTACATGTCCTTATTTTACCGTTTAAAAAAAATATATTTGTTTTGTTACAGAGAAAAGTGAGTCATCACTTGACATTGACTACAATTAATTTAGAAAATGTGTCTAAAGCATATTAGAAAACATTTTTTATATCACATCAGAATCCCATTCTGAATGATGTCTCTGCACAATTTTGTGCCCTAAATCCATGTTTGAATGACGCTGTTTACGACAACAACAACATCAAGATGCAAATATGGATTTATTGGAAAGTATACCTTTTTTTTCACAATTTGAGCAGAGACATCATTCAGAATGGGATTCTGATGTAATCAGAATCAGATTCATATTACATCAGATTTATTTCCCCACTGTCCCATAAATCCATATTTGTATCTTGTTGTTGTTGTTGTTGTAAACAGCATCATTCAAACATGGATTTATGGCACAGTGGAACATCTTTAAAAAACAATTGTGCAGAGACATCATTCAAAATGGGATTCTGATGTAATATGAGTTGGTGTGGAGTGTTTTATAGTGTTTTCTAATATGCTTTAGACACATTTTCATATTTTCATACTGCATTATAGTCATTATCGCAAAATGTGACAACCAATTTTCTCTGTAACGAAACAAAAAATGGTTTGGGGTATCAACTACAAGCACAGAAAGAGTGAAAATAAGGCCACGTAAAAATGGATGAACTTCCCCTTCAACCCTATTAAATCTATTTGTTTACTTTATGAAAGTTCATTTACTGAGAATGATGTCAATCTCACGGATCTGACCTGAACCAATCATGAACTGACTAATAGCCCCGATATCAAATCAGATTCCTCGATTTAATGCTGACTTGTCCTTGGATTTGGGCCAACTATCATGATTCAACAGTTCCGTTACACATTCTTCCGATAAAACTCCATGAAAACGTACATAACAACACTATCATATCCAACTTAGGGCAAACAATTTTAACCAGGCTTATAATATGTCTTTAAAACCCTGTGTCCGATAGCGATGGAAGGGAGAGAAAGTACAAATTCTAGAATCAATTGCGCTGCCTACCTCCACAGTCCACACACATTCAATCAAAGCATTGGTGGGTTGGTGGGAGGGGCCAGCAGGTGAGCTTAGGGCTGGTGTATAAGAGCAGGTCCAGATGAGAGAGGAGGGACACGGCAGTACGAGGAGCTGCAGAACACAGGAGACACACAAAGGTGCCACAGAGAACAGGTAGGAAATAGATCTCTCCCTCCACCACAATGGAAGCCTTATTCTCTGACCACACATCTCTCTTCACTATCCCTTATCCCTCAATCTGATCCTTTTTCTGGTAAATGTGCCTTGAAATGCTATGAACTTTTTCAGAGTCTTTCAGTCTTCAACAACTTCAACAAATCTGAATAGATGTGCAATTATTGTAATTCTGCATGGCATTAATTCATTATCTTTTTCCCCTCTCAGCTATACTGTTGAGTTATAATAGTATGATGATAGAAGTAGACTATCTGTGCAGTTTTGTTGCATGCATGTGGTATCTGGGCCCGTATTCCCAATGATTCAGAATAGGAGTGCTGACATAGGATCAGTTTTGATTAAATTATTAGAATTATATGGACAGTGGGGTCCTGATCCTAGATCAGCATACTCTGAGATGCTGATTGAACTCTGTTTCCTTCCAGAAAATTAGTAATCATGATTCGAGGTCTGCTGTCGGTGCTGTTGGTCCTGGTGGCTGTAGCTGTGTCTTCATCTCTGGCTAAGCCTGAGAAGAACATTGCCAAGAGGGGGAAGAGGATCCCCCAGACTCTCTCCAGAGGTAACACTCTCTAATGAATAGAGCTGACATGCGATTCCTTATTCTACATGTTAGTGGAGGCATGTCTGTTCTACACATTATCTTTCTACCTGAATGTTCTGTAATGTTGCACCTTCCTGAGCAGACTCCAGGTGTCCTGACACTGTTCTTCCTGACTGTCTCCTATAGGCTGGGGTGATCAACTGGTCTGGGCTCAGACCTATGAGGAGGCTCTGTACTGGGCCAGGGCACAGTGAGTGAACAAACATTTATGGCCACATACGAAATGGCACCCTACTTTTTATGAAGTTGAAAATAGGGAATAGGGTGCTATTTCACATACATGATGTAATAGATCTGGATGGCTGATGTGTTTTAATACATTTAAAGGATTTTCTTGGAATCTCTTTAATATTCTATTCTATTTTATTCTGTTTTGACCAGAACTCATTTGTCTCCACAGGAACAAGCCTCTGATGGTCATCTTCCACCTGGAGGACTGTCCCCACAGTGCATGTAAGACCCTGACCTCTAACCTCTGACCTCTAACCCCTGACCTAAAGCAAATAAGCTGCCACTCTGTTGCAGCTTCCTGAACAGACCACAGGTCAATGTCCCTCCCTTGGCTAGTTATGAGTATTACTTTGCATCCTGGCATTCTCCCAAATCGTGATGCATCATTCAGTTGTATTAGATGCCAGGACTTGTTTAAACAGCCATTATCAAACTCATTTTAGAACCGACATGGCTCTGTTTTCCAAGGTGGTATACACCTTTTACATCCTGCTGCCATGTATGGGAGAGGACAATAAAACAATTATGGAGATCTCTTAAGTTAAGTCAATGTAACATTTTTTATAATGTCTTTCATGATGTCTTCCATGTATCTAGCCATGAAGAAGGTCTTCGCCGAAGACAAGGACATCCAGAAGGTGGCTGATGAAGACTTCATCATCCTCAATCTGGTGGTGAGTTTTAAATGAAGTCTTTGGAATACATTATCAGAATCAATACCTAGATTATTTCTCTTTTGATCTATTAGATTTTATGATTCTATGTTTAGATTTTTATTTGTATTTTAGCGCACTGTTATTTTTGTTTTTTTGATCTGACTTTTAATATTAAGAAGCAAATCATTGATATGTGTTTCTTTCCCTGTGTTATCAGTATGAAACCACAGACAAGCATCTTTCCCCTGATGGCCAGTATGTCCCTAGAATCATCTTTGTCGGTGAGTGAAAATGTCACGTTTTCCCAGCAGCATTACATGAAGGAATGTCCCATTTTCCCAGCAGCATTACATGAAGGAATGTCCCGTTTTCAAACAAAAGCAACAGATTTTAATCAATAGTTATCGCTACCCCCCCCCCCCGCTCTCTCTCTCTCTATCCCTCTCTTCATCTCTCTCTCCTCAGATCCCTCTATGACAGTGAGAGCTGACATCACAGGGCGCTACTCCAACCGTATGTACGCCTATGAGCCTTCTGACATCAAACTCTGTGAGTACAACTTGATCTTATCTCCCTTTTGACTGTTTGATTGCATTTGCATACTGTTAATATATCTGTATTTAATAGATTGTAAATATTTAAGCATTGTATACATGTATAAGCTTTTATTAATGTAAGGTATTACAAAGTGTATTCAGATATTGTTTTATAATTAATTCAGAGATATTGTATTTGGCCTTTAGTGCCATCTTAAGGAAATTTGACCTTTGTGAGAAACAACCTGCTCCTGAGTGACTCTTGAGTGACTTACTCTTGACTTACTCTTAATTTTCCCTTCTCCCTATAGTATTGAGCAACATGCAGAAAGCCAAGAAGCTGCTGAAGACTGAGTTGTAAGCACTGACTCATCATGTGACCCCGTGACCTTTGGCCTGCGACCTCAGAGGTTTTCTGAACATTCTCTAAATATTCTTGGAACATTCTCTGAACATTCTCTGGAGCCTAGGAGTCAGCCAGTGGCATACTGTCACCATGTAAACCTAAGCACTGGAAAGAACTAGTCTTCAATTTCACAAAACGCAATTCCATTTTTAAAATTCTGTTATTTTTCCTGAACCTCTCTGTCTTTGTAATGTATTGCTGTACATCTGAGATGTCTTTTTATTAAATATAGTGCAATTATTAAATTATGTGTGTGTCATTGGAAAATGTAACCAGATCATCTGAATGTATTCAGTCCTTTCACCCTTCATGACAATGACTCAAGTTAAAAGGGCTATTGAAAAAATACAGTGTGCATGAATGCGTGTGTTTGTGTGTGTGTAGCTAGGGAGTGAGTGTTGACATCCTGGTCACGTCCTGAATGGGCGGGGTCACATCCTGAATGGGCGGGGCCAGAGAGGATCTCAAAGGACTTTTCCTGAACCAGTCACAGCCTGATTGCCTGGCTACCGAACATCAAGACACCTTTGCTGTGTAATGGGCTTCTTTCTTAAGCAGGGCACTGGTTGGTCGGGAATGACACACACACACACACACACACACACACACACACACACACACACACACACACTCTACACACACCAACACATTATTCTCAGTAATGTCATGAAGTACTGTAATATTGTAATGTAATAAGTTAATGGGAATCTATGTTAATGATATGCCAGAAAGCAAATAAAAGCATTATTTTGTGTCATTCCACTTGCGTAGAGATTTTAGAGTTTCTTGGAAATGGTTAGGCTACTGCTGTGAGCTGAGCTCTACATTTTGCAATGTCATTGAATGCCACTGGTTGTGTTTCTATGGAAACAGAGCCCAACAGACCCAGCGAACTTTCAGGAAAAAACATTATAATAGGTCAACTTGACTGGGCATTGGTGGGAATTGAGTTACACATTGTTGAAAGGAAAGCCCAAGAACAGAAACAGTGTATGAAATATATATTTTTTAACATTTCTATTTTATTGAGATTTCTTGTACACATGGTCAGGTATGGTGTAGTTCACAGAACCACCAGTGCGGTGGAAGCAGCAGCACACACTAGTAGAGGAGACATGCAAGAGGCACAAGCCAAGGTAACTGTTACAACAGCACACACAGACCCACGCACACAACAGACACACACGCACACATGCACAGACCCACACACATGAGTATGCGCGCACCTATGCACACACACACACATGCACACACAATCGACTGCCAGGCTTTGTAACACTATCAGCAGAACAAAGCGCATCATCTTTTCTTTCACGTCAGTCTTCCCCAGCATTTCATAGTGATGATATTCAGACAGCATGAGCAATTGACTCTTAAAGGGATACTTTGGGATTTTGGCAATGAGGCCCTTTATCTACTTCCCCAGAGTCAGATGAACTCGTGGATACCATTTTCATGTCTCTGCGTGCAGTTTGAAGGAAGTTGCTAACTAGTGCTAGAGCAATTGCTAACTAGCATTAGTGCAATGACTGGAAGTCTATGGGTATCTACTAGCATGCTAGTAGATACCCATAGACTTCTAGTTATTGCGCTAACGCTAGTTAGCATTGGCTCACGAAACTACCTATAACTTCCTTCATACTGGACACAGAGACATAAAAATGGTATCCACGAGTTCATCTGACTCTGGGGAAGTAGATAAAGGGCCTCATTGCCAAAATCTCAAAGTATCCCTTTAAGTTATTGCATTTTGTTTTGCCGATTTTTCAAATAATTAGGAATGTTTACACAGAAATAAACATACAGAACACAAAAAAAATGCAAATGCTGTGTAACATAATGACTTAAAGTAAAGCCAACAACAAGCTGCTTAAATAGTGGTAGTTATGTAGTTACAGCATACAATTGTCAACATCACACTATAGTTCTTCAGTTATTGAGTGTATCAAATCAAATGTACAAGTATTCAATGATATCTTCAGTCGTTCTTCACCATGTCAGCCATCATCTGTAATCCAGGAGTCATTCAGTAGTCACATCACAGTTCACATGCTCTAATACAGGTCTGAGCATACTGAACGCTTGCCCAGCAAGGGTGTATCAAATATCAAATGTATTATCTGAAAATGTTGATTTCTTGAGGAGATTTGTCACCGGAAGCAGAGCTTCTGAGAGGATAGACACGGAGTGTACAAAACATTAAGGACACCTGCTCTTTCCATGACATAGACTGACCAGGTGAATCCAGGTGAAAGCTATGATCCCTTATTGATGTCACTTGTTAAATCCACTTCAATCAGTGTAGATGAAGGGGAGGAGACAGGTTAAAGAAGGATTTTTAAGCCTTGAGACAATTCAGACATTGAGGGTGAATGGGCAAGACAAAATATTTAAGTGCCTTTGAACGGGATATGGTAGTAGGTGCCAGGCGCACTGATTTGTGTCAAGAACTGCAACGCTGCTGGGTTTTACATGCTCAACAGTTTTCCGTGTGTATCAAGAATGGTCCACCACCCAAAGGGCATCCAGCCAACTTGACACAACTGGGGGAAGCATTGGAGTCAACATAGGCCAGCATCCCTGTGGAACGCTTTTGGCAACCTGTAGCTGGATGGACCTCTGTAGCTCAATTGGTAGAGCATGGCGCTTGTAACGCCAGGGTAGTGGGTTCGATCCCCGGGACCACCCATACGTAAAAATGTATGCACACATGACTGTAAGTCGCTTTGGATAAAAGTGTCTGCTAAATGGCATATTATATTAATATTAGGAAGGTGTTCTTAATGTTTTGTACACTCAGTGTATACAGGACATGGTTCTGATCAGGAGTGGTCTAAGGTATCCTATTAGTGTAATAGGCTCATGCAGCATCTTTAATATACAGCAGGGTCGTGTTCATTAGGGCACACAACGGAAAACATTTTGCAGTGGAAAGTGTAAAGGAGCGTTTCTTATTCGACAAGTGAAGGTCAGTTTTCTTCTGTTTGGTGCCTAATGAACATGACCCAGTTCTTTTACAGACACACACCTCACTCTGGAAAAACAATCACTTCATGTAACACCACACAAAGGGCTGCCGCTTCGCTCAGCTGGTGAAAACACACACAAGTCACTCGCTTATTTACAAACACAGCCACTAAAACAGGCAGCTAACCCTCCTCCACCTGGAGAGCTACTTGGTGTGCAGGCTTTTACTCTGGCCCTGCTTTAACTAACACAACTGATTCAGCTGAACAAGGTCCCGATGAGCAGCTCATTTGTTTAGAATCAGCTGTGTTAGTGTTACAGTTAGAGTAGGGCTGGAGCAAAAGCCTGCACACCCAGTAGCTCTCCAGGAGGAAAGTTGGCCACTCCAAGAGTGGGGCACAAAGCCAGCAGTTGCCAACGGTTACAGGAAGGCACTGGGATTGGCTCGAGGGTCCTTCTGGTTCCTGTACCGGTACGTTAGCCACACCCCCAGGAACTGAAAAAGGACGAATAAAACATTAATGGGTCAAAATAACAAACATTACTGGGCCCAGTTTTATGCTGCTGACCTACAAATAGATCACATACTGTATATAGCTACATTTTCATAACCTATTAGATTTCATAAACTGCACCTCAAAATAGGCCAGTTTACTGTAAAATAAAATCACTATTTTAAAACACTATATAAGTTCAATTGATTGATTGCTTGATTGATACAGCAGAACATTCCCCTGACTGTATATAAAGGGCGATCTCACCTCAGTGAAGCTGAAGAAAAGGCCTATCCCGCCCACGAAACGCAGCACCTCTCCTGCATGCTCCTGGATTTGCTCAGCACACGGTGAACAGGAGTGGTTGGGGAAACAGGCCTGTAGAGGGACACAGATGGACCAGTTAGTCAGGAAAACTGCTTCACAACCACAATACTGAATATACAGCAGCTAATATCATCAGAAACAAAGCCAACACCTCCTTTGGCCGCCATTCCTTCCAGTTCTCTGCTGCCAATGACTGGAACGAACTGCAAAAATCTCTGAAGCTGGAGACACTTATCTCCCTCACTAATTTTAAGCATCAGTTGTCAGAGCAGCTTACTGATCACTGCACCTGTACACAGCCCATCTGTAATTAGCCCACCCAACTACCTCATCCCCATATTGTTATTTATTTTGCTCATTTGCACCCCAGTATCTCTATTTGCACATCATCTTCTGCATATCTATCACTCCAGTGTTAATACTAAATTGTAATTATTTTTGCACTATGGCCTATTTATTGCCTTACCTCCATAAATTTCTACATTTGCACACACTGTATATAGATTTTCTATTGTGTTTTTGACTGTACGTTTTGTTTATTCCATATGTAACTCTGTGTTGTTGTTGTTTTTATCGCACTGCTTTGCTTTATCTTGGCCAGGTCGCAGTTGTAAATGAGAACTTGTTCTCAACTGGCTTACCTGGTTAAATAAAGGTGAAATAAATGAAAATAAATACATTTTAAAAAATCCAAAAACGAAATGTTAATATCCGAGCCATTGAAACACAGATGTACTGTATGTGTAAAAACTTGTTATTTCGTTGTAATTAGATATCTTGGCATGCACAAACAGAGCTTGGGACATGAGCTAGAGCGGTCAAAGACAACAGACAGTAGATTCAGATTCAGTGCAACAGAGGGTTCATTTGTTAATGCTTACAGCGTCGCAGGTTCCGTTGTTGTCTACGTGGTAGAAGCCACAGCAGTTGAGACTCTTCTCCACATCTCTCTGGGTGGTGTGAGAGTTGTTCCATCCCACCTCCAACAGGTGTTCCTAAAACAGGGGTATAACAGCAGGCACGGACCACCATAGATACACTCATACACAGATATAGATGCATTACAATACCTGTATGCTCAGGACCAGACATCTCTAAGGTAGTCAGCTGTTCTAGACCCAGATGGAGGACAGTCTGAATAAAATAGTGATTTATCTTCTAAAAATATACTCAATACTGCATGGAACCGGAACACACCGCAGTGCAGAACACTAAGAAGCCTGAGAAGAGACACGGGAGGTCCCTAGCTCTGTGATTTCACCACAAAATGCAGCTCACATCCTTACAGACATACTGTATCATGATTAATGAGTACAGGTTGTCTTTTATCTATCTAGTGATTTAATTACAAGGTTTCTGTGATTTGTCTGAAAAGTTGTTTTTTGTTCCTCTAGCAACTAGCAGAAGGTTGTTGTGATTGACAGTAGTTTGTGTTCCTACCTGCTGATCCTTGTTGATGGCCAGACAGGCGCTGGAGACAGAGAACTGGACGATGAACACCATGAAGAGGATGATCATATACTGGGGTCCACTGTCAAGGAATAACACTCCAATACACACATTCTCAACACAGAGCTTTTGTAGTTTTGAACCCAGTTCCTCACACTTCCGAAGGCAGAGGTTACTTATTTTCAACAGTCAATGGGTTCTAACTATTTTATTTCTCTAACCTTCTGTATCAGTAACATGGAATATTCTAGAGCGAAAGACCCTAATAATGACTGTGTAATACTGTAATAATGTAATGTAATAATAATCCTGTAATAATGACTGAAAGCCAGAAGCAGGGGTCAGGAGTATCTATGCAGGCTGACTACAATGTGTAATGCCATACTGGACCTGGGCCCAGATTCACAAAAACCTCTTACACAAAAAATTAAGAAGATTCTAAAGAAGAAAAAAAAGAAGTTCATAAGAAGTGCAATTCCTCAACAATATCTTAAGATTGAATGATTTTCTTATGAACTTCTCAAATATCTTCTTATGAATCTTCTTAAGAGGTTTGTTGCTAGGAAATCAATTTAGCTAGCTATCTAGCTAGCAATGGCAATCATGTTAGCATATTTCTTAACTGAGATTGCGGTTCTAAAACATGTTCTTGGGTTTAAAATAATCAATACTGAAACTTTCAGATTAAGTTTGTGAGTGAATTAAACATGGTAAATTGCTTTCATGAGCTTTTTCTCTCAATGCCCTGAGTTTAAGACAAGGGTTTAGCTATCTTGGAATTAAGAACATTTCCAATAACTTTATTTTCAAGAATCTAATTTCTTCTTAACTTTTTGCTTAAGGAGAAACATAAGAAATAGCGCAATCAAATTTCCAAGAACCTTTTTGAGGAATAGCAACTTTGCTTCTTAAGTCTATAGTTAAGGAAAAATGGCAGTTAAGAAGAAATGTCTTCTTAAGAAGGTTTTGTGAATCCGGCCCCTGGTCTGAATGGAAAATCAGCAGGGATTTTCCCACAACATACAGTAGGGTAGGGGTAAGAGAACAGCACAGCCTGGAAAACAAGTAATGGATAAACAACAAGGGGCTATGAGTCCTATTGAAATAAAGCACAATGGGGTGAGGGTAAAGGACGACGTGTAGAGGGTTGTCTCATTCAGACAATCCCTTTTGGCGATCTGCTGAAGCTATTTGAAAAGCTTATTTGAAACTTCAGTTCTCTTGAATTTAACATGTAGCCTACCCAAGGCCGCAATCTACTGGACTTGAAACCCAACCCCAAACCTGTACTCAAGCCATAATTCAAATTCTAGACCCCAAATGTACTTGGGTGTCGGGTCAGGTCAAGTCTGCCTTAGTGGAAGGTTGGGATACGAAGAAGAGTAGGACCTGGTGGTGCTTCATGGCCCCGATGAGGCCGACCAATGCCACGAAGAACAGGAACACCCCCACTCCGATGACTCCGCCCACCACCTGGAAGCTGGACACCAGGCCGAACCACTTCCCCCATGCAGCGATGCCGATCATCAGCAGACTCACCATCTAGAAATGGAGGGACGGATAGACGGACATAAATAAATAGATAGGCAGGCACAGACGCAGACAGACAAGACCCTAAGCAATAGTTCTCTTTGGGTCATTGTATGAAGTATGAACTGTATGAACTCTCCCCACAGTCAAATAGGAATATCAGATCTGACATGTTATCGCCTTCTCATTATCTCAGAAAGTACTCGAGAGTACAACATGGTCTGTGTGTGTGGTGTGTGAGAGAGAGAGAGAGAGAGAGGGAGAGAGAAGAGAGAGAGAGAGAGAGAGAGAGAGAGAGAGAGAGAGGAGAGAGAGGAGAGAGATAGAGAGAGGAGAGAGAGAGAAGGAGAGAGAGCGAGAGAGAGAGAGGAGAGGCGGTAGGAGGGAGGGAGAGAATAGAGGAGAGGAGGAGAGAGAGAGGACGAGAGAGGAGAGAGAGAGAGGAGAAGCGAGCAGATAGGGAGAGAGGAGAGGAGAGGTAGGAAGGGGAGAGAGAGAGGGAAGGGAGGAAGAGAGAGGGAGAGAGTGAAGAAGAGAGAGACAACACCATATCAGATAGGCTCAAGCAAGGGGTTTTCTTTATTTTTTAAAACTATTTTCTACATTGTAGAATAATAGTGAAGACATCAAAACTATGAAATAACACATATGGAATCATGTAGTAACCAAAAAAGTGTTCAACAAATTAACACAAATTAAGCTACCGTTGTGGTCCTCTGTAGCTCAATTGGTAGAGCATGGCGCTTGTAACGCCAGGGTAGTGGGGTCGATCCCCGGGACCACCCATACGTAAAAATGTATGCACACATGACTGTAAGTCGCTTTGGATAAAACCGTCTGCTAAATGGCATATTATTATTATGACAGCTTTGCACACTCTTGGCATTCTCTCAACCAGCTTCACCTGGAATGCTTTTCCAACAGTCTTGAAGGAGTTCCCATATATGCTGAGTACTTGTTGGCTGCTTTTCCTTCACTCTGCGATCCAACTGATCCCAAACCATCTTGATTGGGTTGAGGTCGGGTGATTGTGGAGGCCAGGTCATCTGATGCAGCGCTCCATCACTCTCTTTCTTGGTCAAATAGTCCTTACACAGCCTGGAGGTGTGTTGGGTCATTGTCCTGTTGAAAAACAAATGATAGTCCCACTAAGCCCACACCAGATGGGAAGGCTTATCGCTGCAGAATGCTGTGGTAGCCATGCTGGTAAAGTGTGCCTTGAATTCTAAATAAATCACAGACAGTGTCACCAGCAAAGCACCCCCACACCATCACACCTCCTCCATGCTTCACGGTGGGAACCACACATGCGGAGATCATCCGTTCACCTATTCTGCGTCTCACAAAGACACGGCGGTTGGAACCAAAAATCTCACATTTGGACTCATCAGACCAAAAGACAGATTTCCACCGGTCTAATGTCCATTGCTCGTGTTCTTGGCCCAAGCAAGTCTCTTCTTATTATTGGTGTCCTTTAGTAGTGGTTTCTTTGCAGCAATTCAACCATGAAGGCCTGATTCACGCAGTCTCCCCTGAACAGTTGATGTTGAGATGTGTGCTTGCATTAAGAAGGAAAGAAATTCCACAAATTAACTTTTTCACAGAGGGCACACCTGTTCATTTAGAAGCATTAGGCTTATGGTGACTACCTCAAGTGAAGCTGGTTATTGAGATGAATGCGTTTCATTGAGTGTGCAAAGCTGTCTTTAGGCATTTTTGTAGGCAAAAGGGTTGGCGCTATTGAAAGAATTCCACAAATATAAAGATATGTTGATTTGTTTACAGGTGACACTTTTGGGTTAGAGATGCGATGTTGCCATATGGTTATTTTTCATCGTTTTTGATGTCTTCCACTATTATTCTTTACAATGTAGAAAATAGTAAAAAATTAAAAAACCCTTGAATGAGTAGGTGTGTCCAAACTTTTGACTGGTAGTGTAATTGCAATGGTACAAACGGTCAAGAGCACACCAGATTCACCTCAGACTACATGCTTTTAGAGGTAGAAGAAGCGACAGTCAAAAGTGGAACATAATCTCCTGTCATGACAGCATTTATCTCCTGCAAATGTATATTCAGCTTAAATCTAGGTCACCACTGTGGTCTGTTTTGATGCCACCATCACTCCTGTATTTCCCAGACTGTAAAACATTGGGTTGTGCAGTGGACATCTGAGGCCCTATGTTGAGGATTTGGACAGGAACGATTTGGAGTCTACAGACACACACCCTATGGTGTAACTATCACTTGAACAAAGACAGGAGGAAAAGAGATAGGAAATGAAGAGGAAAGAATATAGGCTATTCTAAATATTCAGTAACCTAAATACTGAATATAAATTATAATATTTTGACGTGTCGAGGTTGCCTTTGTCAAACTGGAGACGCAGATCTTATTCCAGACAACGGTTCAGTTTGAATAATTAATAGCAGCAGAGTCTGGTCTGACCCAATGTATTGTTTACAACAGGCTGCATGGCAAAAATGTTTCTTACACACCCGTACAGACCGCATAAAAAGCAGCATATAGTCAGTCTACCCGACCCAACAACCAAAACCTGTTACAGTAGCATAATAATGCTCCATATGGTAAATTCTTGAACCGCATACTCACAACATAGAGGATATTGAGCGCACAGAGGGAGTGCTTGGAGCAGGTGAAACCGGCGCAGCCCATCCTGGCGATTTTTTATAATAATCTAAACGAATAATAAGATAAAGCAATTCCTTGTAAAAAAATAAAAAAAAAAATAAAACGGAAATATCCTAAATCAAGACGGTTACGAATTTCACCACTACAAAGTCTAGTCGCGAGATGACATCCCTAGAAGGGAGGTTGCTATTGAGCTGCCACAGTACGCTGATTGGTTACAGGAGAAGTTTGTCATTGATATGCAAATAATTGCGGAGACGTGGTGGCGGGTGGCGTTAGAGCGTTTCAGACCGTTGTCGGACTGCCAGTTTGCTCCAGCCGGTGCAGGTTGAGTGTGCGTTCCAGATAGATAGCCTACACAAAAATTACAAGATCATTGTATCATATTGTGTATCATATTGATGTGGACACATATGATACATTGTATCCGAATACCCTTATGAGAACTGGAGATGGCTAATTAGTTGAGGTTATCAGTGACAGTCCATGTGAGGAAGTGCATGTGACTAAGTGCATGTAAGACCAGCATCACATTACAGAGATAGGCAGGCCTAGTTCTTGAATAATTCATAATCCTCTGTTGGTCAGTCAGGCCTTGCATGGATGGGGTCTCCCTGCTCACCTCATGTGGTCCTCTGTAGCTCAGCTGGTAGAGCACGGCTCTTGTAACGCCAAGGTAGTGGGTTCGATCCCCGGGACCACCCATACACAAAAAAATGTATGCACGCATGACTGTAAGTCGCTTTGGATAAAAGCGTCTGCTAAATGGCATATTATTATAAACCTAAACACAGACAGACAAACAACAACTGACAGACAGGTTGGGGTAGGAGAAGACCCAGATATCCAGAGATCCTCAAATGAAACACACACGCACACACGCAGGAACGCATCAGAGTGAAAGCTGTTCAGGCATTTATTTGATTTACATGCACCAATAAACTGAAAACCCCAAAGGTAGTGGACTCTCAGCCCCTGGATTAAAAAGGAAAATAAGTCTGAAATCAGGTTATGGCTCTATTGAATATTATTAGAGGCAACATGCTGCTCTGAGAAACATTTAGACCTACAGTAGATGCAGCAGTATGGCATTGATGTAATTCTCCAAATCTACAGTGGAGGTCCATGTTGCTCATTAACTCCCTAGATTCTGTGTCCAAAATGGCAACCGCTTCCCTAAGGGCCCTGGTCAAAAGTAGTGCATTAGATAGGGAATAGGGTGCTATTTGGGATGCAACCACATTTGTTGACCTAAGGGCCATTAGAACTCTGGGCCATTTCCTTGAAGCACAGGACAGAGGTCACAATAGTGTCAACGGCATTCCTTTACATGGCCTGTTCAGGTGCAGAAGCAGGTGCATGAAGGTTAAGTTACACAATGACTGACTAAACTTCCCCTATTATCTCATCCCAGTAATAGCATTCACAGTCACCCACCTTCTCATTCAGCTCTGAGTTACTGAGTACCTAACTAATCCGTTTTTTGAAAACCACAACTTCCTTGGCCTCTATCAGAGACATGGAAATAACCCTTATTTACTTGCCTACTGATTTAAGAACACAATACAGAAACAAGACTAAACACGCAAATACATATCAAAACACTTTAATAATAAAAAGATAAAAGCATTGCCAAGTTACATACACAAAGTTGAGTATCCATAAAATATGAGTATGACAATCTACTGCAGATTGAGATCTTGACTTCCTCTCTATACCTGAACAACGTTAGTAAAGGTAGTCCTCTCTGACTGACTGATGTGTTTAACCTGTATTAAAGGCCCAATCTTTAATTAAAAAACAGCTGTAAATATCAGAGATTGGGCAGTCTTGATAGATGACATCTAGTCTCCTGTCCTCATGAAGATGAGTCGGGAGGTCCAGTTTTTTTTTGCTGGGGGTTGTGCTTTGATTGCCTGAAGCAGGAGGTTGAGGAGTCTGACCGCTGGTCGATCTGACATTATGGATGGGCGCGTTCCAGGTTGTCTTTATTGTAGTCACGTTGCACACGTTATCTCATACTTCTCACAATGCCTGGAGAAGTGTTTAAATTGAATGTCTCAGGAACCCCATTAATATGATAAAGCCTAGCAAATCTTCTAAAATAGGTAGCATGAATGCTTTAAAGACAACCTGGGGACTGACTGACATATAGGCCACAGGATGCAGCAGACTTCAACGTTACAGACAAACTCCTTGCTGGGTCTGTCTTCTAGTCCTCCTCTCCCTCAGACTCAGACTCTACAGGGGAAAATAAACAAGGAGATTATGACTAAACAGCTCCTCTTCGTGGTGAAAACAGGAATTACAGTTGAGAGCACATTACAGCCCAACAGGAAGTCTATTTCTTTTTTTTTAACCTTTATTTAACTAGGCAAGTCAGTTAAGAACAAATTCTTATTTACAATGACGGCCTACACCGGCCAAACCCGGACGACGCTGGGCCAATTGTGCACCGCCCTATGGGACTCCCAATCATGGCCGGTTGTGATACAGCCTGTAATCGAACCAGGGGGTCTGTAGTGACGCCTCAAGCACTGAGATTTACATTTACATCATTTAACAGACACTCTTATCAAGATCATACATGTTTTTTTGGGGGGAGGGGGTTTCATACTGGCCCCCCATGTGAATTGTACCCACAACCCTGGCGTTGCAAGCACCATGCTCTACCAACTGAGCTACAGGGATGCAGTGCCTTAGACCACTGCACCATTCGGGAGCCCAATAGAACGTTAATAGTCCAGTTTCATTGATTCAACAATGATTTTCTGAAAATGCAATGGTTTTATATTCAGTTACAGATTAGGTTACCTGTAAATGTAACCTTCAACTTGAACTTGTATTTAAATGTAAACGTTACCCTCTTCTGCATTCTGCAGCCACTCAACAAACTTCTTCATCTGCTCGACAAAGACACCTTTCCCTTTGGTGGTGTGAGTGTCTTTGTACCACCTCAGAATGGCCTCCTCACTCAACACGTCAGCTGGGTGGAGAGAAGAGAGACAGAACAGGAACAATTAGCATAGCACCACAAGGAGAAGTTATGTGAATTTATGTGAAATTGGAATTTCAGTTTACTTCCTAAATTTAAATGCAATTGACCCCAACCTGACTACTAAGACAAATGAAAGAGAGACCATTTCTTTCTTTTTCTACATAGAAATAGTGTGAAACAGTGTCCTGTATAAGATGATAATACTGACCTTTGTAGAAGAGCACCACTATCTTGGAGAAGGACTTCATGAAGTGGATGTTGTCATAGCAATAGTCCTGGATCCTTAGTATCAGCACCAGCTCTGACTGGCCCTGGGTGCTGAACGCTGCTAGCAGGGGAGCATAATGCTGAAAGGGAGAAGATACACACCCCACCAACAAAGTCATTCATTCATTCATTCATTCATGGTTGATGTTAGTGTTCGAGGTGTTTGAGAGCCTCCAAAGTGACCAGCTCTCATGTTGTTATAGAGTGGTTAGGTTAGGAGTGATTTACATTATTAATGGTTGATGTTAGGATAACGTACTTTAAGGTGTTTAAGGGCTTGCTCGGTGACCAACTCCTCCTTCTTGTTCCACTCCACAGCGTTCATGAGAATGTTCCACAGCAGACCAATCACAGCCTGCTCCTGGAGGTCACTCCTTTTCATCTCCTCCTTGACGTACACTACCATCTAGAACCACAGAAGAATGGAATTTATTATTTTTGCTTATACAACCCAACCCAGAGATAAACAAACACACCCCAATGAGGGGTTGGAAGCACAGGGTGGGGCGCAATGCAGCTCTCTTGGTGCTTGTTCAAGAGTACAACGGCAGTGTCACGCCCTGGCTCTGGGACTCTGTTATGTTGAGCCAGGGTGTGTAGTTTCTATGTGTTTGGGTTATAGGTTCTTTATCTAGCTCATGTGTTTCTGTGTTGGCCGGGGTGGTTCTCAATCAGAGGCAACGAGTGTCAGCTGTTGCTTGTTGTCTCTGATTGGGAACCATACTTATGCAGCCTGTTTTGCCACAGTGTTTGGGGGATCTTGTTCCGTGTATGGTTTGTGTCTGTTACCAAGGACGTCACGTATCGTTTTGTTGTTTTGTTCGTGTGGTACTCTAATAAATAAAAGTATGTTCTCATTCCACGCTGCGCATTGGTCCACTGTGTTCGACAATCGTGACAGGCAGGACATGGTTCAGTGGCATGCGAAGGTTTTCACCCCACTTCGTATTTTCCCTATTTTTTTGCCTTACAACCTGGAATTAAAATGGATTTTTTGGGGGTTTGTATCATTTGATTTACACAACATGACTACCACTTTGAAGATGCAAAATATTTTTTATTGTGAAACAAACAAGAAATAAGACAAAAAAACAGAAAACTTGAGCGTGCATAACTATTTACCCCCCCAAAGTCAGTACTTTGTAGAGCCACCTTTTGCAGCAATTACAGCTGCAAGTCTCTTGGGGTATGTCTCTATAAGCTTGGCACATCTAGCCACTGGGATTTTTACCCATTCTTCAAGGCAAAACAGCTCCAGCTCCTTCAAGTTGGATGGGTTCCGCTGGTGTACAGCAATCTTTAAGTCATACCACAGATCCTCAATTGAATTGATGTCTGGGCTTTGACTAGGCCATTCCAAGACATTTAAATGTTTCCCCTTAAACCACTCCAGTGTTGCTTTAGCAGTATGCTTAGGGTCATTGTCCTGCTGGAAGGTGAACCTCCCTCCCAGTGTCAAATCTCTGGAAGACTGAAACAGGTTTCTCTCAAGAATTTCCCTGTATTTAGCGCCATCCATTATTCCTTCAATTCTGACCAGTTTCCCAGTCCCTGCAGATGAAAGACATCCCCACAGCATGATGCTGCCACCACCATGCTTCACTGTGGGGATGGTGTTCTCGGGGTGATGCTAGGTGTTGGGTTTGCGCCAGACATAGCGTTTTCCTTGATGGCCAAAAAGCTTCCATTTCCACATGCCTTTTGGCATGTGTTTGCTTATTTTTTTCTTTAAGCAATGTTTTTTTTCTGGCCACTCTTCCGTTAAGCGCAGCTCTGTGGAGTGTACGGCTTCAAGTTGTCCTATGGACAGATACTCCAATCTCCACTGTGGAGCTTTGCAGCTCCTTCAGGGTTATCTTTGGTCTCTTTGTTGCCTCTCTGATTAATGCCCTCCTTGCCTGGTTCGTGAGTTTCTGTGGGCGGCCCTCTCTTGGCAGGTTTGTTGTGGTGCCATATTCTTTTAATTTTTTAATAATGGATTTAATGGTGCTCCGTGGGATGTTCAAAGTTTTGGATATTTTTTTATAACCTAACCCTGATCTGTACTTCTCCACAACTTGACCTGTTTGGAGAGCTCCTTGGCTTCATGGTGCCGCTTGCTTGGTGGTGCCCCTTGCTTATTGGTGTTGCAGACTCTGGAGCCTTTCAGAACAGGTGTATATATACTGAGATCATGTGACAGATCATGTGACACTTAGATTGCACACAGGTGGACTTTATTTAACTAATTATGTGACTTCTGAAGGTAATTGGTTGCACCAGATCTTATTTAGGGGCTTCATAGCAAAGGGGGTGAATACATGTGCAGGCACCACTTTTCCGTGATTTATTCAATTGAATTTTTTTGAAATCCAAATAAAAATCCATTTAAATTACAGGTTGTAATGCAACAGAATAGGAAAAACGCCAAGGGGGATGAATACTTTTGCAAGGCACTGTATCTGGTACTGTACCTCTCGTATGGGGCAGTCCTGAGAGAGGCGCTCCTGCAGTTCTTTCTGCAGCTCCTTGCGTGTTCCCTGAGACTGCTGCACACGCATGAAGTCTGACAGCTCCTTCAGCCCTGCCTCTTTGAAGTACTTGGAGAAGTGCTCCACGTTCTGCTTGTTGGCAGGAAAAAGCTCCTAGAGAAACAACAAGTCTAGGCTCAAACAACTTCCATTGAACTTCAACTCTACAAATTCACTCAACAGCTCCATCTTGTGGCTGAAATATAATCGGAGCACAATAAAAGAGGCTCTCTAACCTCTAGGCCAGTGGTTCCCGACCTTTTCCATTCCGGGGACTACCAAATCACTGTCAAAAGCTCTTGAGGACCACCATTCGCGGAGTCTCAGAATTATTTTACATAAGGTTGGAAATCACTGCTCTAGGCTACCTGCCTAAAGTGTTTCTTACCAGGAGTTTCTTATCCAGGCTAGCCTTCCTCAGGGCTGAGGTGACTGCATTGGCATCTTTCTCAGATATCCATGCCTTGAACATCTTCACCGCAAAGGACGCAGAGATACCTGCAAGATACCAAGAGTAAGAGAACAAATTGGAAGAAAAACAGATAAATAAATATATGCTTCAAGAAATCGAACCCCCCCTACACACACACACACTCACCTTCCTTGACAACATTGTCGCTGAAGAGGCTGGTGAGGATGGGCGGGGGCAGAGTGCCGTTAGCCAATAGGATACCAGTCAAAATAGCCAGCTTGGTTTGCTCTGATTCACTGAATGCCTTCAGGAACAGCATAAGCTACATACACAGGATAAAACATCCATCAATCAATCAATTAATCAATCAATCAGGACAACACAATTATGTAAACTAAAGACAATAGGATACAAAATGTCTACACACCTTAAGATATGTCATCTCATCACAAGTACGTAGGAGAATGAAAAACTGAAGTATAAAAGTTAAAGGGACTTCATGAGACTGTTTCCTGTGAATACTTTACCTTTTTGACTTCCTCCTCAAAGGCATTCTGCAGGTACTTGTACCTCCTGATCAGCTTGTTAAAAACCTTCAGAAACGCACAGACACACAGAGGGACATGAGATTCAGTGACAGACAGAAGGCTGGGAGGGAGACAGAGAGAGAGAGAGAGAGAGAGAGAGAGAGAGAGAGAGAGAGAGAGAGAGAGAGAGAGAGAGAGAGAGATAAAGAAAGAGAGAGGCAGACAGAGTTAGAGACAGATCGTGCAGGAGTGCTGTGAGTTTAATCCAGGAGGATTATATTAAAAGGATGTCATCGTGGAGTGTTGACAAACTGGATACTCCCCAGGGTTTGGTGGGTATTAGCAGGTCTAATACCACTTTACTGCAGGTGTCTTAACTCCAAAATCCCCTCCACCCCCAGCCCCCATCCCTTGGTAGAAAATGTAGGCTAACGTTTGAGGATGTGAGTCAATGGTGAGACAGAGAGAGAGTGTATGTGTATGCATGCGTGTGTGTGCATGTGCGTGTTCGTGAATTCATTCATTCATTCATTCATTCATTCATTCATTCATGTGTGTCCGTCTGTCTGTCTGTCTGTGTGTATGTGTATACCAACCTGAGCATAGCGGCGGAGGTTGGCATGGTTCTCCTCGGTTGTAAACACACAATGTTCTGTCAACTTGGCCTTGTCCCCCTCATCAATGCGCGTCCCGCCGGGAGCTGAGACAGACAAAGCGGGAAAGTCACCAGGGTTAAAGGTTAAATCTTTAAATCCTGTTAACATGGGCCTTTCCCATCTCTGGTCTTAACGGATAGCTTTTACTTGTAATGATTGTGAAAGGTGGTTTTACCTACTTTAGTTGAATAAATTGATTGTAAATCGCTCTGGATAAGACCGTCTGCTAAATCTGACTAAAACATAATGTATGTATAACATGTCTGTCATCTAGTTGTAAAATGGATGGCTCTTGATGCAGTCTGATCCAATGTTTTAATCTCTTCTTGTTTGAGGATACAGTATCTGAGGGCTTAGAGTCCAAACTGCAACCTGTTATACTGGATCTAATGCTTTTACAATTGTTGTTACTTTGAATCCGCTTTTAAGGACTGTTGTGGATTAACAATATAATCACTTACTAAAATGTTTTGACTGTGTGTGTGTGAGTGTGTGTGTGGGGTGTGTGTGTCTGAATGTCCTTCATGCGTTGCCTTCATGAGTGCATGTGTGTGAACCAGGAGCTGAGCCTCTATGCTAAACTAAAGGCTAATCTGCTTCCCTGAGAGGATGGCTTATTTTGGTGGATGACCAGGTACCGATGTAGGATCTTAACATGATCACTCTTTTGTTGCTGAGAATTTTTCTGCATCGCAGGAAATGCAGGTGAGCTTTGTGATATAAATTTAAATTAACTGAAAGCCCACACTAACACACAGTTATATTAACAGTTTTCCACTTTTCATGCAGCCTACTTTTGTCCAGCTAACAGCCTAACTACCAATCAAGTAACATTATGGACAAAACATTCAGATCCAGTTGCTGCAAGATTATTTAGCTGTTAAGAAATAGGTCAAATTAAGATCCTACATCTATATCCCTGGTCTCCCTCTGTGCTGCTCTGTCTCTCCCCTGCCACTGACAGGTTCTTATTATAGGATTATAGGAGCAGGGTAAACCTTGTTATCTCTAATGGAGATTGACATGCAGAGACTGACACAGGTCTGGCAGAGAGTCCTACGTGTGCGTGTGTATGAGCTGGACAGAGAAAGACAGCAACTAATTCTACACAGATTAAACATGTCAGGATGTGAATGAGCGTGTGTGAATGTGTGTCTGTGTGCGTGTGCAAGAGAGATAGCGTGTGTATGTGTGTGCGTGTGTGTGTGTGAGCCGGTCAGAGACAGACTGTGTGTGTGAGGACCCATCCATGTAAACAAGGAGTGGGTGGGGAGAAAGACAGAGTGATTATAGGGTAAATCTACCAGCTTAGGCACATAAAGGCAGGTCACAGCAGTTCACTCGCTTAACATTGACCAGCAGTCAACAAGACAGAGGCTACAGTATTGCTCCATCACAGTAGTGTATATATTTCCGATTTGGACATGAATTACGTTTCTAAAGCCTAGTACCACAAGTGTAGGATTTTCCTTTCCTGCCTTGTGTTCTAACAAACTTTCTCCTTTCTGATCCAGCGATATGGTACCCAGGTGGGTTCATGCAGGTGCATGCCTCCAGCTTGATGATACACAGTCTACTGAAGAACAGTCTCTCCCGGATGTCTTTGATAATGGGAAATGACCCTGATAATCTGACAAAGCCAGCTGTGATCTGTTTGTAAGTTTGTCCTTGCCTGAATGGACAGCCCGGTTACTTCGATCAGCTGGTTCAAGGATGGACACTGGGGGACAGTAACACTGTGCACAGTACTGATACGAAAGGACCACGATGTTCCACCACTGAGCAGTGAGCTGACACGGTGCAGATAACCATAACACTGTAGCTACCTTAGTATAACACCTATCGACATCATCAAGCGGTGCAGACCTCTTGGTGTAATGGCTAACGTTATGGACTGACAGTCCTGGGAACCGGGTTCGAGTTGCCTGCTAAATTCACTGCACTCCACTCACCGAGCATGCTCCCCGCGATGAGGATGTCGAAGAGGGTGTCGGCATAGCGACGGTAGTCGAGTCGGGACCCGGTAACGTCCAGGAACTTGGCTACAGCATCGAGGTCCCCTCCTGCTTCGTTGAGGCCCAGAATGATTGTGTCTCTGAAAACTGTGGGCTCAAACTTCTCCTTTTCATCTGGGTGGAGAGGGACAAGGCAGAGGAGGACATTAGTGTTGTATATACAGTCATTTTTATCAAACCCTAACACAGTTAACATCAGAAAGTGAGGTATGGTAAACCATGCATAATATATACTGTATGCCAGGGATCACCAACTAGATTCAGCCGCGGGCTGATTTTTTAGAGCGGATGGTCGGGGGACCGGAACATAATTACAAATAATTTGTAGATTGCAAATTGACCGTAAGAAGCCCAAACAGATATAATATTTGACTAAAACAGAATCATTTCAAACCTTGTTTACATTTGTATTCAATCTCTCTATTATGCGTGGGAATACTTTGGAACACATTTCCAAAATGTAAATCACTTGGAGTTGATTTCCTGGTGTTTTTACAGTCTTTTATGTCCAACAATAAAATAAAATAAAAAATACTTGTTTTATTTATTTTTGCTCAGAAAGCTTGGGGTCCAAATAGAATCGCCCGCAAGCCGCCAGTTGGGGAACCCTGCCGTATGCACATGATGTTAGTGAATGATCTCTAGGGCTAAAAGTCAATACATATTGTATAGCTACAGTTGTACATTTGGCAGCTTCACAGACAACCCTTCAGTTCCCCAGCCAAGGTGTGATGAGGACAAGGGACACTGCCCTGATGGGACTAGCTGCTACTTGGCCTGGGGGAGGGTTAGCCTCCCTGATTAATCCTCTGTCTTTTTCACAAAGAACACATTGTCCAAACGATGTCCCCTTCATTAACAGCTCTCCGGGTATCAACACACGGATCAAGAGAATCAACAAGGTGCCCCACGGAGTATGAACCCAATGTTCCTACAACACTTACATGTCCTTCTGCTCTGTGAGTAATGTTCATAATGACACCCATTGTACTGGGAGGAAGTTCAGCTATAGCCTGGTCCTAGATCTGTTTGTGCTGTCATGTCTGAGAGTTGCCAAGACACCACAAACAGATCTGGGACCAGGCTAGTTCATCTCTGCCCTGTGTCCTGCCACTGCTGCCAGCGACAGTGACATGCTCTGCTCACACTGAGGCTAGCTGTTACATGGTCACACACCGATGCTTTGACATTCTAGGAACTTTAACATCTTAATGACTGGGACCCAGTCTGTGGCCAGGCTGGATTGTAGTCGGTGTTGTGTAAGAGGGAATGTCAAGCCACAACAGCAATATATTGCTGTAACAGAGAGATTAAACAGAACCCTAGAAGCGAAGAGTGTTTATAGTCTGTGTTTATGTGTGGAGCGAGAGAGAAGAGAAGAGGAGAGGAGAGAAAACAGGAGAACAGAAGAGAAGAGAGGAAAGTAGAGGAGAGAAGAGGAGAGAAGAGAAGTACCCTGCTATCCCTTTGCCGGTCCCTTACCAAGAAGCAGATCTTAATAGGAGAAATCTGAGCTAAAAGTGTGCATTGACACATTGGATGGCGGTGAGACTTCAAAGATAATCAAGACATCTTACACACAGTCTCAAAGAGGCAGTTGATTTAAGAAACAGGTTCAAGTATCTGGTATTGCAACTTAACACTGTGTCTGCTGTCTTGCCAACATATTGGTATTGCAATTTAACACCATGCATGTTGTCTTGCCAACATACTGTACGTGGTAAACATTAGGCATTGACATTGGACGTAGACAGCTGTCTGTGGTCATAACTCAACTCACCCCTTTTCCTGGTCTTGAACCGCTGGCCTGTTAGCACTGGCTTCTGTTGCTTACCGGTATTCATAAAAGTCCTGAGGAGGAAAACACAAATACAGGAATCGGAAATGAGCAGACCATATACAACATGGTCAACACACAACACCGCCATTCCATTTAATGACAGAATGTCTTTGTTTCTGTCAGGCCTATTGCAACAGCAGTTGTCTGTCAACATACCATATTTAAATGTCTACAAAATTATTTCTAGGCTATATCTTAATAAATATGTTGTACATTTACTATGGTAACATTATTTATATGTGTTAATATGCCCAAAATGTACTATGTCTGGCAGTTTACTAATAGTTAACAAACCATTTAATAATAGTTTATAAGCTCTTCAGTAAATCTCACACCTTCAGCAAATCTTCAGATGTCCACACGGTCAACCAAAGAGTCCATACGGCTAAAGGAACAGTTGAAAGCTCTATGCTTACCAGCTGTTAGTCCCTCTTAGCAGTGAGAGTGAGTTAGTCAGAGAAAGTTTTCACTGAATGCCCTGTGACTGTCGGTCAACCTTGTGCCCTGTACTAATATATATACACTACCGTTCAAAAGTTTGGGGTCACTTAGAAATGTCCTTGTTTTCGAAAGATAAGCACATTTTTTGTCCATTAAAATAACATCATTAAAATAACATCAAATTGATCAGAAATACAGTGTAGACATTGTTAATGTTGTAAATGGCTATTGTAGCTGGAAACAGCTGATTTTTTATGGAATATCTACATAGGCGTACAGTGGTCCATTATCAGCAACCATCAGTCCTGTGTTCCAATGGCACGTTGTGTTTTCTAATCCAAGTTTATCATTTTAAAAGGCTAATTGATCATTAGAAAACCCTTTTGCAATTATGTTAGCACAGCTGAAAACGGTTGTGCTGATTAAAGAAGCACAACCATCATTTAGCAGACGCTCTTATCCAGAGAGACTTAGTTGAGTATCTGGAGCATCAGCAATTGTGAGTTTGATTACAGGCTCAAAATGGCCAGAAACAAATAACTTTCTTCTGAAACTCATCAGTCTATTCTTGTTCTGAGAAATGAAGGCTATTCCATGTGAGAAATTGCCAAGAAACTGAAGGTCTCGTACAACGCTGTGTACTACTCCCTTCACAGAACAGCGCAAACTGGCTCTAACCAGAATAGAAAGAGGAGTGGGAGGCCCCGGTGCACAACTGAGCAAGAGGACAAATACATTAGAGTGTCTAGTTTGAGAAACAGACGCCTCACAGGTCCTCAACTGGCAGCTTCATTAAATAGTACCCGCAAAGAAACACCAGTCTCAACGTCAACAGTGAAGAGGCGACTCCGGGATGCTGACCTTCTAGGCAGAGTTGCAAAGAAAAAGCCATATCTCAGACTGCCCATCTTTTATTTTTATTGGCCAGCCTGAGATATGGGTTTTTCTTTGCAACTCTGCCTAGAAGGTCAGCATCCCGGAGTCGCCTCTTCACTGTTGACGTTGAGACTGGTGTTTCGCTACGACTCTTTGCCTGCCTTGACCTACCGATTGCCTGCCCCTATTTAACACACGTATGTTGTTAGAATTTCGATATCATGAACAGAATTTGTGTTATAAGCAGTTTCAAGAGGACATGTCATTATTTTCCCCAAAGCGCCAAAAAGTGACTTTTTCAAATCCTCCTACAAAGTCACATGTAGGTAAGATGTTTTGATTTCTATATTGTATCAGAAAGAGCCGATTATGAGGTTTCCAAAACACGTACTATTTTCTGACAGCATATGAAATGTATACAAAATGGCTGCTCATTGACGTAATAGGGGCGGGAGCGAGGCCCGGCAGTTTAAGTTTTAAGACATTATAAAGGCTCATACATTCTTATTACAAGCTATAAAGCATTATTTTAGCTACAGGTGCAAGTGTTACCAACAAATCATATTTGGTGGTTAGGGTTAGTTAGGGTTAGAGTGAGCCTCTTGTCTCTCTATAGCTCTGTACACACTGGGCACTCTGTAAAAAAGAACTCCAGACAATACCCACAGTTTTAGTCTTGTTACCCCAGGGAGAGCACAGTGAGCTGGGCTAAGCACCGGTAGTCTACCCTGGGGGATGGTGGTAGTGATCCCACAGCAATTATCAATGTGGAAGACGTTGTAAACTGGACTCACCTGATGTGAACCTCCACACAGACCTCTGCTAAGGGGAGATTGAGGTGACGCGTAACTCTGAGGTAAAATTGTGAAAAGGAGAAGAAAATCTAAAAAATGTAATTTTCTGTGATGAGACAATCAATCTGAATAATGTGCCTTTTCAATACCAGGTTGTCTGTGAAAAGGCCTATTTCTCTGTCTCATCACAAGAAATGGGGGAAATCAACCCCCTTTTCACAATATTACTCCTCTGTTAATTCAGGCACCTAGAGCCAAATCTCAGTGTAACGGTCTGTCACGAGAGACTCCTCCTCTGTTAGTGGACTTATTCTCTACTCCATAGACTCCATGACAGAGAACCAATTTGATGTGGATGGCTGCACTTGTAACATCTCTGACCAGTTTCATAACCACAGCTTCATATGGTCAGTCACAACCATTATTCTCAACAACAACTCCCCTCATGATTTCACATGTCAAGCCATGTGCATTGTCACATACCAGTGCCACAGACCCTTTCCCTCTCCACCATCACACACACACAAACACACACACACACACACAGCAGGCTGCCTATCACCAACACGAACGGACGCACACAAACAGGCTCTGTAGTTCTGTCCAACTGACATTCAATGCCCAAAATAAATACAATTCCTGGAAGCAGGCAACAGTGGCCAGAGAATGGTGACCGGGAGACTCAACAGCCTCTGTGGAGCTCAATCTGTCTGATAAGAATGACAGAAAGTGTGTGCTTGTACGAGAGGGTGACAACGAAACGCGACTAGTTTCAAGTTTCAAGACTACAGTATAAAAGAACGCACCTCCATAAGTGTGAGAGCGAAAGAGACTTCACTTCCATGAATGAATGCCTGTGCCCTATCTGTCCATCGGCTCCCATTATAGTGGGCTACAATACAGATGTAGGATCTTAGTTTGATCACCTTGTTGCAGGAGAACTTTCCTGCAATGCAGGATATATAAAACTTGTAGTGTAAAACTGATCATTTTCACTTTTAAATCTAAAGGCCATCAACAGTCAAAATCATGTTTTTCATGAAATGTAATGATATTTGGATGAAACTAGATGAAAAATAGTCCTGTGTAGCTCAGTTGGTAGAGCATGGCATTTGCAACACCAGGGTTGTGGGTTCGATTCCCACGGGGGGCCAGTATGAAAAAAAAAAAAAAAAAATGCACTCACTGTCATTCAGTAACTTTATGATCAAACTTGATCAATGTAGAAGCAACAGTCATTTTTACATTTTAGTCATTTAGCAGACGCTCTTATCCAGAGCGACTTAAGTAGTTAGCCATGAGAGAAAAAGTAATTTTCTCTAATATTTCCCCCAAAAATATTATAGGTGATATTTTAGTCACTCAAAAGGCAATATTTTTTTAAGACTTGATTTTCCCTTAAGAAAAATGTATCAGCTACCAAAATGTTCATTAATTATAATCCACATAATAATTTACATTTCCTGTTGCTGCAAGATTATTAAGATCGTACAGCTTTGTACAGTCAAGTCTCCTATAGCTGCTTTAATGCCCTCCAAATAGTTCAGTGGCAGAGCGTGCTGAGCGGTCACCTCGATCCTTATTCTTGGATCACTGATAATCTGTGCAGGTGCAGACAGAGAGCTGCGTGTTATTATAGGCTATTGAATTCCAATTATAAACTATAAACATAATTATAAATTATGGGTGGTTCGAGCCCTGAATGCTGATTGGCTGACAGCCGTGGTATATCAGATGTATACCACTGGTATGACAAAACATTTATTTTTACTGCTCTAATTACGTTGGTAACTAATTTATAATAACAATAAGGCACCTCGGGGGTTTGTGGTATATGGCCAATATACCACGGCTAAGGGCTGTATCCAGGCACTCTGCGTTGCATATGCTTAAGAACAGCCCTTAGCTGTGGTATACTGGCCATATACCACACCCCCTCATGCCCTTATTGCTTAAATATACCCAAATGCCAGTCTCGTTCTCCAGTAGGCTATTATGTCTTTGGAGGACTGTGGGCACTATCATGTCACAAATAATGTTTATAAAGCTTGCTTAAATGATACATAGCTAGTGGCTACATTGTACAGTCAGTAGCCCTTGGCCGTTGGCATCTCCAAAACCGGCCAACCCCTGCGAGCACCTGTAGCCCACCGCACCGCGGGCAGAACCAGCTTGGCAACGGCAATCACAGCTATCCACATCGTTACTTTTGACAATTTCACAAGTTATATTTGTAAAAAATCAACTTATGTAAAGAACTAACGATAAACAACAAAATTGTAAGAGAGTGAGGGCATGATACCGTTATATCGCTAAACTTGTCACCAAACCTAGCCAAGCTCATAAAGTTGAACATTTAGGCCTAAACCTGAAATATGATGACATTTCATAATGTGAAATATTTGAGGGATTTACCTTGCAGTGGTTGACTCTACAACAAGTTGAGATGACCCACGCGAAGAAAGAACAGTTACTTATCAATGCGTTGGAGTGACCAGACGCTTGAAATACAGTCGGGTTAAACCAAATACGTCAGTATATGGGGAATCCAGACCGAATGAAATATACCAAACTATAACATTAACATATGGGGTATTTCTCCTCAAAATACATTTATTACAAACAATTATTATTATAAAGAGGGAAAATAAGATGTTTTCGATATAAATGCTCGACATTTACGCATTTTAAATTAGTGGACAATCTGTCACCTCTTTTCTTCACATAGTGGTGTAGTCCAAGGATGGTTTATCTTCGGTTCAGGACCTGTTATAAATTTGGTGAAGTCCATCACCTTTTACTGTCGTCACGCCTGTGTCTGGCAAATGGTATAACGATTTTGGGATAAACACACATCCACAGCAAGATATTGTTCGTCAACACAGAAAATATAAATTACATTTTAACAACAGAGAGAATGGCTGCTCCCAAGAAAGGAGATCTTTCAGCAGCTGAGCGGGAAATATTACAAGTTATTGCTGCAGGTAAGTTTCTTGTTTATTTTATTGTCTGACTTTTTCAATGCGTTTTGTCACAATATTATCTTGCGTTGTCACACAAATATAACTTTTTTGTATTACTTTTTATTACAATTGTTATTGTTTTTTTATTTCACTCAATGGTCATGCTATGGTCATTCCACCCCACCCCCCCAACAGTCTCTGCCTCCACCCCAATGGACATGTATTTATTCATCACTGCTACAGTTGTTATTATGTATATAGTGCTATTTCTATTTCTATTGTTGTTTTTCATTACCATTTTCACTATTTTATTTAACTTAGTCCTGCATGTTGGAGCTCGAAGCCTAACACTTTCACTGTACCCTGCAATCACACCTGCAACCCTGTCCATGTGACTATTAAACACTCTGAATCTCTGAATCTGAAAATATGATGAACATAATTCTCAACAGGCATTTATGCATTTTCAGTAGGCTACAGTTTCGATGTAATAATGTTATATTAATAATTCCAATACTTCCCATACATCACCAACACAAATTATGACAAATTAAATAATTATATACCAAACTGCTGGAGTGCAACAGTTTTTCCACATTCACAGTGTCTTGCCAAAACCTCATTGTAGAGTATACCTATGGGGAGATAAAGTGAGATTGCACATATCATTTATAGATATTGTATGATATATTGTTAATAAGAGGTATTGCATGTTTCATTCTATATCTAAAATCTCTATTCGGTGTGAACCAGGCGATGTGCAGGAGGTTGCACGGCTGCTGGGCTCCAAGGACGTCAGAGTCAACTGTCTGGATGAGGTACTGTATGGATGGGGGCTAGGGAGTCTTGTTGAAAACTCTGACAAAGTTACCTGTGTTGTTTGTGTAATTTGCCAATACTAAGATGATATTTGGCATTCTCTTTCACAATATATCCTTGACCAAGATAGCTTAAAGCAATCCATACACTAGCCACAATATCCCTGAGATGTTTAGAATAGTATAAACCATACATTTAATGTCTCTTAAAAGTGCATTTCACTAAAATCCTCTACGCATGACCACTAATAGTTTTGTCATGGTCTGACAAACCTGTAGGGCATTAGTGACACAAAGTAAATGGTGATGTAATTAGGATGGTGTAGCCATAGAGACATGTATAACATTCTGTGGGTGGAGGCCTGCAGCATATGTTTTCCATTGTTATCTAGACATATGGCTGAGACTCTTGAGTGCAGGATGTAGTACTCCAGCCACTAGATGTAACCCACAGACTACTTCAGACCATGTCTGTGTGTGTATGTGTGAATGTGTGTGTATGTGTGAATGTGTGTGTGTGTGTGTGTGTGTGTGTGTGTGTGTGTGTGTGTGTGTGTGTGTGTGTGTGTGTGTGTGTGTGTGTGTGTGTGGGAGCAGGATGTAAAAAAAAATGTTTTTTGGTCACAAGTGTGTCCAGTCTGTCAGAATCAGACGGAGCAGCAGAGCTTGACAGTATATACCCACACGGTCTCAGCCTGGCCTTATAATGCCATACAGTATAGTTCTGACATAACTGTCACATGTTTGAGTATTGTGTGGAGAAACATGTAACAATGACAGTCTCTTCCTGCCTTACTTCCATAGTACTTTACTTTACAGCGCAGAAAGTACCATGTATTTACTATGGTAATTACACAGTCCAATGATTTACTAGTTTGTTTCTTTAGTATTCATTAAAATAAGCTGTTATCAGTAGGCTACCAGGTGAATACCAGTAGAATCAGTACCCAAAATGATAGTATGATCCTTTCCGTCTCCTCAGTATGGCATGACCCCCCTAATGCATGCAGCATACAAGGGTCAAGCAGACATGTGCAGTCTGCTGCTACAGCACGGGGCAGACGTCAACTGTAATGAACATGATTATGGATACACAGCACTCATGTTTGCTGGACTCTCAGGTTAGTCCAGGGCAGGCATCCTTTTTCATACAGCATATACTGTAATTTAGCCAATATTATGATATTGGTCATATTTTATTTGAAAGGTACCTACATAAGGACTTCATAACACATTCATAATCCATACATAACTCATTCATAAGCACTACATAAGAATTTAATAAACAATTACACTTTGCCATAACTTGCCCTATCCCAGGAAAGACGGACATAACGTCCATGATGCTGGATGCCGGTGCAGAGACAGACCTGGTCAACTCAGTAGGTCGCACGGCTGCTCAGATGGCTGCATTCGTGGGTAAGGAAGTGATCACTTTAAACTTCTTTCACACAGGTCTTTTCCTGCAAATACCCAACTTTTTTGTGACTTTTTCTGAATTTGCTAAATTGAAAACCAAATTAACCACAGCCCTTATATCAGTCCCCTTGTCCCAAACTTTTGGGTTTATTATGATGATTATGAAAATGAAGGTGATGATGATGCTGATGATGATTTTGATGATGATGTTTGTCCCACCTCTCAGGCCAGCATGACTGTGTGACAGTGATCAACAACTTCTTCTCACGAGCACGGCTGGAGTACTACACTAGACCTCAGGGGCTGGAGCGAGAAGCCAAACTGCCCCCCAAACTGGCCGGACCTCTTCACAAGATTATCATGACCTCCAACCTCAACCCTGTCAAGGTGGAGATATTTATTCTACATTAAATTCTAAATGGTTCCTTTCTAACTTTTTAAAAAAACTTTTAGTGCGAGTGTTTATGTAAAATAGAGAATACAATTCATTAAAGGGATAGTTCGAAATTGTTCTACTTACCCAGAGTCAGATGAACTAATGGATACCATTTGTATGTCTTTGCGTGCAGTTGGAAGGAAGTTGAATATAGTTTCTGAAGCCATTGCTAACTAGCGTTAGCGCAATGACTCGAAGTCTACAGGAGCAGCTAGCAGAAACTACCTTCAACTTCATTCTATTCGATTATCTGACTCTGGGTAAGTGGAGTGGCTTGATCGCGTTGTTAAGACACTTTAGATGGCCAGTATAGTTTCCTGGAACCCAATGAGCTTTGGTTTACTCAATTTCTCCAGTAGTTTAAGGCTGCTTCCCAAATGACACCCTATTCCCTATTTAGTGCACGTTGATATCTTTGACAATTATGAAAGTGGGGGGGGGGGGGCACACTTGATATTAGCATTTATATGGGGGGTAGGATGGAAGGCTGATTTGTTATGGGCTGCCTAGCTCCCATCCCCTTCCCCACAAGTCCCCTTGTTATTCTGTAATTCAACTCTGGCTTGGATAGCCTAGTGCCCTTTTGAATTCCATACCCTGCATGATCAACTCTCACCTGCTGCAGCTTGCAGTCACACGCCCGTGGTGCCGCTGCCTGCTTTAGATCTGTCTAAATATATCTATCTGTTTGGACGTGAATGCAGGACACAGAGAGAGGTGCCACTATAACACTCTCAGACCTCTGCTACTGTATATTAGCCTGCTGGCTAAAGTCATGGTTCAAGTTTAAAATGTTATTAGTCGTATGTACAGGATATACATGGGATACACCGTCCAACGAAATGCTTACTTAAAGTAATATTACGGTCGGGACAGCGCACCAATGTACAAGAAAAGTCAGTTCTGTTTTCGCTGTCTAACCAACTGCACATGCCTTGTGACTGTCATACGTCGGTTAGATGAGATTGCAACCTAGTTATTTCCAAGTGTTTTTCCAAGACAGTTATGAAGTCATAGGAGCGTGTGTATACAGTAGCATAGCAAAGTGACCAGTCAGTACTTAATCTATGGTTTCTGCCACTGTGTCTCTGTGATGGATAGTGATTCTTTACATCATAAGACTTCAAATTGTTCAAACATGGCATTGGAAAGTGTCTTTTTTTTCTCTTAAACAGCTTTGTTTGATGTGTGGAATTTCTTTTTTTTCTTTTTTCTTTATTTTTATTTCACCTTTATTTAACCAGGTAAGCCAGTTGAGAACAAGTTGAGCTGTGATATTCATATCCTCTATCCCTCATGGCCTCGGTCTCACAGAGTAGCCTTCGCTATGGGAGTTCAGCAGGATATATAGTTTATAGAGTGTTATATAATAAACAGCATACTAGGAATACTGGGATATGATGGATGGTTACGTGCTGAATGGAATGGCGCGTGTGGTGAGGAGCAACCAGGACCCTCTCTTTATTTATTTATTTATCATTTAAAAAGAAATTTGGGGGGTAGATCAGCTGTAATATTGCAGATAGATTGTAGCTTCCATCAATGTAATTGTCTGCATAATTTCCAATCCCCCATATATATTTATTTGTAAATATACAGTACCAGTCAAAAGCGTGGACACACCTACTCATTCCATGGTTTTTCTTTATTTTTACTATTTTCTACATTGTAGAATAATAGTGAAGACATCAAAACTATGAAATAACACGTGGAATCATGTAGTAACCAAAAAAGTGTTAAACAAATCAAAATATATTTTATATTTGAGATTCTTCTCAAAAGAACAGTTTAGCATGTTCTTGGCATTCTCTCAACCAGCTTCATGAGGTAGTCACCTGGAATGCATTTCAATTAACAGGTGTGCCTTGTTAAAAGTTAATTTGTGGAATTTATTTCCTTCTTAATGCGTTTGAGCCAATCAGTTGTGTTGTTACAAGGTAGGGGTGGTATACAAAAGATAGCTCTATTTGGTAAAAGACCAAGTCCATATTATGGCAAGAACAGAGAAATGACAGTCCATCATTACTTTAAGACATGAAGGTCAGTCAATCTGGAAAATGTCAAGAACTTTGAAAGTTTCTTCAAGTGCAGTCGCAAAAACCATCAAGCGCTATGATGAAACTGGCTCTCATGAGGACCGCCACAGGAAAGGAAGACCCAGAGTTACCTCTGCTGCAGAGGATAAGTTCATTAGAGTTTACCAGCCTCAGAAATTGCAGCCCAAATAAATGCTTCACAGAGTTCAAATAACAGACACATCTCAACATCAACTGTTCAGAGGAGACTGCGTGAATCAGGCCTTCATGGTCAAATTGCTGCAAAGAAACCACTACTAAAGGACACCAATAATAAGAAGAGACTTGCTTGGGCCAAGAAACACGAGCAATGGACATTAGACCGGTGGAAATCTGTCCTTTAGTCTGATGTTTCCAAATTGGTTCCAACCACCGTGTCTTTGTGAGACGCGGTATGGGTGAACAGATGATCTCTGCATGTGTATTTCTCACCGTAAAGCATGGAGGTGGAGGTGTTATGGTGTGGGGGTGCTTTGCTGGTGACACAGTATGTGATATATTTAAAATTCAAGGCACACTTAACCAGCATGGCTACCACAGCATTCTACAGAGATACGCCATCAGATCTGGTTTGGGCTTAGTGGGGCTATCATTTGTTTTTCAACAGGACAATGACCAAACACACCTCCAGGCTGTGTAAGGGCAATTTGACCAAGAAGGAGAGTGATGGAGTGCTGCATCAGATGACCTGGCCTCCACAATCCCCAGACCTCAACCCAATTGAGATGGTTTGGGATGAGTCGGACCGCAGAGTGAAGGAAAAGCAGCCAACAAGTGCTCAGCATATGTCGGAAATCCTTCAAGACTGTTGGAAAATAATTCCAGGTGAAGCTGGTTGAGAGAATGCCAAGTGTGCAAAGCTGTCATCAAGGCAAAGGGTGGCTATTTGAAGAATCTCAAATATAAAATATATTTTGATTTGTTTAACACTTTTTTGGTTACTACATGATTCCATATGTGTTATTTTATAGCATTGATGTCTTCACTATTATTCTACAATGTCAAAAATAGTAAAAATAAAGAAAAACCCTTGTATGAGTAGGTGTGTCCAAACTTTTGACTGGTAGTGTATATATACATATCTTTTTAAAATATATTTTACTTTATTATTTTCCACTAACCCTACCACCCCTCCCCTAATTGGAGTAAACTAATGAACTACAACAATTAGGCTTCTACTTCCAGCTTATACATACTATATACATTTTACAGACACAATCTATACAATAGTTATATTTTGTTTGTTTTTAGTCCTTCCTTCTTCTACCCTCAACCTCTCCCATCTATTTCTGATGTACATCCAGTTTGATTTCTATTTGCCATATTTTTTAACTGTGCTGTTTCACAAAAGTTCTGAACCTATATACATTTTACAGACACAGTATATTTTACATTTGTTATCTTGTTGTTATTAGTCCCACCCTTCAGCTCCATTCAACTCCTCCCATCTATCTCTTAACACCTTCCATATTGGATTTCTATTTGCCATATATTTTTCAACTGTGCTGTGATGCTTCACAAAAGTTCTGAAACGTTCTATTCTCATAGTTTCTACAGATTGTAAATGAAAGATAAACATTTTTGCTAAAAGTATTATTATATTATTGATCGATTGACTATGACTTTTCAAATCACCCAGTATTGCTATCTGCAGCGTTAGCTCCAGGTAAATGTTGCAATTCTTCAGCCATTCCTGGACATGTGACCAAAAACAAGCTACAAATGGATAGTACCAAAATAAATGATCTAATGACGCTGTCTCTTCGCAGCAAAATCTGCAAAGCTGGGAAGGTTGTATCCCCCATATATATAACATTATATTGGTTGCAAGAATTTTGTATAATAATATAAATAGAAAAATTCAATGTTTTGAATCTGGCGTCATTTTGCGTATCAGTTCTTAAACCATGTGCCATGGAATCGGTACATCGAAAATCTCTTCCCAATTATTTTGCAATCTATATGGCACAGCTGTCAATTATATGGCACAGCTGTCAATTATTTATTTATCACAATGTTCTTTAACCAATTTTGGTCTTTAATGCAGGGCCGACAGACAAGTTCCTTACTTTTTCCCCCTTCCACTTGCCTCTTCCATTTTTGCAGTAATGCTGCAATTAGTTGGTTGTAATTTTGGGTAGAGCAGACATTTCCATATATTTTTGTTAGCTGCATGTGTGACATAACTCCACCAGTCCTATTTATAGATTATACCTTTCTTAAACATGTTATCAAATTTATCAATTAGTACATTTGAGTTTAACCACAATATTTTTGTATTATTTGTTCTGTCTTTTCTGGAGGATTAAACTGAAATAGCAACCAACTTTCTATGGCTTGTTTAAAAATATACACTACCGTTCAAAAGTTTGGGGTCACTTAGACATTTCCTTGTTTTCCATGAAAACATACATGAAATGAGTTTGAATATGAAATATAGTAAAATGAATAGGAAATGTAGTCATTGACAAGGTTAGAAGTAATGATTTTTAATTGAAATAAGAATTGTGTCATTCAAACTTTGCTTTCGTCATAGAATCCTCCATTTGCAACAATTACAGCCTTCCAGACCTTTGGCATTCTAGTTGTCAATTTGAGGTAATCTGAAGAGATTTCACCCCATGCTTCCTGAAGCACCTCCCACAAGTTGGATTGGCTTGATGGGCACTTCTTACGTACCATACGGTCAAGCTGTTCCCACAACAGCTCAATAGGGTTGAGATCCGGTGACTGTGCTGGCCACTCCATTATAGACAGAATACCAGCTGACTGCTTCTTCCCTAAATAGTTCTTGCATAGTTTGGAGCTGTGCTTTGGGTCATTGTCCTGTTATAGGAGGAAATTGGCGCCAATCAAGCGCCGTCCACAGGGTATGGCATGGCGTTGCAAAATGGAGTGATAGCCTTCCTTCTTCAAGATCCCTTTCACCCTGTACAAATCTCCCACTTTACCACCACCAAAGCACCCCAGACCATCACATTGCCTCCACCATGCTTGACAGATGGCATCAAGCACTCCTCCAGCGCATCTTTTCATTTGGTCTGCGTCTCACAAATGTTCTTCTTTGTGATCCGAACACTACAAACTTCGATTTGTCTGTCCATAACACTTTTTTTTCCAATCTTCCTCTGTCCAGTGACTGTGTTCTTTTGCCCATCTTAATCTTTTCTTTTTATTGCCCAGTCTGATATGGCTTTTTCTTTGCAACTCTGCCTAGAAGGTCAGCATCCCGGAGCCTCTTCACTGTTGACGTAGAGACTGGTGTTTTGCGGGTACTATTTAATGAAGCTGCCAGTTGAGGACCTGTGAGGAATCTGTTTCTCACTAGACACTCTAATGAATTTGTCCTCTTGCTCAGTTGTGCACCGGGGCCTCCCACTCCTCTTTCTATTCTGGTTAGAGCCAGTTTGCGCTGTTCTGTGAAGGGAGTAGTACACAGCGTTGTATGAGATCTTCAGTTTCTTGGCAATTTCTCGCATGGAATAGCCTTCATTCATCAGAACAAGAATAGACTGACGAGTTTCAGAAGAAAGTTCTTTGTTTCTGGCCATTTTGAGCCTGTAATCGAACCCACAATTGCTGATGCTCCAGATACTAAACTAGTCTCAAGAAGGCCAGTTTTATTGCTTCTTTAATCACCACAACAGTTTTCAGCTGTGCTAACATAATTGCAAAAGGGTTTTCTAATGATCAATTAGCCTTTTAAAATGATAAACTTGGATTAGCAAACACAACGTGCCATTGGAACAAAGGATTGATGGTGGCTGATAACGGGCCTCTGTATGCCTATGTAGATATTAATTAAAAATCAGCCGTTTCCAGCTACAATAGCCATTTACAACATTAACAATGTCTACACTGTATTTCTGATCAATTCGATGTTATTTGAATGGACCAAAAAATTGCTTTTCTTTCGAAAACAAGGACATTTCTAAGTGACCCCAAATTTTTGAACGGTAGTGTATATATTTTGGAGATTATTTAATTTTCAAATAACCGAAAGTGAGAGATTGTAATCTGAATAAAGGGAAAAAGGCCATTATTGAACATGGGGTGAGACATTCTTACTAATTTGCTAGAGAACCAGTTCGGATTTAAGTATAGCTTTTGTATGACTGACACCTTTAGTGAGAGGTCTAATGCTTTAATATTTAATCATTTCTGCCCTCCGAATTCATATTAATTATATAAATAGGCCCTTTTAATTTTGTCTGGCTTGCCATTCCAAATAAAATGGAATATTTTTTGCTCATATAATTTTAAAAACATGTCGCTAGGTCTAGGCAAGACCATAAGCAAGTAGGTAAACTGGGATATGACTAAAGAGTTAATCAGGGTGATTTTTCCACAAATAGACAGGTATTTTCCTTTCCATGGTAGCAAGATCTTATCTATTTTTGCTAACTTTCTATAAAACTGTATTGGAGTGAGATCATTTCTTTCTTTCGGGATATGTATACCGAGTATGTCCACATCCCCGTAAGACCATTTAAATGGTAAACTACACGTAATGTAAAAGTTATAATATAGTACACTTATCATAATTTGGTTTTAATCTCTCTCTCTCTCTCTCTCTCTCTCTCTCTCTCTCTCTCTCTCTGTCTCTCTCTCTCTCTCGCTTCCTCTCTCTCTCAATCTCTCTCTCTCTCTCTCTCTCTCTCTTTCGCTTTCTAAATCTCTCTCTCTCTTTCTAACTCTTTCTCCGTCTCTCTCTTTCTAAATCTCTCTCTCTCTCTTTCTAACTCTTTCTCCATATCTCTCTTTCTAATATTATCTCTAACACTTTCTACCCCCCCCCCCCCCCCCCCCCCCTCTTCTTAGCTGGTGATGCTGGTCAGGGAGAACCCTCTGCTAGTGGACGTGGGAGCATTAGAGAAGTGTTACCATGTCATGGACCTGCTGTGTGAGCAGTGTGTGAAGCAGCAGGATATGAATGAGGTCCTGGCCATGAAGATGCACTACATTAGCTATGTGCTGCAGAAATGCATGGCCTTCCTTCTGGACCGTGATGACAAGCTAGATGTGCTCATCAAGAGGTGTGTGTTGTGTATGTGTGTGTGTCACTCTCAGTGCATCATCTTGTTTCTCTTGACAGTGGTTGATGTGATTGATTGCATTGCTGGCATTCTAATCAAATGTAACTATCCAATTTATTTTTCTGTTATTGTACAAAATTCCCAGACTAACCATTGGGTACTAATTGTTATGTGTTTCATAGTTTATTTTTAGTGCTGTATATTGGATGAATATTGTATGTAAACTGTATAGACAGTTCCCTAGACAATGTCAATTTTTCATTGTCTTTACATTGTTATAATTTGTATGTCTCTTCTCTCAGCCTGTTGAAGGGGAGGGATGGAGATGGTTTTCCTCAGTACCAGGAGAAGTTCATTAGAGACTGCATCAGGAAGTTTCCCTACTGTGAAGCCGCACTGCTACAGCAGCTGGTCAGGAGCATCGCACCAGTGGAGATCGTGAGTGAGCTTCCTGTCATTCATTGATTCAAAATTTCCTTTAACTTAGGTCTTATCCAATGTATGGCTCCTCCTATAAACTCAATCATGGACTCACTTAATTTGTCCCCGCGGGAAATTAACCAATTGAAGATTGATTTGATTGCACAACATTTTAAAAATGTTACATTTCCATATTAAAGGGGAAGTGCAGTCAAAAACGTGATTTTCTTGTGTTTTACACTACCGTTCAAAAGTTTGGGGTCACTTAGACATTTCCTTGTTTTCCATGAAAACATACATGAAATGGGTTTGAATAGGAAATATAGCAAAATGCTTAGGAAATGTAGTCATTGACAAGGTTAGAAATAATGTTTCTTAATATAAATAATAATTGTGTCCTTCAAACTTTGCTTTCGTCAAAGAATCCTCCATTTGCAGCAATTACAGCCTTGCAGACCTTTGGCATTCTAGTTGTCAATTTGTTGAGGTAATCTGAAGAAATTTCACCCTATGCTTCCTGAAGCACCTCCCACAAGTTGGATTGGCTTGATGGGCACTTCTTATGGTCAAGCTGCTCCCACAACAGCTCAATAGGGTTGAGATCCGGTGACTGTGCTGGCCACTCCATTATAGACAGAATACCAGCTGACTGCTTCTTCCCTAAATAGTTCTTGCATAGTTTGGAGCTGTGCTTTGGGTCATTGTCCTGTTGTAGGAGGAAATTGGCTCCAATCAAGCGCCGTCCACAGGGTATGGCATGGCGTTGCAAAATGGAGTGATAGCCTTCCTTCTTCAAGATCCCTTTTACCCTGTACAAATCTACACTTTACCACCACCAAAGCACCCCCAGACCATCACATTGCCTCCACCATGCTTGACAGATGGCATCAAGCACTCTTCCAGCATATTTTCATTTGGTCTGTGTCTCACAAATGTTCTTCTTTGTGATCTGAACACCTCAAACTTTTTTCCAATCTTCCTCTGTCCAGTGTCTGTGTTCTTTTGCCTATCTTAATCTTTTCTTTTCATTAGCCAGTCTGAGATATGGCTTTTTCTTTGCAACTCTGCCTAGAAGGTCAGCATCTCGGAGTCGCCTGTTCACTGTTGACGTTGAGACTGGTGTTTTGCGGGTACTATTTAATGAAGCTGCCAGTTGAGGACCTGTGAGACGTCTGTTTCTCAAACTAGACACTCTAATGTATTTGTCCTCTTGCTCAGTTGTGCACCGGGGCCTCCCACTCCTCTTTCTATTCTGGTTAGAGCCAGTTTGCGCTGTTCTGTGAAGGGAGTAGTACACAGCTTTGTACGAGATCTTCAGTTTCTTGGCAATTTCTTGTATGGAATAGCCTTAATTTCTCAGAACAAGAATAGACTGACGAGTTTCAGAAGAATGTTATTTGTTTCTAGCCATTTTGATTCTGTAATCGAACCCACAATTGCTGATGCTCCAGATACTCAACTAGTCTCAAGAAGGCCAGTTTTATTACTTATTTAATCAGCACAACAGTTTTCGGCTGTGCTAACATAATTGCAAAAGGGTTTTCTAATGATCAATTAGCCTTTTAAAATGATAAACTTGGATTAGCAAACACAACGTGCCATTGGAACACAGGACTGATGGTGGCTGATAATGGGCCTCTGTACACCTATGTAGATATTCCATTAAAAATCAGCCGTTTCCAGCTACAATAGCCATTTACAACATTAACAATGTCTACACTGTATTTATGATCAATTTGATGTTATTTTAATGGACAAAATAATATATTTTCTTTTGAAAACAAGGACATTTCTAAGTGACCCCAAACTTTTTAACGGTAGTGTATATACTGTACATTTCCACACTATGAGGTTGGAATAATACTGTGACATTTTGAAAATTATGATAAAACCCTTTTAGTGTAAGAGCTGTTTGAAATGTTCGGCTGAAATTTCAGCACGTTTTGCATGGGTGGAGTTTTGGCCTCCCTGGTGACATCACCATGCGGTATAAGTTAAAGTTAGCCTTGCAAAGCTACCTGATCCCGCGAGCTTACATTACAACTCTGCACAGATATGCAATGTTTTAATGCAAGCTCGAGGGATCAGGTGGCTTTGCGAGGGCTAAGTTAAAGTAACTGTCCAGTGAAAATCTCACATTTAAAAGTTCAGATTCTGTTAACTCATACCCAAATAATGTTGTTGACTAATCCTATACTCGTATTTGTGGCCAAAGCATAAATTGGAGGAAAAAAACACTTCAAAAACCCCACCTCAAACTTGTATCTCAAACAGACCGTTTCAAAATGGATTGAGATGATATCCATGAGCTGGCCAATCAGCGGTCTACTCGCATGAATATTTTTTATGACCGGTATACGGCCTCACCATTCCAACAAAGAAAGCTGATTTTTAACATACTTAATTATCATTTTTTGTAAGGAAAACTATTTAACTTATATTATAATTAATATAATATATTTCATAGAAATCTGGAAACACTGGACAGTTACTTTAATAGACCAACAACAAATAAAGTTTCAAACCTCTCTGCCAATAACAGCTAGTATTAAGGTTACATATCCCTCCCATTATGCTCCTCCAATTAGGTCCCTCACTCAAACCACTCCTAAACAGTCCTAGCAAAATTATTGCTTGAGAAATAGCTTTTTGCTAAGAAGCTATGTTTGTTTCTTTTTGACCATTTTCATTGAAAACAATCACAGTAAGGTACTTAATTGTTAACCAGATATGATTTGATATTGAGATAAAAACGGACGCATTGGACCTTTGAGGAGTCCATTATCATTCTCAATGAATTCTGATTATATTGACAATTGATGTTAGTACAAATGCCTTTCTGTATGGGAATGCTTACTGTTCAATGTTTTACATTCAATGTTCTACTGCTTCTCTTGTCTCCAGGGTAACGACCCAACAGCGTTCTCGGTGCTAACCCAGGCTCTCACGGGTAAGATGGCCTTCATAGACGCTGAGTTCTGTGCTACGTGTGGAGAGAGGGGGGCAGAGAAGAGATGCTCCCTCTGCAAAATGGTATGAAAACCACTTCCGACCTCCGACCTCCGATACACAAGCACAGGGTTTCTCTCACTCATTTCCCTCTTTATTACTTTGGTTACACTTAATAATAACTTCCATGAATACACCATTAGGAATGCCTATAAATGCTTAATAAATGCTAATAAATGTTTCCTATTACTACTACTACAGGTGACGTACTGTGGGTTGATGTGTCAGCGACTCCACTGGTTCACCCATAAGAAGATCTGTAGAGGACTGCAGGAGAAGGATGCCCCGAGACTGAGGGAGCTCAATGGTAAACTACACACTCATATCTGTTGAAAACACATATAATAGGCCTACTACAGCTATACTACAGTGTACTATAGTGCTCCATACTTTTTAACCCAGGAATTGGCTTAATCTGGGTTTGGGATACCAGCCTCTATAGCCTACTTTACTACTGTAGCTTGTTACATACTTGTAGCTTTGTGGCGCCCTCTAAGGTTAACTTTAGACTGTTTTCCCCCTCTCCTCTCTATCCTGGGTCTAGATGAAGAGAGTGACATGGTGAAAGAGACAGCCAGCTTCCTGGCAGAGCTGTGTTTGAAGGCAGAGGAGCGCATGGCGTCATCAGGGTGTCCCGGTCCCTCAGCGCCAGACCAGCTGAACTGTCCCTCCACATCCTCAGAGGGACCACCATCCTGCAACCAGGAATGAGAGGGACTGCTAGTGTTCTTTTCTACTGGGTAGTTAATTGGTTAATTGATTAATGTTACTGATTGGCCAGAGTTCAGTGATATTAATAATAAAGTTGTATTGAATATTAAACTGAATTGATTCCATTCACCTGATGTCTGAGGTCTGTATCAGTCCCTGGTTAAAGGAGAAGGATGAAAAACATAAAATCAGCAGTACTACTGATTGGCCATGATGTCCAGATTAGAGAGAAAGTGGCTAGTGGGGATAAATGCTTTACTCACAAGGCAGCTGGACTGGAGTCTAAGGAAGGATTGTTACTATGGACCCAATGAGGCCTATTTTGCTAGGGGAGGCTGAATTATACAGGGTGTGTATATGATGTACAGCATATTGGCTGCGTTTACACAGGCAGCCCAATTCTGATATTTTGCCAATAACTGGTCTTTTAACGAGTCAGATCAGATCTTTTGCCAATAATTGGGCAAATGATCACAATTGGGCTGCCTGTGTAAATGCAGCCATTGAGGTGTATCTATATTAGCTTTGGTGTGCTTTGCTTGTCTGGATGTCGTTTGAGCAAATTCTTTCTCTTATTTAATATGTGAGCCTTGAATATTCTTTAATGTCTTGAATTAACAATTTCCTCCCTCACTGTAGTAGTGTGAAAAATGCACTCTCATGTTGAAATGGGACCACCTTAATGAACAACACGTGTCATATTGTTATTACTTAGTTATGGCCATGGGTAGAAAACACAATATTAAGGGCTTCTTTTTGCATTATTGTTAAGTTGTGTATTCCTGCTATAATTTCAGCATCATATTATCATTATTTTGATGTTCCCTTTGTTGACACAGATGTCTTACCAGTGATGTATCAATGCCATTCCATGTCACGGAGTAGAATGATGATCCAATAATGATCTGATTTTGTATTGGTTGACAGTTTTACATGTTCAATTAAGTCAATAAAGAGTGCCTTAATAATTCTCCTTCACTGTCCATTTTTGTTATGGGGACATGCCCATATTTTTGTTTTGACACTAGATGGCAGCTTTCCCCTTTAATACCATCCATGCGCTGATGATGATTGGTTATATAGCTACTGCACTCTGTTGGCAGGGTTCAAAGGGTACTGAGGCATAATGGTATTTTTGCTGCAGCGATAGTTCTATACAATATGCAGTCAGACTTTCGCTGCAGAGAGTGAGCATGAAACAGAGCTCATTCTAATGACAAATTCTCACAGTGAAGACAGTAAGCTTTAATTCATATTCATGTATCAGCCAGTCATAAAGACAAAAGTCCTTGATAAACAAATATGGCTACATCTCCCAATATTTCAATTACTCCATTGTTTACCTTTTTTGTTGGTGGCCTCATCTTGGTTGCTATGCACATCTTCCAGACTGTGTTTTTAACACCATTTATGTAATAACACTGTTTCCTCATCCCCCCACCCCCCCCCCCCCCTGTTTTCCCCATCCACCCCAACCCCCTGTTTCCCCATCCACCCCACCCCCCGTTTCCCCATCCATAGGGGACAGCAACATTCATCAAACTATATTGACAGAAATATCTATTAATTGTCTGTGTTGAATGACTGGTAGGTAGCCTTTACATATTACTTGGAGGCAGTGGCGGCTCCTGAAAAATTCTCAGGAGGGGCAATTTTTCTGATGATTAGGTGACTACACACATTTAAAAAAAGATATGTCCAGCACAACATGAAGACAGGGGCAGCATATAAGTCATACCAGAAGCATTTATTGACTGATCTCAAAAGTTTGGCTACCAGGTTGGTGAGCCCTCAGTTTCATCTTTGCCTCGCAAAGCTAACTCAAACACTCCGCAAACTTCACACACTGGTTAGCCGCTGAGGATGTGGCGGTTCTTGCTAATGTCGTAAATATATTTTTATATGATATGGAATATGATATGTTGAGTAAATGTTGTGCTAAGATCTATTTAGGTCAGGAGCTGGTTATAAGTTCTGTTCCTATCCAATAACAAGGACAAAAGGGCCTATCTTGTCAGCCTTGTCAGCAGGTGGCCAAGGACAACACCCACGCCATAGGCCTCTCAGTTCTTCCAACTCACGAGTTCTTGCTCTGAGGACACACACACACACCAAACACACCACACACACATCATCACTGTTAAACACACACACACACCACACCACATCATCACTGTTAAACCACACCACACCACACACACACCCAAAAATCCCTCTCTTAGCTGAACATTTGAAGACAGAGAACCCACTCAGAGCCAATGCAACAGTGCAGGACCTCGCCCAACTATCAGGACCAATCAGAGATCAGAACTACTAGATTGAACCTACTTCATTATTGCATAAAATGTCTGCACACAATGTTTCGGGGCTCTCTTCAGATAATAATAATAATATAAATAATATAATAATATTGCCATTTAGCAGACGCTTTTATCCAAAGCGACTTACAGTCATGCGTGCATACATTTTTTGTATGGGTGGTCCCGGGATCGAACCCACTACCTTGCGTTACAAGCACCATGCTCTACCAGCTGAGCTACAGAAAGTGGATCTCATGGATGCGCATTGCAATTGTAAAATGTCAACACAATTGGAGACACCACGTCGTTTTTTGGAGACATGTTATTGACAGTACTATTGTAGATGCGACTGCTAACTACTAAAACATTTTACTGGCTAGCTAACATCTTAGCTAAATGTGGGGCAAACAATTAAGTTATTACCGTTAATTTGAGGGATTGGGGTAAAAAAATCGAGTACATAGTGATACTTACGATATACTGTATTGACAATATCGCATATTTTAGCGCTAGTGGCTGTACCTGCACCAAAACCATTATTGTTCCTCATAGCTTGTTCTCAATCTTTTCACATTGGGAGCCAATTTGTTTTCAGCACTTTTATTTCCATGACTGATCAAAACTCGTTCTCATGGCTTTCTGATCCCTCTGCACCGAATATGGTGCGCAATAAATCACAGTATCGATCGCAATACGTATAGAATCATGAGACTCGCAATGCTGATGCATATATTTATCGTGAGTTCCTGCAATTCCCAGCCCAAGTTCATTTTTAGAGTTTGACGAACGGGTCCGTGAACGCGATTCCAGATATATTTACCTCTGAATAAACTGCCTTTATACACATATCCACATCCAGTAACTTGTGATTATCAACACTAACCTCATCGTGTGGCGCGGACAGCTAGCCTGTATCCCTCGTCATCCAGTTGAGTAGTGGCAATGTCTTTTTTCGTTCGTACAATTTTTGAAAATCCTCGGGTGTGGACTTTCCGCCTTAGTAGAAACCTGTTGAATTATTAAATTGGTCTGGGAGGTCCTAATTGTTTCGTTGCCAATTATCTTCATTTGTTCGCCGACAAAAAGGAACTCTTTCAAACAATCCACTCTTTCTCAGTTACGTTCATGGTTACTAACGTATGACGAAAGCGCGTAAGTGCAACCACAGACACCCATTGAGATTGTATGAAGGCTCTGAATTTGAAAAAAATAGATTTTCATGGAGTCTATGACAGAAGTTCTGGGCGATTTTCAATCTGACTGAAATCGCCCCAAAAGGGGGTGGCCATTTGAAGCACGACTTTAGCCTGATTCGACATTTAGTGGCAGTGTGGCACTGTGCAGATCAGACGTATAGATTACAACACTGATAACTACTGTTGCGTGATATAATTGATTAGAAAAAAATCCTTCCTTTTCCCGTTTGGCAGCATATCAGATTTATTGATTCGACGATTCATACAGATTAATTGTACTCACCGATCCTGACAGTTGGAATTATTTAATTCCTTATGTAGGCAAATTTTTCATAGACATGAATGGGAATAAATGAAAATTAAAATCATAGACTTGTGTTTGAATGGCAGAAAGTTCAAGCATTTGGAATTGTGTTGGACCTCTTGTCAACTCATGCTGCACATTCAAATTATATTGATAATGCCACAGTTCCTGTCAAAACGAATCTTTATGAGCAGCAAATGGAATAATCCCAAAGTGCAAACTCCAAACTAAATCAAATGCAAGTATTTACAATGTCAAATAGATAATGCCATGCAATATGTATCTGACAGAAGGTAACATTCTCTCCTCCCCTCTACATCACAGAGCAGGGCCAGGCACAGAGCCAGGTGGGCTGCAGAGAGCTGCGTTCCACCAAGTACATCTCAGATGGTCAGTGCACCAGCCTGAACCCGGTCAAGGAGCTGGTTTGTGCTGGGGAGTGTCTCCCCTCCCACCTGCTGCCCAACTGGATCGGTTCAGGCCCCGGCTACACCGGGAAGTTCTGGAGCCGGCGGGAGGCCCAGGAGTGGCGCTGCGTCATCGACCGGACCCGGACCCAGCGCATCAGTCTGCAGTGTCAGGACGGAAGCTCCAGGACCTACAAGATCACAGTGGTTACTTCCTGCAAGTGTAAACGCTACTCCAGACAGAACAATGACTCTGGGAATGGGAAGTCAGAGGTGGAGGTGGGGCAGGCCCAGGGCCAGGCCTCCACACTCCAGAGGAGGAAGGGAAAGGAAGGGAAGAATGGACGTTCTGGGCAGGAGGACTGGGTGGAAGAACAGCCTAAAAAATACTGAACTGAGCCCTCTGGTCAGGGGGGTTCTGTACACCTCTGAGGGGATGGAAGGTCTATCTGTGGCCCCACTTCAGAAACAACTTCAACACCAACAGACACTAGTTTTGTTTAGAAGGCATCAATGTGTTCGCTGTGTTTAATGCAGCTATATGGAGGAGGCTATGGAATGATTCCTCAGACAGTGCAACTGGTTTGCCAAATATTGACTACTGTGGATGTGTTTGTGAATGTATGTGTTTTTGTATGTGATAGAATGAGACTAGTTCAAATCGCACAAGAACTGCATTTGACAACGTAAGATGAGGTGTTCTCTCAACAGCTGAATATGTTGTCCAAATAATAATGTTTAGATTAACAGAAAATGGCATAGTATGTATATAAATAGTGATTCTATACTCTGGGTTACTTTTCAAAGTATGTAAAGGATTACTATGACAATGTAATATATCTTTGTACGGGGATAGCTGAACT